AATGTAGAGGAATTATGGACCGATGAGCACACACGTCGTTTTGAAGCTCTAAAGTAAATTTTACAATCCAATTTAGTGTTAAGCTATCCGGACCTGAGCAGAAAGTTTTATGTCGCAACAGATGCATCACTTTTTGGCCTAGCGGCTGTTCTCTTTCAAAAAGAAGAAAGCACGGGACGTGATCATTATGTGAGCTTTGTGTCATCATCATTACAACCTTCTATGCGTCGGTGGTCAACAACTAAGAGAGAATTGTATGGTGTCGTATTAGCACTCACAAATTCTGGAAAAATTTTGTGGGGTCGTCACTTCACGATCTTCACTGATCATAAAGCTCTAGTATATCTACATACCCAACCCTATGATGGTTGGTTGGATTGAGACACTACTCGATTTTGATTTCGATGTGGTCCATATCCCTGGTATTCTGGATTGTCCCCCCGATTTAGTAAGCCGTTTGTATCATCCTCTAGAGGATGATCGCAACCTGGTAGAGAATAGAGGAAAGATTACACAAAAAATTGGAGATAAAAAAGATTTAAAATTTAAAAGAGTTCAGATAAAAAGAAAGAAATATAGCAAAGACAAAGTTACGAATGTACTTGCGAATATATTGGTTGAAAATAAAGATGAAAATACCAGCTATGTGACTCCTCCTGAAGAAGAGAGAGATGTAATATTGAAAGAGACTCATGCATTTGGTCATTTCGGCTCTCAAGCTATTGTCCGTGATATTCATAGTCGAGGCATGCATTGGACCAAATTATACGATGAAGCCAAAGCAGTTGTAAGCTCTTGTTCTGAAGGCCAAAAGCACAATATAGTAAAGAGAGTCTATCATCCTTTAACTAGTGTGGTAGCTCAAGGCCCATTTGATCATGTTGAAATTAATTTAGCTGTTCCTCTCACTCCAACTAAAGAAGGATGTGTTTATTTATTTGTATTGACAGATATTTGTACTAAATATACCGTCATTAGACCTTTAAAGAATAAACAGTCAGATACAATAGCCAAGACGTTGATGCATATATTTGGTGATTATGGAATGGCTCGCTGCATCCAGAGTGATTGTGGCAGTGAGTTTAAAAATGCTCTTATGCATAGCATCTGTAAAAACTTGGGAATTGATAGACAATATACTACGCCATATCATCCACAAGGAAACGGAAGTGCTGAAGCTGGTGTTAAAATTGCCGTAAATAGGTTGAGAAAAATAGTTTCTATCGTTCAGCTCTGTATGAACAGATATATAAAGAGCATAACACTTAGTTCACCCTTTTCAATTATGTACGCTCGTAGGGTTAACCTACCTGATAACTATGCTGATACTGTAAAATATCCACTTCCAAAACACTTGATGTCAGTCAAAAAGTTAGAAGAACGCATTGAGTACATGGAAGGTATTGTTTTTCCCACAATTGAAGATAGAACTAAAAAGATTAATGAGGAAAGCAGTAAGAGATATAATGATAAACACGTACTTGTTGATATCCCTGTTGGTGCACACGTGATGGTTCGATTGAAGAGTAGGGCAAGTAAACTAGCACCACTATATGAAGGACCATACACAGTGGTAAGAAAGAATCAAGGAGGATCGTACGAGTTGAAGGATGAGCAAGGTGAGTTACTTCATCGTAACTACACGCCTTCCGAATTAAAGATGGTAAACATGGATGAGTCACACCTTGAAGAAGATTATTATTAAGTCGAAGACATTCGTGATCAACGTGGACCGCCAGGGAATAGAGAATTTCTGGTTAAATGGGCTGGTTATGGTGATCGTGCTAACACATGGCAAAAGGCTAGTGATTTCACAGACCCTACGTATGTACAGCGTTATTGGAATAAAGTTGATTCTCGTGCTGAAAATGAAAGAAGGCGAAAAGCCTCTACTGAATCTTCTATTGCGAGCATGTCACAGGGTTCCGCATCGTCGAATGTCAGGAACATTAAGGTGAACAAAGTCGTTAAGAAAGTACACGAGAGCGTAGTCGTCCCTTACATATGGAGAGTAGAGAGGACAGACTAAATAGACGAAGAGAAAACAGAAGAAAAAGATTGTAAACAATACTGGCGCCTCACACTTACATTGGTTTGGCAGTCACTGACCATGCCACATAAAGTGAATAGATCTGCATACACAATAAGTTAATATTGGTAGCTGGCTATCGCATATGGGTCATGTCAACTATAAATTTTGTCGTCTCAACAGGTATGTTGAAACTTGTGGAGGATAATGTTGAGGATATCATAGATATAATAATAAAGTTAATTGTCACATCACATTACGGATGGATAATAAATATAAAAGTTAATCATGGATCACACATTACCCCGCTTGTTCTCATCCTACCGTTGGAGTCTGTACACAGGGCACATCCCTGTGGCGAGTAAATATTTATTCTGCAAAAGCAATACAATCGAATGGGCCTGGACTATAGAATATTAATAGATCCTGAGCACATATATTACTCTTGTCATTTGATGTTATAACTGTTGATCCCTCTGACTAATATTTATATACTCAGTATGGAAGGGCTAAATTTAAAGACATGTTGATTATTTACTATCACCAGATTATTACATCATGATCCAATAAGGCGCTTAATATTCTCCCTAAAACTATCCGAGTTCTTTATATAAATATCCATAGTTTTTTTCTGATAGACCATCATAAGTTTTTTATTTAATTTATTTTTTTCGTCCATAATAAAGTGGTATCGAAGTTCTAACAGTTTCACTTTTGGTTTTACTTAAATTTTGTTTTACATGCAAAACACCGAAAACTCTGCGTATCCTGCCTTTTTGCAATATTTTAATAGCCGGTACCTAGAAAACAATGCGTTAATGCGATGGTCCGCCGCATACCAACCGGCCATGTACACCAATATGGAGACGAACAATTATGTGGAGAGTTGGCATAATCAATTGACAACATATCTTGGTAGAAAAAGAAATAGAAGGGTTGATCGACTGTTGTTTGTTTTGGTGAAGGATGTTCTGCCTGAATACGGTAACTACATCAATCGTATCTTATTAAAAGTTGGAAGAATGGGTCCTAAAGAGTGAAGACATCGTGTTAGAGAGATGCAAGCAGAGGCTATCAGTGCTGATGCTTTGAAACAAATGATCGAAACTACGAGAACTGATTCTGCTGGTAGAAGTGTTTATGTTGTTTCTTATTTCCCGACTTCTGGTGTAAGTTATGACGTTGTGTTGGAAGATCTTCATATGATCACTTGCAGCTGCCCTGACTTCCGCTTTAGCAATACCGCATGTAAAAACATGTATTAGTTGAAGTGTGATACGTCTTGGATGTCTGTATTTGAAGGTAAACATATATACTATTGAAATCTTTACGGCTTCATTTCTTTTTTACTAACCTTAAATCGAATAGTTTTTTTAGACCCCACTTTCTCAACCATTCCCCAGAACTCGCCTGATAGCTCAGTTCTTCATACTCCAACTGAACAAGCTCCTCTCACCTCTCCAAGCAATTCTTTAACAGAAGTTGCCACTCTTCTTTGCAACATTCATAAACTTAAACGCCAGCAATATACTTTGAACGAAACTGAGCTCGAAGAATTTATACTAAAATCGCATATAAAATCATTCCATCGATCCTTGATCGACAGGTACATAACATCATAACACTCATAAAAAATAATAACATATAAAATATCCTGAGTTATATATTTACAACTCAGGGTAACTAGATATACCAAAAAGAAGATCCCATTTCGACTAATAGATTGGCTACACTGATAAGGCTCATCAGTAATTTGTAAATACAGCCAATAATACCAAGTGAACACAAACTAGCCCATAAGTTAAATAACTATAAATACTCCCCTTTTCTTTCAGAGATGAAAGAGGGATTTACTTTTAATAAGAATAAAAAAGCCTACAAGCAATATTAATCTTATTCTTCCTGTTTTTTTATCATTTATTTTCCGTGTCAAACAACCCGTTTTTCCATAGAATTGACCAGCTTCAATCACTGGTTTCTCTCTCATATAGATTCTACAAACATTCCTTCCAATTCTGATTTTACTACACAAAAATAACAAAAAAAAACTTTTTTTTGATAATTAACGCGCCCCTTCCCTCTGCCTAAAAATCAAAAGCAAAGCAGCCCTCAACTTTTAAAAACTCAAAAATTCGGGTATGTAAGTAAATCGTTTGGCTTGGTGTCATATTTTTCAAGCATTTTTTACACCAAATCGAAGCTGCAACATAGTATTGTTTGGATGGAGCTGTTCTTCGTGGTCTTCAAGGTTTCTTAAGAACACCTCCATATGCTCGATCAATGTGTTGTAAATTAAGATTGAAGCACAATTATGTTCTTACCCTTTAATTGAATATTAATAAGCGGATGAAATATAATTTACTTTATTTTGTCACTTACTTTTCGGATGACATTCTGAACGTAGCATGAAAATACACAAACAAAAATTACAAATACTCTTTAAATAAGCAATGTCTTGATCATTTACCGCATATTTTCCAAGCTTTGAAGAGTTTGACAAACAAGTAGAATTAAAAGCCTTCACTACTTACAACCACTGCTCAATTATCTCAAACGTGCTGTTCCAACGTGTTCGCCTATCGTACTTCAAAACAGGATACCTTTAACCCTTATAAATTGTGGTGCATTGGTGATTGTAAGATCTGGTGAGATTGAATTATTTTTATATCACATTCAAATACCTGACCGTGAAAAATCCACGACGCATCTTTGATATTAGGTCCTTGTTATAATTAACACTGTAATCATTTGTATATTCATCTACTTCAGCATTTACTTCTTCATTGATCTCTAGGAGTTCTTATTCCCTTCCAATACCATATTGACCATCTGATGTTTAAGTTTTCCTCAGCGGCGAGGTGCACCGCTTGGAAAGACTGACCGGACTCCAAATGTGACTTTCTAATTTCGGCGCCCTCCCTGCTATATTTATTTTCCAAAAAAAAAACCAGGTTCTTTTTATACATTTTATCTTCTAAATGTCTTTGCTGAATCGCGCCTTTTCTCAGTTTAGTTCAACAACTGTTAAAAATACTCAATGGAGTATTAATGCCAGACCTGCTGTCACAACCTTTTTAAAAAACACAACAGGTTAGTATATGACATGGCCCTAGTCAATCAAATTTAACATGATTTATCTCTTGTACGAATAGAAACTAGCCAAGTTCGTTGGGCCACAAAGAAGTCGGGTGGTTCTTCTCGTAACGGTAGAGATTCTGCTGGTAGAAGATTAGGCGTTAAGAAATTCGGTGGCCAAGAAGTCATTCCCGGTAACATTATTGTACGCCAAAGAGGAACCAAATTCCACGCTGGTGACAACGTGAGTGCCTTAATCGAACTGAAGGAACGGACAGTTTTAACAATATTTTACTTCTATAGGTTGGTATGGGTAAGGATCATACGCTCTATGCACTCGAACCTGGATACATTCGTTTTTATAAGGATGTGCAGCAACCCAAGCGTAGATTAGTCGGCATTGTCAACGAACGTGAAGCAACACTCCCTATTCCATTCGACCAACCCAAGCCTAGAAGATTTGATTTAATCGATTTGAATGCTTTGTAATCTGAACGACCGAGAAAAAGAAGATAAAACACTTAGGATAAAACAATAAAAAGTAGATGTATATAACATAAGCATTGCAATATCGCAAAATGTTGTTTTATTTATGAGAAAGTTGAAGATCTTTCCGTTGTTGTTTCGATATGATGTATGAGACAGATATTTACGGAGAGGGTTTTGTAGATGTCTCGTAGGTTATTATGATATAAACGTCATATCCCACCCGTAAACAGATTCATCATTTTTAGAAATATGCCATGTTGGCCAGTAATGTCTATCCATTTTCAGGGCCCTTACTTGTGTGACGTTGCTTGCAGTTACGAATTTGATTTGAATATGAGACCTATTACTAAATGCCATCAGTTCTTCTATTTCTGCTCTTGTGGGTGACGCTAATAACGCAGAGCCATTCTTTTTTAGATTTTCGTGATTGTTCCCATCAGCATGAAATTCCCTTGTGTCTGGGTTGTTAGTTTTGCGTTTACTAGAACTGCCCGATTTGACCATATTCAGAAAAGCCTTCAATGTTTTTACGGGTGTTTGGTCGATTTCTGTTATCCAGATACCTGGTTTAAGACTTGCTTGTGCAGGAGATCCGAAAAGACAACAAGAGACATATACACCTTCTGGTATGACCTTTTGGGCTTGTTCTTTCGCTGAAGCATACGTTTCTTGAATAAGCATACCTTGCCAGCCTACTACTTCTGTAGTTTCTTTCCCGTCATATCTGGTAGTAGGAACGGATAGTTCTAGTTCTTGGCCATCTCGAGCAATTGTCTAGATTATTTGTTTTAGTTGAGAATCACGTATTTTACAAATTATGCCCATTCTTATCTTACCATATTTAATTGATTCTTATCTGAAAAGTGCTCTAAATCAGAGATACTGGATAAGGCCTCCCCATTTATAGAAAGCACAATATCACCTACTTTTAGTAGTTTTCCAGAAGGGCTGGATATATCGGTGATACCAAGTATATATACTACAGAGGGTCGGTTTACTGGATTCGTGTTACGCTTTATAGCTTCAATCCACGCATCTGAAACACCTAAAAGCCTTGCATTGGAGATTTGCAAAATCCAGAATTCGACATCCAACCCTCTGACTGAAAGGGGCTGTTGGGATTTAATCTGCTCAACAATGGGAAGAACAAGTCTTGCTGGAAGACCACCCAAGACGCTCGACTGCTCCCTTCTTTCATTGTCTATGGAAAAGCTCATCCAAATCGCTTTTACTTTACCTTCGTCATCAGCAAAAATACCCCCTTGGCTACCTAAAGTCCCATCACTAACTTTAAAAGTCTCTACATTTGTCGCTCTCCATCTTGGAGGTGAAGTCTCACTGGTGCGTATGGGAGCAAAGTGTGTGATAGAAGTTTTTTTGAAATTAATCTCGCTTTGACCTGAGAATAGACATTTTAGTTAAATAGTTTTTTAAGTACGCGTTCATGATTATACCTGACAAACCAATGTAGTTTATCGTATCGCCAACCTTCAAATCGCTACCATCATCTAAATCAGCAACTACGATATCAATGTTTGATTTAAATACCAGTGTGGGATCAAATTTTAGGACGGCAAAGTTATAAAACGGATGCAAAAAAATCAGATCCGCAGATATAGTAATCGAATTGTCAAATATCAGAGATATCACACTAATTCCTACTGGTACTGTATCACGATCACATATGATTAAGGGTGGATCCATAGAAACAACAACACCTGCGCCGTAGGAGTGTGAACTTTTTGTGCCATCAATTATGAAGGGCGAATAACAATCCACGGACACAATACTTTTTTGGAGAGACAGAAGCCTTTCCTCTTTTTCTTTTTCTTTTACATTATGATGACTGTAAGGAGTAGTATTTACTGCTTGTAATGGATTATTTTCAAACAAAGGTGTTTTCAAAGTAGTATAGTCCCATAGTCCTGTTTGATCTGCATCCAAGATATCAGTATATCATATTGGAAGAATCACTTTTTTAACATACCATTACGAACAGCCATTCTAAGCTTATGCCATCTCCAATCCATCTGAAGGATCATAACTTTTGTCCTCATAGGTTTCGAAAGTGAATAATATCTGATTGGTATACGACTACCTTGTGGAACATCTGAAACAGCAGACAAAAAATCCTCCAGCGATCCAACATGTGAACTGTTTATAGCAACAATGACAGATCTACGCAATACCTGAGCTGTACCGAGAATAAAACCTGCCGCACCAACATACACACCGGGGGTTTCCAATGATAAACCGTATGACCTCGCTACTTGATAAGACAGATCGTTAAGGATCCCCCCTCCAAATTCAAGGTATCTATGAGGGGTTATGTCATGCAGATTTTTCACCATCAGAGAATATTCCTTTAGTTCACCGGACCTGGACACGACTACATTTATTGAAGTTCCTAAACTAATGGCATCATCCATACGCTGCTCCAAATCAATAAATAAGCCTGGTAATAGCTGTTCATTACATGTCAACAAGATGTCACCCGGCTCTAAAGAACCATACCCCGGACCATCTTGCAACACAGATTTGACTACAAGTAGGCCTTCATTTGGGTTATCCGAGCTTTTTGGTTGCGATCTAAGCCTTTTTTCAATGTGACGACCAAGTCCAAGTGACATTAATGTGTCGTAAGATTGGTAGTCAAAAGTTGTTTGTAATGTACCACGTGGCACGGGTTTATCATTTTGAATAAACATTAGTGCACGTTGTACTCTATCAAGAGGAAGATAGTAGCTAGATGACGATGTCTGAGCTCCACCCGCATTCAGCGCTATAGCCCTTCCTTGAATGTCTAATACAGGGCTGCCACTAGACCCCGAGCTTGTTCCTGAAGCGGCTTGATAATAGAACGTATTAAAATCATTATATTCTCCAATCCCATATTCAGGCGCCTCTCTATCCAATCTTGCAAGTGTTCCTGATAATATACTCAGTTTCTCACCTGCATCGTTACTAATTACATATTAATTTCTTAAATCCGTTAAGAATGATGAATATAACGTTTACCCAACAACCCTAATGTCTTGTCCAATTTTTGCCCCTTTAGGATGTAATTTGATACCAGGAACCTCCAAAAATCTCAATTTCAAAGGATCGTATTGAAAGAACCCAAAATCGTGAACAGGATCCCGATATATTGGCTTTAGCTCGATTTCTTCGTAATTGCAAAATACAGCACATGCTGTAACGGGAGAAACAGATACCACATGCCTGTTAGAAAGTATGATACCCCTTTCTGGATCTACAACAAAACCAGTAGCAGTAAAAGACCCGGGAACTTCAGTATCTAATCCGCGGGTGCGACAGGATTTGATTGAAACAATACTCGTGATACATTTTTCTATCGTATCTTCCCAGCTAGACACAGTGCTAGGTAGAGCTTTGACAGATTGAGGATATAATTCAGGGTGAGACAATATTGAAGGTCCAAATTTCATTGGATCTACTTTAAAATCATATTCAAATGATTTTTCAAATATAAATGATGGAGTTCTTTCACCAATAATAGGGTCTATATGTCGTGGCATGTGTTTTTTAGTAATGAAGTTAACAAAAGAAGAAAAAAAAATACGCGATTAAACCAAACGTGTGTTAAATAAAAAATAAGAAAAACACAATGTTGTGTGTTTTCTAAAAGATGCATATACACAGATAAACCTCCTACATTTTGATGTTACCCAGTAATTATTCTTGGTTTTCCTGGACAGGAGATTTTTTCGTCAGTAGTGGCTTCAATCACTTAATGTATTGTATAAGTTAGATACAACTTAAACTTAATTTATCGAATTTTTCCATATCCTTTGGTTTATCGTAAAGAAATATTTGATCAAGAATGGACACTACTCACGTCAGAATAAAAGAAAGGTAGAACATTAAGGTTAAGTTTTATTTTTACATGACAGAAACAAAATCTTCTTTTAGACAAGACCATTTTTTGCATATTTTATAATGCTTTTTCCATTGTTCGATTGCCAAGAATTTTACGAAGATAATTGTAAACATGTTGTTTGCTGGATGCACTATCAGCTGACTTCCAAGCAAGGGGTTCCTCACCATAATTTATTTCGCTTCTCACATAACCTGTAATAAACGGGAGATACGGAACGGATTTCAAACCTTTATCTCGATATACGAGTGCTACATAATCAAATAAATAATTTAATGACATTGTCATAAATTAAACCGTCAAGAATTACCTTTGATTTTTCCATTCCACGTCATCCCTATGGTGTTGGTCTCGTTAATATAGATAACGCCAACGGTATCGCCATTTTTTATGGTGACTGGAAATGTCTCTGAATGGTGGAAGTCCATGATTAAGGTACAGCATTTTTTCTGTCGATCATATAAGAAATGGAAAGAACCATCCAGAGATAGACTTTTGAATCCAAATGACACCAAGCTAAAAAGTATAAAGTTAGCTTTAATATCATAATTTACCCTCAGTCGTATTACTTTTCTGATGGGGATAATTCGGCTTCTTTCTGTAATAGTTCAATTTTAACTTCAAAATAGAGAGACGGGAGGTAGCGCTGTTCACGAGGGTCTAATTCCGTTACAAAAAGAGAAGAATTTTGGGATTGCTGTTTAAGGAAATGTCTATCTTTGTCTGACATATGTTCAGAGAAAACTTTGGGTTTTACAGATAATCCCCCATCCACTGGTCTAAGATTAGGTTCTGCATTTCCACTGTCTTCGTCAGGAATAACAGGTGAATGTACAGACATATTTTCCATGGCGTTTGCAAGTTCGGCAATATCACTTTCTTCGGATTCATTAGTCGTCGATGCTTTTGTAAAATGTGGAGGTGGTAGCTTTACATAAACAGACTCATTTAATGCTAACGCCGAAATAGGTGTATAACCCTCTGGCAAATATCTGGGTAAAATATGTTAATCTCATCACGATGCAAGAAATACTGATAAATCACAAATACGCACCTTAATGGATCAATCGCACCGCCGAATTGAAATTTACATTGTTCTCCGGTGGACAATGATATAGCTGGGTACCATGCACAAGATACCAAAACTCCGTAGAATGCAACACCCATATCCTCCCCATTTTTGTAATATCTGATTTCTCCTACATCCATATCAATAGCGCAGGTAATGATATCACCTTCTGCCCACTTTAATCCATACGATGTTCTCATACTGCAATATTTTCCATGCCACTTCTTTGAGCGATTCCCATCGTACCCATAAGAATGAGTATCATCTCCAACACCGTTACCTCCCTCGGCATCAAATTCAAAATTGTCATTCACCCAACCAATTTGCATTAATCCATCAGATTCCAATTTGACCTCATATGCATATTTGTGTAACACGCAATCTTCCTCATCCTCATTGTCGTTTCTTTCAGCAACTGGCGGTACACAATGTGTAGCTCTAACGGTTTCAAATGTCCAAGTATCATTTCGTACTTGAAGATTATTTTCATGATTGATGATACAATACTTTGAGCGTGATACAAGGTCAAGTTCTATGAATGCAAAGTTGTTTGTGGGCGAATTATGCTCAGGATCCGAAGTGACATGTTGGCTGCAATAGCTTAGCACGAGACGGCTGTAAAAAAGGTTGGATTGCTTTTTTTTCATAACAGAATCATGCATATTACGCCAGAGCAAAATAGAAACAACCTGGAATAAGGATTTGGGGATCGGAATGGAATGTTCGCCAGTAAACAATCCACCCAAACATATCATAACACGGTCCGTCAGACTACTTTGACTTTCAAGTAGGTATGTCAAAATCGAAATGAAATGAAACTTTTGAACCAGATATTGCTTTACAGAGGCTGAGTTTTTAACATGAAAAGGAACAGTTATTATATATACATACATATATATATATCAAAATATGCTTTTTCCAAGACTAACCGTATTTTAAGAGTGAATTCAGTAGCATCAAGGCCCGACTTGAAAATCCTAGGTAGTATTCAGATGTAGATGCTACTATTGAAACATCATCCGCGTTTGAATACTCATTCTTTCCATCTGTGTCTGTGGAAGGCACATCCCCTTTTGACTCCATTGGATATACAGAAACTAGCTCGTTGCCTTCATCAGAATCAAAATCGTCCTCTGAGTCACTACTTGAATCACTATGGCGGCGACTGCTGAATCTGTGTTGAGATCTCTTATCATATTCACTTTCATTGGTGGTCTGCATTGATTTATAAAACATTGACTTTCCCTGCTTTTCTCCAAGATTTACATTGGTACTGTTGGCAGGAACTTTGTCATGGCTAGGCAATTTTGAAAATTCACAAATCCATTCGATAACGTCTGCGTAAATTTCAGTGGCCTTAGACTCAGCCAAGGTATTTATAGGGTAGTTCTGATAGTTTTCGGAAGCCCATGGTACTAAAGCTGGATACAGTGCTATACATACCAAATGATGAACCAAACTTCGAATACGTTCGGATAGCCTCAAACCAATTACATCAGAAGTCATACCAGTTGTGATCAAGTTACTCCTAGTGCTGCCTAGGGCGGAACTTATACCATGACGACCCTTTGTTCTTCCTCTATTATATATCGAGTTATCAATATCATCAATATCAAACACAATGTCATCCAGTACGTTCAAAATAGGGTTTCTGTACGATTCTCCAGAGATAATGCTATCTGTTATCTGCTCGTTCTCCATTAGGACAGTCAATGCTGTCAAAGCACCTGAAATCTGGTTGCGGGCTGATTCGGGTACTTCAAACTTCAGAAAAAGAGACTCCCGTTCGGCATTAGACATATCCGGATTAAACAGGTAAGATATATCATCACGGGTCATTGCATCCATTCTTTCCTTGCTACTCTGTTTGTTCTTTTTATATTTGGATCTCTCACGGTCTTTGAGTACACGATCTAACCTGGAAGCATTTGAAATTGTACCCTGCTCACTAACATCAATATAATCGGGCGCAAGAAGCAGTCTGTCCATCTCTCCTTCGTCGGTCTCTTCTTCCTCTAAACTGACAATACCTAAAACAGGCAGATCGGCAACTTCTCGATCCTCTACATTTGAATATGAGCTCCCGTTAAACGATGCTTTGGTTTTCCGTAATTCCTTTTTGGTAGCTCGGGCAATTGTTTGTGTCATCATGATGGGTAAAATTAAACCAGAGAGTGTGTTGATTGTTTCCATAAGCGGCTCAGTTGCCTGATCGTTTATTTGAGGGACAAGAAATCGATCTGATGTGTATATCGAAGTTGAGTATGGTTTATGTTGTAGCGTAAAAAAAGGCCGACTTACTTTTAATGACAACCATTAGAGCGCCTTTTGTGCATGTCAGTTGAACCCGCTCATGGGTTGCAGATGTTGACATAAGAAGAAGAGTCTCAAAGCATGTATCTCGAACCTTGCTAGCAAAAGCAACTGAATAAGTGTTAGCATCATCAAAATATTAATGAATATAATAGTATACCGTACATGTCATAGTCATTATGTTAAATATAGCACCCGCAGCATTGTATTGAACATCAAGTTCTCCTTCTATCAATAGAGAGTTTAACGTTTTTACAATCAAATTCAAATTCGGTTCTATGAATGTATTGTTGCTTGCTAGAGAAATTGTTGTTAGTTTATAATTATATAAATATATGGCACCTTATTTCTAAAAATAGCTTACAAATGCAGCAAATGAGAGATAAAATATCGGATACAAATATTGCCACCTTGATCTTTGTTGACAATGCCAATTCAAGCAAAATTTCAAACTCCTGAGCAGTAAGAATATCTTCGTGGGATTCCACCTGGCCTGCCACAACATGGATGCAGAGAATAGCCCAATATCTTACATCCTCGTCGTCTAATGACAAACAATGCATAATTTTCTTTACCATACCCGACCTGACCATTTCGTGACGAAACTTATCTTGGCCATAAGCCATAAATTTGATCGTCCTTAAGATAACACGGGATATATACATTTCTTCTGCCGATAACAATCCTGCCAAAATAACGTGTATTCCTTTAATTTCTCTAAACTTGTCAGCAGCGACATCTTTCAAAACGAATTCATGCATCAATCCAGCAGCCCAGTAAATTAACTCTACATCATCTCCTCTCAAACAATTAGATATCAAATCAACAATATCGTATTCCAATAATTCTGTCAACACTTTTTTGGCCTCCGATACGTCTACATTAGCAGCAATTCGCACCAAGCTTTGCATACAGAATTTTGGCATATTCGTGTTTCCGTAAGTCATACGAGCCATTCTTGCTAGTAAGCTGACAAATCCATTTTCGATTAATACTTTTGGGAGTGGATCTGAATAATTGAGGTAGATCTATCAGTGAGCTTATGCAAAACAAAACAAAAAACTTCCAATTTCCTCGTACCGCTAAGAGATATTTGGTACAAAATCATCAAGGTCCAGTATTTCAATTCGTTGTTTCGGATCTCATCAGATGTTAGGATGCGTTTAATGGGATCTAACACACCCAACTCTAATATGCAATATTTATTTATATCTGGGAACGTTCGTTTTTAGCCACAACACATACATTTTCAGGGATAAGTACACCTACCACTTCCTTGTATCAGATCACAAATGGCAACAGCGACATAACGCTGTGTTACCTCCTTCATATCCGGATCCGTACATTTTAAAGCGTCCACTAAAACACCTAATGCTCCTGCCTCTAATAATGCAGCTTTATTGTTCTCTAGTATTCTCAAATTAGATCAGCAGGAAAAAAAAAATCAGAATAAAAAATGAGCAGCACATACCTTTTCTGGTTAACAACTGGAGTGATGGTAATGCCTTTGATTTTATTTCTATAGACTGATTTTTATCACACGCAGCGATGATTTTGGGTAGATACATTCCTTTTTTTTATAAGATATTAGCAAAGAAGATCTTTAATAAATGGAAACTACAACTAGAGATTTACCTGACATTGCTCTTTCTAATATAATCTTGATGGAGCTTTGTTTCGATGTGTTGTTAAGTGTAATGTAACTTTTGTTCAAGTGTATAAATATTTACCTGCTTTGAATGTTGACATTATGGGATTGTGTCAGGTAAGCTAAAGACTTTAAGGGTATAGCTAGAGTAGTAAAAATCGCTATTAATAATCGTTTAGACGCAACAGGATTTCTGAAAGCTTTACAATCTTCAAGTTTCGCTCCAGTTTTATTGGTGGTTTTTTTCGGTAAAGTGTTGCGTTCATGTAAAGTTTTCAAATGAGAATACACAGAATATCCCATAAGGACAGCAGTAACGCCAGCAATAAAGCAAATTACAGCTGAATTGTCTTTATTACTTGTTGTTGCAAGTCGCTTACTTGAGCTCATATGTTTTGGGTATTCTATTGTATTTGAGCGAAAAAATAAAGAAGGGTTTTATTTTAGGTTCGGGCAGTTTCCAATAAATATTATTTTTATTCCCCTATCCTTAAAAAAAATTCATGATTTTTATGCTTCTTCTACAATGGCTTTGTTTGCTCGGGTCTGCGAATTGTAGCCTTGACTTAAAGTTTTAAATTTCTTGACGAATCGGTCTCTTCCTTTATTCAACTTTCGCATGAGGCTGTACTTGCTTATCTTGGAGTTTTCTAAATCTTCTTCCATTGCTTCCAAATAACCCGTTGTCTGAATTTCTACATGATCATTCAGATTGTTATCCGTGTCCAATTCTGTCGAATTATCTACTCTTCTATTCACAGTATCAAGTGTAGCTTCATCTGATGTTGACACCATTTCACTCTCCGAATTGAAGGTAGTACCAGTGGATGCAGAACTCCGTCTATAATCCGAGTTAAATGTGCTTCCTGTTAGATTTGAAGCTCTTCGGCCATTTGAATTGTAGGACATAGCCCCTTTTGACGCTCTTCGGTCATTTAATTCGTATGACACGGACCCTCTTGATGCTCTCTTTTTTCCCGTTTCAGAAGGCATATTCGCTGTAGATCGTCTTCTGCCTTCTGAATTTGACATTGCAGAGTTCATCATAGGTGCCTCTTGATTATTTTCGCGCTCCTCAGCAATTGACATAGGTGCTTCTTGATTTCTTTCGCGTTCCTCAACAATAGGATAATGAACTTTTTGTTGTAAAACTACTGGTACGGCATTATACTGCGTAGTGACCCTATCGTTTTCAACAGAACTTTGTATGGGAGGAGAAATCAATGTGGCGGGATTACTATCTGCTATAGTTGCTATATGGGGTTTATTCATTTTCTTTTCGGATGGAATATTGACAGCATAGTTTTCAGTTCCTTCTTGTCGTACAAGTAAATGCGCTTTATCACGCGTAATATCGTTTTGGAATGGATCTGCTCCAAGCATATCTGTGGTGAATTCGGGTAGCTCGGTATGCGCTGGAGAAAATCCAGGAACGAATTTGAGACGTAGAGTAATCTTGCCACAGGGTCCATCACTACCCCAAGGAAGTTCATCTGCTGCAGGTCCATCTGTGAAAGGACGTAAACCAATAGTCACCTCTTGCCAGTCGTTATCGTATATTTCTTTCATCCATAAACATGCAGTCACCTTGCGGTCGTTGTGGCGTTGTGATAAATGAACATAAAGTGCTGATCTATATCGCATCATAAGAGGGAAATACAAGTTGTTTTTGAACCACCCAGTTTTCTTTCCATGACTTTCCAAAAGATTGTATTTTAGTTCTCTTGTAATTTCTGGCTCTACATTAATTATAAAACTGGCATTTGTTGAATGGATCTTTGAAAGATTCATAGGAGCCTTCATATCAAGTTGAACACTGTCTATAACCAAAGTTCCTACATCTATTATACGTGTTATTTTGGGGGCCGTTTTTTTTTTTTTGTTATTTGTAATAGTACATACCTGCACCACTTAATTCTCGGGGAAGCACAAGCTTTACAGGTTTATATTTTAAATCGAGAAAAACTCTTCCGTAGCCAATACCATCGGAAAGAGAAATCCATCTTTCTGACTCTTTTGACTGTATTTGAACATGATGTTATTACCCAACACATAATTGTTTTTTTTTTTGTTACCGCCCAATTACCTTTTTAGACTTGTCGTGGAACAGATCGCTAATTTTGATAATGGATGTCCCAATAACTGGATCATCTTCCAAATCTATAGACGTTTTGACACTTATTCTTATAAATCCAGTCGCATAATTCTTAATGAAGCATTCAGACACAGCATTCCAATTCTGATAGTAAAAAAAAAAATTAACTTTTTGTTTCGTTCATCATTCGTCACTATGTTCTTACTGGATTAGAAGTACACATCTTGGATCTGGTTCTGAAAACTTTAGTATCATTAATATAGATGACAGCATATGGACTGACGGCTTTTTGTAACTTGTATGGGTGCCGTCTTTTCTTGAAAGAAATAACTTCTGGATCCAAAATTTCGAGATCTTTTGCTTTAACGATTTTAATGGATAAAATACCTGTAATTGATGTTAATATTCTGTTTTTCGTTAGCTCTTTGAAGATATTACCAGATGTATGTAAGGGCGAGACTCGCTCACCCAATTCGTCATCCGAATCATCCTCCTCGTCGTCACTATTGAGTGCCATCTCACTTGAACCTCCTTCGGGCTGGTTGGACACAAGTTCTGTTCTATCCATATCGGAATCGTCATCTGCTAAAATTGCTGCACCTCCATTTTCCAAATTCGGCGTCTCATCCATCGAATGAACATGCTGCTCTGGACTGGCTTCCATGGTATGATCAATACCCGGATTTTTTATGGTTGCTTCAGGTCTAACCAAAATACTTACAGGGACATTCCGACTCCCCTTTCGGTGTTCCTTCTGTTTCTTTTTTTCCTCCTTCTCCCGTTGCTTCTTTTCTTTTTCTTGTTTCTTTTTTTTAGCCTTTTCTCTCTTTGCTTTTTCAGTCTTTGCATGGTCATGTGCAGAAGGAATAGGTGTCACGTATTTGGGATGGAATGTCAACTTAAAATTAAGAAGAAACTGAGATTCTCTTTCAGACTTTCCATCAATTGGAGCCCATCTACAAAAGGTAATTCTCAATAACAATGCGAACTCATAAATTGTTTGTTTCGTATCCATACCCATCAAATATGACTCTTTCTTCAGTGCACCAGCTCGACACATTTTCATATTCGTCCAATCTTGCAAGCACGATATCTTTTACCGAGGCGGAAATCGATCCTGTAAGGGTGTCTGCTTTGACCTTGTCGGCCTCCCATACCTTTACATTCATATAAACTTCATTTTTGATGTCCTCTAAATGCATACAAGGTTCAGTAAAAAAAAAAAAATGGATACATAAATACAACATACCGATAGTCACCAACTGGTAAAGATTTTCATTCCAAAGAGGATGCGATGTGCTAGATAAAACCCGAGTGCTTTTAATATTGCTCGTTTTTCTGTCACTTAGAGAGAATGTCACAAAAGAATTTTCAGGTTCTGCATTACTAGGCGTTAATATGGTAATACAATTATATTTTGCATGCAATGCTTACCTCCTCCCATCGCATGTTTCCGTCTTGTTTGTCGAACTTCCAATTTTACCACACCTATAGCGTTTGTATCGATCAATGCACCAATCATCATGGGCTTGATATCAACACTGATACTGTTCGGCTCTACTAAACTGGCAAAACCTAATTTCACACCTTGGTTTACCAGAGTCTTTAACATTGGAAGCTACAAAAAAAAACAGAAAGAATTTATCAATAAAATGATAATTTTGTTTTCTTTACTATTCCAAATCCCTTACTCTCATTATATTCAGCTTTTTTGTGATTGGCATGACAGCAGTTTCGATTTCGGGAGCTCTTATAAAAGATATTGTCACCTTGGAAACAAATGGAGGTTCAGGTGCAGTCATAAGTTTAAACCTAATCTTTCCAGACAACTTTGTTAGTTCACCTCGAATTTCGGCACTAGCATTCAGTACTGATTTGAAGCATATGGAAAACCCCGGAGGTGTGGCTACATGTGGCTTGAAAGTAGTAACCGTCGTATTGTTTGGGTCTACGCCTAAAGTAAATTCTGCCTCGCCAAACTACAACACGTATCAGAAGGCTATGCTTATGGGGGGGGGGTTTAAAAAATGTACTTACAATGCAATTGGTAGGCTGGTCAGGAGTGGGAGGAAATATGTTCATTCTAGCGAGTTGATAGATTAGTTACGTATGCTAGTGTAAAAAAAAGTATTGCTAGTGCACTTACTTTTCAATACGAGGGGACTGAACTCCTAAATCAAAATCACCAACTTTAACAGCTCTCTATGAATTCCGATTAAAGAGATTAAAAGGTATATTCTTCGTTTTTTTTTTTTTTTTTCAGCCTAGTATGTGTTATATATCCTCCCTACTTACGATAATTTTAGTAGGAGCAACTCTCGATATCGTATCTTCCAAAATATCCTCCACAACTGCAAATACTTGAGGATCAATCGATCTCCAAATTTTCTCCACAAAGCAATTAAACCATTCCATACTTTCACCGTGTCTCCTTTTAGACAACTTTTTTTTTTTTTTTAAAAAAAAAAAAAAAATGGATTTTAGATTTGCAGCTTTCCTTTTAGGTTTCATCCGTTAACTACTTACAATATTTGCACCATCAATTTTCTCAATTTGCCAATTCAAGCTATCCAAAACCGATCGAGAGAGCATATAAAACGCTGCGATACCTGATTATAACAACTTTAGATATTTTCGTGACATATAGCAGATCTATATGTTTACCTGTCATGCTAGTCATCAAAAGAGAAAGTATACCATATCCCACTTGACCGAGGTAGAGACACAGCAGTGCACTCATAATCAAGTATTTGACTCCTACGTCCTCTAATCCAGCTACCAAAATACTCGGAGCATTCAGTCCAAGAGGTTGTTGATAATTTAATTTAAAGCATTTTTTGGGCGCTGAAAATTTGTTGAAATTAAAAGGGACAGAAGATGTAGGATCCTTTTCTGACTGCAAGTTTTGCATAGCCTCTTGGCTACTCGAATGGACATCTACATTGTACGGGTTTCGGGAAGTATCTTCGTCACCCGAACGCGTTTCAGCGACGCCTACGTGTTGTGCCGTTGCATCATGACCGTGCGTGTCTTGCCAAGCGCCTTGACCACCGGAGCTAGCACCCGCAGGGTCAGACTCATGCGTCATTAAATCGTTGCCATCATGTATAACATTTGGGCCCGGTTCTTCCGCAATATCAGATACAGGTTCACTCTTGCCTTCCAAATTTTGTTCAGGGATTTCAGAAGTAGAGAAGTGGTCTTTATTAGAAGAAGAAAGAGTAGAAAGATATGGAAAATAAGAAATGAAAAGAAGAAAGAAGAATGTATTTAGGATAAAGTTGGTTTTACAAATGGGTTTCAGTCCATTTTCAACTTGCCTCGGCTTGGATCGATGCCAATTCTATCTTCATCGGGCTCGTCTGTCCTCTTTTCGCCCAAGACGGGAGCAATATGAGCTGATTCGGGTGCACGGGGTTCGTTATTTGTAAAGGTAGGTTCATCTCCGGTCACAACTTCATCAGCATGTTTGCCACCCATAATAGGAGCCAATTGACGGGTGAAGCCAGGATCATCAGCAGACTGTCCAGAAGGCAAACCTCCATAGGGATTAAACCGTCCCGAGAGATCATGATCCCCATGATTATGACTGTCCATTATTTTACTTGAACTCGTTCCATTATATTCTCTACTCGGATCGTCAAAATCAGTCGGTATGGTATTGTTTAAACTTGAATTCAGCACACCATGACTATCGTCTCCTTGAACAATATTTCGTAAATCGGCTGGTTTTCCATTCAATCCTGCCATTTTTTCTTTTCTTTTTTGACTTTGCCAAAAAAAAAAAAAAAAAAGTAAGTGGAACATGAGTTTCTTGTCATTAAATACTTGACATTTTTCCCCCGAGGAGGGTTTCTGCATAAATTGTAACTTTACTGACAGTGACTGTCAAGTAATCGAACCCTTCATGGTCTCGGACAAAAAAAAAAGAAAAGAAAAAAAAAAACATCTCTTTTAGACATACAATGTTCTCTAGTAAATTAACTCAAATGGCCTTGGCTGTCGGCGTAGGCATCGGCACCGGCGTGTATATCTTTAAGCCCTTGTTACAAGAATACGAGCAGTAAGTTTTCTTTTTTGGGTTCTGCAATCAAACCCCTCGTCTTATAATGCCCTAAACAACCCATTCTATAGAGAGACACACGGTACCTGGGTTCGTCCTGGTGACGAAGTAAAGTTACAAAAAAACACCACACCAACTGAAACTCGACCATCGTCTTAATCAAACAAGTGACAGTTGGACTACTTTACGCACCATGTTGCCTTCTAGTCAACCTTTGAAACAACGTCACTTCCAATGTATTAATAAAAAAAGCTAAAACACACATACACAGATACACACACAACACACCATTAGATATTACAAGAGGGAGATACACGTACACGATTGAGCATTTTATTTAACATAGACAGAGTTTTTCTTTCGTGGGACCTTTGCAGTTTTTTTTTTTTCTTAAAAGTCCGGGGTAATTTCCTTTACTGGCTTAACCCAGCCCCACGTTTATTCTATTCAAACCCTTCTTCTGCTTAGTAACTAAGAATAAATTAAATTCTTAAAAGATGAAATCATTTTATAGATAAACATAGTGCGACGTAACAGTACCCTTTTTTGTCACATAGTCCCAATATGTATAAACACACGTTAAAATGACAATATGCACCCCACATAGGGCAGTAAAAAGTGATTCTAATGGAACTTTGCAAGAGGAAAAATCCCGTCCCATACATATACGCGGGAATATGGCACTTCCACACGCACATAAGAGTAAATTTAGTATCTCTGATAAGACGCTATCCCCTTCTTCCACTTGATCATATGTCGTCATTATTTTTCATAGTTTAGATAAAACAACCGTCAAATGGTATTTAGTTAGAGCTCTTAGTATACCTGAGCACCGTAATGCATTAGATATCTAAATTTTAAAGAAACCACAGGTGAGATGTCCCTTGCATATAATGGCTTTATCCACAGACTAAAATTGATAAAAAAAGCTCTTATCAACTTCTAATTGACTAAAGAGAATTTTCGATAGCACGTAGTGCCTACTCAGATCAGATATGTCTATTAGGCTTTGTTTCTTATCTGTGTTTAAAACAAGGTAGAGAATTTTGCCTTTTCATTCTACCATGTGCAAGTAGTGAACATAAAGGCTTACCAATAAAAGTTTGCCTGTCTTTTAAAAAAAAAAATTACAACCCCTGATAGTATACTCAAGGTCATTTTGGAAACTATATATATAAACAGATAGATAAATCAATCAGGTACGCACTACCTTTATAACATTTCTTGAATGCATTTATTTTACACGAGCATTGACACAAGAAAGCTTCTTTTTTTTTTTTTTGGTTGATCCTAAACTTTTATCCAGTCATCGCATTGATCTTACTACTCACTTTCAAATAGTATAAATACTTGGCTTTGATTCAATAAAATCATAAATCGACCCTTCTTTCCCTTTCTTTTTCTTTCTTTCTTTTTTTTTTATTTATACCGCTGTGATACAATTTTTTCTTCATCTTAGAAACAATGATGAAAATGTTGATTACCAGACCAAATTTGCTTCGAACCTTACCATCCAGTCAGAAACGTTTGGTAAAGATAGAATAAATAATCTTGATTCGTTTCAATGATTAACATCCCAAAAAAAATCCTTTGTAGTTTTCACGGGCAAATGACGGTATTTTAAACCAAGTAAATGACAGATAACATAGTGTAACCATAGAATTGTAAATACTAAACACCAAAAAAAAAGGACCCTAGTGTCATCATCCAAGCAAAGAAGAATACACGATCCATGACGTTTGATAGACAAAAACAACTCAACTCTTTCACTATTCCTATGTTTGATGTCATCTTTCCTCACCTCCAGGTAAAATCAACTTTTTCATTGGGCAGAATCAAATCTAACCTTTATATATATATTTAAAAAGGAATGGGAGAAATCCAAAGCAGTGGATATGGTGATTTTGAAAGGAAATGGTCGAGCATTTAGTTCAGGTGGTGATATCAAATGTATGTGACCCAAATATGGATTATAAATAAATTCGAATGGCTTATATTGATGCTTTTTTTTAAAAAATCTAGTTCTTGCTAACGCTGTAGAAACACCATCCAGAAGGCCCGAATTAGATCATTTTGTGGACACTTTACATAACATGCTTCATTTTGCTGGAACTATGCAAACACCACTCGTTTCTTTCATGAACGGAATTACTTGTATGCGCTCAATCATTACTTTCTTGCCTAGCAACCATACTAAATTAGTTTTTTTTTTATTTGTTAGTTGGCACAGGATGCGGTCTTGGTGTTCTATCTCAGTTCAATGTCGCTACCGAAAATACTAAAATGGCTATGCCCGAAACTAGATTTGGCCATTTCTGTGACGCTGGCTCTAATTTCTTCTTGTCTCGCTTGAATGGTCATATGGGCAGATATATTGCTTTGACATCACGCACACTGGTCGCAGAAGATACATTGTAAGATTGAGATTTATCCTAACAACAAAAGAAGAGAAACTAACTTTTTAGCACAAAATAGAATGGCTGGTTTAGCTTCTCATTTCGTACCCTCTCACCAATTAGAATCCTTAGAAGATAGTCTAATCAACATGGAAAATCCCAGTCGTGCCGCGATCAATAAGCAAATCGAAGCGTTTGCTGTCAAGGCGGATCATGTTCCCTTTAGCAACACTTTACACGGCCGACATCGCGAAATCATCGACACCTGTTTTAGATTTGATACAGTGGGTGAGATCCTACGCGCTTTGGAAAAGGAGGGTTCAAAATTTTCTTTAGACGCCATCGATCAAATATGCGATGGATCTCCCTTGGCTATCGCTCTCACGCTAGAACAGTTACGTAGAGCTGCGGGTATGTCCTTGGCTGAATGTACCAAAATGGAATACAACTCTTGGCAAATCTCACCTGTAAAGTCCTATATATTATTTTCTAAAAAAAAAAAAAAAAAAAGGAAGTACTAATCACCAAATATAGTTCGAACCTGATTTCTGTGAAGGCATTGATGCCAAAATGGTGAGAAAGCAAACCCCACAATGGGTACATCAAACGAATTCGACCATCGATCGTCAAAAAGATATTATCGCCAAGTATTTTGTAGGCCCTCCTGTCAAAACATTAAAGTTGGCCTCCAAGGGAGATTATTATACCTCAACACAAGCACGTCCCTATGGCTTGCCCACTGAAGAAGAAGTAAGACAAACCATGCTTCTCAACAACTTTAGATCCGATGGAGATATCATCTCTTGGTTTGTTAAAAACAGAAACAATAAGTTTGGCGTAGAACAAGAAGTTGCCGAAATCATCAAGAGAGAATATAGATGGCAAGAGAATGAAGTGGTGGAGGAGTTAAGACAACAAGCTGCCCACTAAATATCCTCAATTCAACCCCCACCCAAATAAAAACCTATATATCACCTTGACTTTACTCGTCTTGGATAACTTTTTTCAACTTCCTTCTTTAATTTATACATGTCTTTTCTAGTTAGCAGAGTAGTAGTCTGAATGCTTTAAAGTGCAATAAGTCACACGACTTGGTCTGTAATAATTTAGCAACCAGCATGAACATACCTGTATGTAATAACAAAAGTCAGGCTTAACCACGGATGTTTTTGTGATACTTGGAGCAGTAACTTTTTTAGTTATTTGTGATTTAAACGCGAGACTTCATAAGTCACTACACACACTACACTTTGTATTATGCTTAAATAGCCTTTTTCTTTTCTTTTTTTTTAAACACTCACGTCCCTTTTTCAACCATGGCCAAGAAAAGCAAAAAAGAAAAGAGTAACGGTAAAGTCTCTACAGCCTTATTCTTCTCTAGAATAAAAATACTCAATTGTCTTGATGTTTAGACAGAATAACTCGTAAACAAAAAAAAAAGAACTTGCAGGTTGCATACCCCCCCCCCCCTCACTTTCCTGTTCCAAAGCACTGACATTGTTTCCTCTTTTTTTTTTGTTTTAGAAATCAAGTTTTCAACATGACGATGCAGAGGATTTGGACAGTCAATTAAAAAACCTAGGCCTCTGTACCAAGAATATTGCCGGCGATGGTAATTGTTTATTTAGGTAGACACATACTTACACATGCTGATCCCCACCCCCCTTTTCCTACTAACACCGGCCACTTAGATCACTTTCCGATCAATTCTACGGACAAGACGGAAACCACAAGGCCATTCGACACCAAGTGTGTCAGTTCCTGAGAGATAATAAAGAAGAGTATCAGTTCTTTGTAGAGGACGATCAATCTTTTGAACACCACGTCGATTGTATGTCTCGCAACGCCACCTATGGTGGTAATATGGAACTAGCTGCCTTTGCAAAAATGCAGCAAGTCAATATCAAAGTCTACCAACCTGGTCTAATGTAACAAAAACAGTACCCTTTTACCTATCAAACCATCTCATTATTCTCTTCGAATTCTAGATACATTATTCACGGTAAAGAGGAACAGGAAGACGACACACAAGTGTTACATATCGCGTAAGAGAAAAATAATTTTTTTTTCTTTCAAATTACGGCAGTTTTTGGACAGCTCATCACTCCCAGGTCTCTAGATATCATAGCTGGGAACATTATAGCTCCGTACGGAATATCGATGGTCCTTACACTGGTCCACCCGACATTCAAGTAAGTTTCCCCATGGTAACACTTTTCTTTATCCTCTCACTCACCCCTTACAACCCCCCCCCCAGATCAAAATCGCAGAAGACAACCCACAAGAAGAAATAGAACTCACCTCACAAGAAAAAATTGTTTTAAATGCTTGTCCTGACACAAACTTGCAAACCATTAGACAATTTCTCAAAAAACACAAGGGGATCCCAGACGATGCTATCAATGCCATTTATGAATCTCAGTTAGAGGAGGCCGTAGAGACACACGATGAAGCATCGGATAAAGTGCCTTTGACACCTGCAGGAGATGCGCCTTTACCACTTAAAGAAGACGTGCCTTTATCACTTAAAGAAGACGCGCCTAAATCACCTACGAAAGACGCACCATCACCACCTACAAAAGACGCACCATTACCACCTACAGAAGACGCACCATTACCACCTACAGAAGACGCATCTTTACCACCTACAGAAGACGCATCTTCACTACCTATAACAGACGAGAAGAATGTACCGCCAACACCTACAGATGGTCAAACACAGGCGGCAGCGGTCAACGAGAAAGAAAATAGCGAAAAAGACGACATGCAGCCTCCACAGCCATCCGATACGGATGATACGACCCATGAGACCCGACAAGAAGACCTCAATATGCATGAACAAGATCTACTTGACCAATTCCCAAATCTGCCTCCAGAAACCATCCAAACCGTCTGGAAAAAGCACGGGAATTCCATGGACGCCATCAAAGAGCTCCAAGGGATCGTTCTTCCCAAACCAAAGAAACAAAAGATACTTTCATCACGCGAACGTAAAGAACTTGCCAAAAAGAAACGAAAGGAAGAAGCTATGCTTAAAAAACGTGCCAAAGCACAACGTCAACAAAGCTATAAAGAACAAGATAGGCCGGACTCGGCCAATGATGATATCACGAAAATCATCAAAACCATGAAAGAAATTGACATTTAAAAAAAAAAAAAAAAAATTACAATTTTTTTTTATATATATATAATTAAACAAAAAGGTGCGAGGGTTCGCCAGGAAGCCATTTTCGTAAGACACGAGGAATCTCAACAGACCCATCTTTTCTTTGAAAAGTCTCAAGAATGGCTATAATCATGCGAGGTACGGCCATGGCTGTACCGTTTAATGTATGACAGAAACGTGTATGTTGATCGCCAGTCTGATATTTAGGTCGATATCGAATCGATAGTCGTCGTGATTGGTAGTCTGTGCAATTCGATGTTGAAGAGATCTGCATTGATTCCACCCAGCGTCAGTCTTTTTATGATTCTTGTTTTTTACCATTATTATAACATTACCTCGCCCCATGTGCCTCTACCAGGCATCCACGCTTCCATATCAAACTTTCGATAGGCACTAGCGCCTAATTCCTCTGTAGGCATATCTAAAATTCTACGAAACAAAAAATGAGTTCAGAATATCCCTCAGTTACCCCCAGGGTATAAACTAACCTAAAACAAAGCCCCAAATCGGTAAAAATGTCTTCCTGTAACTTGAGAATCTGAGCCATCATCTCTTCGCTCTGAGCGTGTGTGGTGACGGCAAATAATTCGACCTTTGAAAACTGATGTACACGATACAATCCTTTAGTGGTTAAGCCTCTTCCACCTGCCTCTGTTCGAAAGGCATGACCAAACCCCACTAACTTCTGTGGTAATTCCTCCTCGTTCAATAAGCGAGTAGCAAATTTCCCTGCCAATGGAATTTCCGCTGTCCCCGCCAAACACTGATCCTCCGAAATCCCATAGATTTGCGAACTCTCTCCTCGTTTGGGTTGAAACCCACATCCATAAGCCAATTGCGTGCGTACAATATCCGGTGTCATCACACCCATAAATCCTCGACTTGCTGCCTTATGCATGGCATATTGTACAAGCGCCATTTCTAAAAACGCACCCATCCCTTGCAAATAATAAAAACTGCTCCCACTTGCCACGGCCGCTTGTTCTAAATCCAATATATTCAACCCTTGCGCAATTTCTACATGATCTTTTAATCCTTCTTCTTCTTTGCGTGGTGTACCCACTATTTTCACTACTCTTGCTTGACTCTCAGGCCCCACAGGGCTGTCCCCATGTGTCTCATTAGGAATCCTCAAACCTCTTTCTAATAACCCTTCTTCTGTCTCGCTCAGGTCTTCTTGTACACGCTTGACTTGCGCCTTGATTTGTTGTCCCTCGGCAATAAATACAGAACGTGCCTCCTTGGACTTAGCGGCTTGTGTAGCTAATGACACTTCATTTCGCTTGGACCGTAATGCTGTCAATTGATTATATAAGGAAAGTCGTTTCTCATTCAAGCGCACAAACTCAGTCATGTCCACTGTGACATGGTTGCGTGCCTTCATGTTTTGTGTAATAGCACTGGCATGGTTGGATAAGGCTGTGTAATCGAGTTTTGGTTGAAACCCTACCGCTTTTGAATAAGCTCGTTTTGACAGTATTTGCTTGAACATTTATAAAAAAAAAAAAAGGGTCAGAAAAAAAGAAAAAAAAAAAAGAACTAGTCCCTGTTTTATGAGATAGCCCACGTGATTGATTGCTTTCCTCTAATGACACAGTAATAAGAAATGCTCTTCTACATTGTGTCGCTGGCTAAGGATGTGTGCTGCTCATTTTGGATAGATAAATAAGAGAAAATCAATGCTATCATAAACAATTGCTTTATGAAAGAAAGGGCATAATGAAAAACAAAGAACACCCAATTATAGAAACACAGCTTAAACAACACCTCCCAGGGTTTTAAAATGTCTTTGGATTAAAAAAAGAGGAGATTTTTATTTTTGTAAAAGTGATACACTCTCCCTAAATGGGGTTTAGGGCCGAATAAGGGGGGGTAGTGGTGCTTAAAAATAAGGTCTCATTTCTCACTCTCGCTCTCTCTTTTTTTTTTCTTGTTTCTTGTTTCTCACTCTCTCTCTCTTTTTTGCACTCGTTCTTATTTCTATGGCAGGTTTATCCATCAACACATTAAAACAGTCCAACAAGTCCTTGACTTTTTGTTTTTACGTTTCTGGACACGGTAAGCCTCTCTTTCTCTCCTTTTGCATACACATCTAACCACAAAAAAAAAAGGATGGGGACATGCAACTCGTGCAAACCAAGTCATTCTCGACCTTTTAAAACTACCAGCACGTCATAAAGTTCATGTGATCTCTACAGCCACTGACTTTATCTTTCAAGGTGTGATAGAGGTAGGCGCCATCTATCGTCATGCAGATATTGATGCTGGTGTAGTTCAGCCATTACCTTATACCGTCGACCGTGACCAAACCATTAAAAATCTCACCGCCTTTCTCGAAAGAAGACCCGCTACTTTGCTTGCCGAAATCGATTGGCTGAAGCAGGTGGGCGCAGACTGTGTTATCTGCGACGCCCCTTTCCTCCCTTGGTAACAAACCTTTTTTTTTTTTTTACAGTGTACACAGCAACTCACATAATATATATATATACAATATAGTGCAGCAGCGGCCAAAGTAGGTATACCAGCAGTGATATCCAGTAATTTCACATTTGATGAAGTGTATATGGGATTATGTGAAGGAGATGATTTAGATGAGGATATCCGACAAATGGTTCAACAAGTGATATTGGATTATAGACATGCCGATCTCCTTATCCGATTACCGGGTGCTATTCGTATCCCATCGTTTGATGATGCTTCTGGACTCGTACCTCATACACCGTTTAATGTGAACTTTCCAGAATCTTTTCGACGTAAAGGTGTGGCTAATGGTAAAACGCAATTACCCTGCACCAGTATATCCAACGTTCAACACACCACGCCCTTTGCCGATTTAACACCTCCCTTCACACGTCGCATCATTGATGTCCCTCTCGTCTTTCGTAAATATCGTACTCCGCGTGAACAAGTCTTGGAATCTGTGGGCATTCCTAAAAAAGTATATGACACACACAAGATCTTGTTACTCTCATTTGGTGGACAATTACTAGCAGATGGTACATGGGGGAATCCTTTACCTCCCGGTTGGATCTGCATTGTTTGTGCTGCCCCAGATACCATTGCTATGCCCCCACTTTTTTATCGTGCAGCTAAAGATGCCTATGTCCCCGATCTCACAAACGCCTGTGATGTGCTCCTGGGTAAATTAGGCTATGGTACATGTTCAGAATGTATCGGCCATCGTACACCCTTTGTCTATGTGCCACGACCTCAGTTCATTGAAGAACAAGGTTTATTAAAACTTATGCATGATCAGGGTAGTGCTGTCGAATTAGACAGACATGATTTCGAGGCTGGGCGATGGCAGACAGCCATTCAACACGCAGCGCGATTGTCCGGCACCTGTCAAGACACGCAGCTGCGTGTCCCTCACAACGGCGGAGAGATTGCAGCTGCCAGTATCGAAAAGTTCGTGGGTGAATGGACCTTTCATCATTTAAAACTACAATTACAAAAACAACAACAACATTCGCCTTTATTCTCTCCTGCTCCAAAAATTATATCACAATAATCTCATCGCCATCCTCCATACTATAGAATTTTAAATCTCGTAATTCGTCATTCATTTCCATTGTAATGATGTCTTCTTCTTTTTGTACAGATTGTAATAAAATCAATGCGGGCTTATGTGTGCCCATTTTATATAAACGTCCCACCAAGTTTTTTAAATGACGTACGGTCATGGTGGGCAATACACGTTTACTGATACTTTCCCTTGTAGGTTGTAGATCGCTCCAATGCTTGGCTTGTAATACCGCTTCCATGTCCATCCCTGTGCGTTGTGTCAATCGAACCGTCATCAATCGGTTCTTTAGCGCGCTCGGTTGGCCTTCCTTTCCTCCTCCCCCTAAATGGGGTTCTCCGTGCACTATATAAGCATGAAAGGGGGGGGGCCCATTTCAGTACAAACGACATTTTTTCATTAAAATCTAGTGGCACACTTACGTTGACATAGGGTCGCATAGCGTGGATGTAAAACACCGATCGCTTCATGTGTCACACCATCCACCGTGCATGATTTCAAGTAAAATCTTTCTAAATCCACACGCTCTCTTCGTGTCACCTAATTCCAAATTATTATTATTATTTACATACTTTTTATCATCTTTAAAGACTTACGGTATTTCCATTAACCGTGGTGAGTCTTCCGATACGACCTACGATTTGAGTTGTTTCAAGTTCGGGAGTCAAACCTAAAAAAGACAAGGTTTCATTTTAATTTTCACCACTAAAAGAAAGCTAATTTTTTTTTTTTTTTTTTTTTTTTTTTTTTTTTTACCAGAAAACATTGGGTTGGCTTTACAGCGAAGTTTTGTCAGGCTTGGGTATCCATCCAAAGCATCTAAACTCGACATGTTGCTGATCTGATTATTCTCAAGTCGTAAAAATCGTAACTGTTTAAATGTGTCTCGGATATATTCTACACTTTTTAATTCATTATCATTCAGAAACAGCACCTCCAACCTAGCCAAAGAAAAAATAGAGAGAGAGAGTTGTTAGCAAATATTAACCAATGGTTATGCAGACATACTTTGGTAGAGCGCCTAGTGTAGCCACTTGGCTCCAATCGGCAATGTGATTCTCTTCTAAATTGAGACTAACCAAGTTTTGCAATCCACGCATTGTACCCAGTTCCGAAATTCCGTTACTACCCAATTGAAGATCTTGCAAAAGAGGTAATTGTTCCGCCAATGCATCAATCTCTTTCCATGTCGTCCCTGTCTGTATCAATGAAAGTGTGCGTAAATTTCCCAAGCATAATCCTTCTCTCGGTGGTGCACTCAAACGGGATTGACTTATTTAAAATTTGAGTCAATGATCGCTTAAAATTCACATGTAAAAGTGTGATACCTTACTTTATTCTCAAGATCATCAGACTGCCGAGTTGTGATGTGATCTCAGATACGGTTTTCCAATCTGCTATCAGATCCCGGGACAAATCCAAATCCTCAATGGCTACAAGGGGGAAATTACTATGATTGGAGGAGGAGGAAAATAAGTCGCTATACACCTTACCTAATTCCGCCTCCGAGATTTCGCCCGGAGGACCTGCCCATGCCACACACTGTTCCGCTAACCCAACCACTGTCAACCCACTCAAACCTCTAAGCTTTGTCTGATTAGCAAAAAAAAACTAACTTTGTGTGTAGAAATCTACTGTTTACCGTTGTGCTCTTAAAATCTTTTCAAATCCATAGGTTTCTACCACAATCTGCTTATTGCCTCCAAAATAAAGTTCGCCAATGTCCTTATCCTTCTCATACTTTTCACCCTTAACGGTTGTGAAATCATCTTCGGTAGTGTATCTTTCCTTTAACGCCTTCATAAACGTCGTACCCGTCACCACCTTTTGTGCATGATATCGTACAAAGGAACCCGACTTTGCGTGCCTTTTTTTTTTTTTTTTTACATTAATCTAAAGCTCGACATGCTTTTTTTTTTTTCTGAAAATGTATTTTTACCGGCAGCTGAAATAGCGCGTGCCTTGATGAAGTCCATCATGTTTACCTCGTGTAGGATCATCCCATTCAATGCCTAACCATTCTCCAGTCGTACCCTCCACTGTTCCTGTGTACATTACCGTGGCTCGATCCTTGCCAATTTGTATCCTCGCTCCCACTTTTGGCATGCTCATTTTCTGGAATTGTTTGTAAAAAAGAAAAAAAGAATGAAAAAATTGTGTTGTGCAACAAGAAGTGAGTTTTAGTTTTTCTGATAGTAATGAATAGATTTTATTTAAAAATTTACATGGGGGGTTTTTTTTTTTTGTTTAGATAGATAGGGTAAAAAAAAAAAATATATAATAATAATATAAAAAAACGATATTATTTAGTTCTTGAAGAAGACAACATCTCCGTCATCCTCAACAAAACGACATGCCTTCCAAACTCTCCAAAGAGCGACAGGAATAGGTGTATTATCACATTGATAGTGTTTACCGAGTGCCTTCTTGATATGCATGGTAGCTTCTTCAGCATGATAATGAGGCATCGTGGAGAAGAAATGATGAGCAACATGAGTATCCGAGATATGATGATGGAAATAATCAAGAATGAAACCATAAGAACGATCCACGGTCAAGGCAGCACCACGTTGGAAATTCCAGACATTATCACGGTAATGAGGTAACTTGGGATCGGTATGTTGCAAATAGGTAATCAAGACTAACCAGGCGTTGACGTTCAAGTAAGGAATAACATAGTATTTAATCACAGCAAGAGAGCCATAGAGTTGACCACAGTAACCCAAGACACCCATCATACCAAGTACACCTACAGTTGAACTCACAATATCCCAGAATTGACCTTCTTCATAAATCTCACAAGAAGGGTTGAAATGAGAGGCCCAACCAGGGTAATCTTGACCAGTGACATTGGTGAAAAGATAAAGAGGCCATCCAAACACAAACATTAAAAACATACGGTAAAGAACAATAATAGGTGCTTCATCAAGTGCCTCATGGGGTCCATCAGCCACAGGATCTTGCTCACGAGGGGGGAGACCGGCCTTAGAACGAAGGGTGGGGAGAAAGACTTGATCCTTGGTCATGTGACCTGTGGCTTTATGATGTCTAGAATGAGAAAATCTCCAAGAGTGATAAGGTACAAGCAAAAGCGTATGAAGAACATAACCAACACCATTGTTAATGGCCTTGGAAGGACTGAAGGCTTGATGACCACATTCATGACCAATGACCCACACACCTGTACCAACCACACCTTGGGCAATCCAGTATAAAGGCCATAACACCACACGAGCATACACGTTAGGAATGGTATCAATATAGCTAGCTAAACCTGCTAAAATACCCATGATAATAGCATCATGAAGTACATGTGTGAAGGATCGGAAGGTATCACGACGGAAACAATGAGCAGGAATAGCATCACGGATTTCCTTGATAGTGAAATTGGGGATCTCCCAGTTTCTTTCAATAGCTTCATCAATCACTGGCTTCACTGTTGCTGCTGCTGCTGCTGGATCAGCAGTCACGTTTCTCTTTGTTGCCATGGTTAATGTAATTAGAAAAGAAAGAAAAAAAAAAAGAACAAGGGAAAAAAGGGGAAAAGCTATCTTTCTTTATATATGTAAGGGATATCGGTCCTTCAAAAAATCATCAGATTTATAGGAACAGGTAAAAAAAAATAAAAGAAAAATATTTTTTTTCGGTCCCATAAGCGGCCCCCAATTGTTGGCATTAGATAGAAACGCTTCGTTTAGCAGCCAATTAAAAAGTCTGATCTTCACATGGCGCTTAATGTATTTTTTTATTATTTATTTGCGTTTGTTTGTCTGTCTTTTGTTACCCCTTTGGATGGTAGCACTGGATGATCTACCCGTTCTTCGACTGGTCGTGTGATAACTACGCTGACTATTAGGTGTTGAGGGTTCTGGTGTGTATTCCGACTTCCGTGTACCTCTTGACGTTCTTCTTGAAGATTCTGTTTAATGGCGGGGAATAGAATTCATTTTTTTTTTTAATTGGTGGTTGGGGGACAGGGGTTTTTTTTTTTTTTTTTTTTTTTTTTTTTTTTTTTTTTTTTTGCGGGCACTTACTTTCTTCAGGTTCGGGTGTAGAAGTCATGGATTCAGCAACCGAGTTGGCAGGTGAATGTTCTCTTTTACTAGTACGCGTTCTTTTAGCGGGCGGAATAGCGGGTGAATTTTCCTCTTCCTCTTCTTCATGCACTGATGATTGATCATCCTGTCGATGCTCAGATATCAATTGTTCATATTCCTCTAACGGTAAACTAAATTCATGTCTCTTCTTTTCTTCTTCCTCTGCCTCTGACTCTTGTTCCTCATCCTCTTCTTCCAACTCATCCAACGCTGACATGCCATAAAACTCGCCTAATCTTTGCCAGATCTCTTTTATACTACACCTCACTGGACTATGTTGATTGAACTGTTTCTGCACACTGATAATCCTAAAGTGCTTATGAATCCCTTTTCTTTTACTTTTAGCCTTCATATATTTTTTTAAAGAAAAAAAAAGAAAAAAACTCACCCACTGGCTTGCAGCGCGATATAGCATTAAGGAGCGCCAACTCCATTTGTGCATCCCATTCTTTATTCACATGCGCGTCAAAGTTGGGTAATTCATGTCCAAGTTCCACCTTGATGGGATCATCGGCATATTGTGGTTCTGTTGTAAATTCACTCATTTTTTAAGGGGGTTAGAAATCGATTAAGCGAAAAACGGGTAAATTTTTTTGTTGTTTTATAATTTTTTTAATCCTCCCCTCCCCGCAGGTAGATTTGAATCTCCTTTAAAAAAAAAAATAAGCATGGACCAATCTTTTTTTTTTTTACGTTACAATTGGATTCTAGAAATCTCGGGATTTTTATAATGTTTCTTTATTATTATGTGGTATAAGCGTCATCCATTTTTGTATTTTAGCAGCGGATGGATAATCCTTGATATTGACAAAGGCCTTCATAAACAGTTTGCCTGTCACCTCATCAGCCTCTGTGGAGAATAACTTGACAAATCCTTCCATCGCCGTAGGTTTCAAATCAGGTCCATATCCCGTCGTTGATCGAAAGATGGACCAAATCTTCTGACTCGACATTTTACCGGTCACTTGAGTACTACTCGTTTCCATTTGCTTCAGATGCGCACCCTTCTTTTGTTGTTTAAGCCAATGTGTATAATTCATCGTCTTTGAATCCAATTGTAAGAAACTTTGTACTAATAAATTAAACGTCACCACATCCAATTCTTGTTGCGTGCCCTTTTTTAATTCCTTCACAAATGTTTCCACATGATGCCAATCCTTTCGAATAATCCAGCCGTTTAATAATGTGTTGGTCGAATAGGTATCAGGTTGGATACCCGATTGGATCATCTTTTGAAATATTTGATTAGCGGCTTCCATATTATTCGCATTCACAAACGCTTTAATTAAAATGTTATAGGTCACAATATCCGGTGATAAATTCTGCCCCAGTAACCGTTGAAAGACTTTCTTTACTCGTGTCAAGTCAGGTTTAGGCAATCGAGAAGCATACCCGTTTAGCAAGACATTGTATCTCGTCAATGAATGTTCTTCCTTTTCACTTTCTCCATCGTCCAAAAATCGTTTTCGGTATTGCATATCCACCCACACACGTTCCAGTTTACGAATATCATTGTTTTTGGTAGCACTGGTCATCATGGCACGATACAAATGACTGCTGGCACATCGTTCTCCCTTTTGTTCTCTCACCCATGTATACAATCGAAATCCATTCTCGACATCGCCTCGTTTCCCTAACCCGCTGATCAATCGAGCCAGTTCTTCTCCACTCAGTTGCACATCCAGCTTCTTTTCCATCAGGGTTAATGCCGTTAACACATGTTTCCCAGGCACCAATCCTACACCCGTCTTGCTCTGGAAACCCATCATTGTCATCAGCATACGTGTGACAGTTGTCGACGTAAATCGGATCTGTCCTTCCGTCAATGCTCGTTCTACTCCCATCCAATCGTCTCCCATCGAACACCGTGCAGTCACATACGCTTTCACCAGACGTCGATTCGTCATGGTGCCTTTCTCTCTTGTTTTTAATCGTCCATAGGCTCGTATACATTCCTTCCATCGTCCACACGTTAACCAATGTTCCAACACCATGGCATAGCAATCTAAATCTTGACATCCTGTGTCTCGTAGCCAATCCATCACGGTTTCGTCCCCTCGTGCAAGCATACGTTTCGTCTCTTTCCCACTATCGAGTTGGGATTGCAGGGTCTCCACGTATTGTGCGTAACCCGTATGGGGTCCCAACCTTGCAGCTAAAAATTGCATGGTTTCCTCAGAATCGTGTGTCATGCTGGATAAGACACGGATCACTCTCCCATACTGTTGTCGATCAAATGCATATTCTAATAAAAGGTGTAAAGTACGATGTGTAGGTGTCATAAGCGAGGTATACGAGATCAAGTCCATCATCGTAAAGAGGTATAATGTGTCGATCTTTGTGACCTTTTCTTCTATATACAGTTGAACAAAGGTTTCGACAGACATGGGTGTCATCCTTTCATGGGAATAGCCAAGCCAAAGTGATTGTGTGATGCTTTCTAATGGTTCCTTTTCGATACTTTCGATATCACACACGGTTAAACCTTCCAGGGCCAACGGCATCATGTTGCGTTTTACACACAATGCAATCCAATCCGAAAGGTACTTGGCAAGTTGCGTTGTACATGTGCGGTCCATCATATCTCGTAAATGGCGATAGGCCATGGGTAATTGACCACAGTCCAAAAGCGCCGTCATGTAAAATCCATCGCTGGTGGGGTTTACGGTGTATCGTTTTCGATACTCTTTGTAGGTGGCTGTTACATGCACTGTATCGCGGGAAGCACCATAGGCTTTGATGGCAGCCATATACATGATGGCCGAAGGTTGAATATTTGCCATCAGTGCTTCTTCGTACGCTTGAATGATACGAGCCCAAAAGCCCGTCTTTTTACCGTGACATGCCTTGTCTAGTAAGGCAGTCATCAGCACATTGTATTGGTCCAGGGACACTGTTGGTAATGCTCTGTATTCGGTCCATAAACGCAACGCTCGTTTCTTGTCCGTCTTTAAAGGTCGTTGCATTAGCGATTCAAGTTGTGCTCTCATGGGTGGAGGCGTGGCTACTTTTAAAGTGGTATGACTTCGACATCCAACAGTAAAGGAAACAGGTCGAACAACAAAAGGCCAAGGTTTAAATAATCGTCTTAGTGAGCGTGTACATGGTTCTTTCAACTGAACCGTCATGTCTCTGCATGTAGTTTTATGTTAAAAACAGAAAAAAAAAAAAAGAAACAACAAAATATAATTATTTTTCGACCCAGGTGTCAAATCTTTTATATATATAAAAATAATCCAAACCCCACACCAGATAAAAAAAAAACGCACTCTCTCTCTCTCTCTGTGTGTGTGGCCCCCTAAACAGCCCTTTTTTTTTTTATGTCTCCGCCCTTGTGCCTACCAAGCCACAATGACATCACTTATTTTCTCTTCTCTTCATCAAAAATGATTTTCTCTACAGCTTCTTCCACATGATCACATACCATGGCGGCAGGAAATTCTTTCGAGTTGTCACCGGCAAATACACCAGTACGTACCAAGACACTGGTCCAGCCATAGTTATTTGCTCCCTGGATATCTGCAGCGGGGTTATCACCCACCGCGTACACTCGACCTTGGTCTCGAGCTCCTAAACGACCCAGCACATCCTCAGCGTATCGATACGTAGCTCCATGAGGTTTACCAAACGACGTCGAATGAAGTTCATGATCGGTCAACTTTTTGTATAATGAATCAAGCGCGATCTTGAACGCACCTTGGCCTAAACGAGGAGCTGGGAAATCCGTGCTCCAAATCTACTCTCCCTCTTAGTCTGTTGCACCCCTCCCTTTATTTATGTATATATGTAACTTACAAGATCGTTCTATAAACAAAGTTTGAGAAACAAAAAAAAAAAACAGGAAAATGTAGAGAGAAAGAGAGTAACTTACGTTGGACCAGTAAAGAGGAACATCTTGTGTTGAATAATCTCCCTTTCGACTACCTAAAATACCGTCTTTTGAACAAAGTGCATCCAACATGATTTGAAGATCTCTTCCCCCTAAATATGATTTATCATGATGAGTGAACCAATGTATACACCTAAATAAAAGATACTTTACAATCGTAGGTATCATGGAATACCATCACAGCATGAATTGGGAGCGTTGAAAACTCTCGCGCAGCCTATTGGATTTTTGATATCACATCAGCTCATCTATTTTTTGTTATCTTTAAAAAAAAAAAAAAGAAACTTTACACTGGTCAAGACAGACAAATCAGAGGATGGTTTGGCAAGAGGCCAAGATGAACTATTCCAATGCATAATATCATGTGGGGTCACGGCCTCGCCAAACCCATATTTCTTGGCCACATCGTAACATTGTCGACCTTTGCCTCCCACAATCAAGACACGTTTATCACGGTATTTTGAGGCCAACTTTTGCATGGGTGAATGAGATAGAATCACTTGTTTGGCGTCAATCTGATGAAAAAGGGGGGGTTAGATGTCCTTTGTGTTTATTTTTTTCAAAAAAACCGAAAACGAACCTTTACACCCACGATCTCACTGATTTGTCGTGCCTTTTCTTCTTCTGTGACACCTCCACCGTTGGTCAACAAGACAAACGGAATGTTTCTATTCATCTTTTTTTATTAGCATGCAGTATAGCGCCCCTTGAGAGGGGGGGGGGGGGCGGACCATTATCTCTTACCTGTTGGCTGAATTATCCCCATTCAACATTTTAAGCGCACTACATGAGGGGAGAAGGGGTTTAATGTTGCTTTTTTTTTTTAAAAAAAAAAAGGCATCTTTCTTTACCGAGTTGCTTCAGGAATTAAGCGCTTTCCCTAACAATAAACTCTACTTTAATACGAAAACAAAAGATGACACGTCTCAAAAGTCGTTTACCTTGATCAAGACACCATCAATGTCAAAGGCAAATGCATAATTCGGTTTTCCACCCACTGTCGTCGTCGAGATGCATCTCGAGAATGCCTGTCTTTTCATAAACCCACGGGTCAATACACTTGTCATCATGATTAAGTGAGAGAGAGAAAGAAAAATAAAGCGGTCATTAAACCCCAATGTAACCCGTTCCCCCACACATACACTCACCCGGGGTAATTAGAAAAAAGTATCAGATCAAAACAACAACACTTAAGAGAAACATGTGATTCTTAGGTACACACACACAGATATCAACATTTTGTTATCACTGGCTCTACAGGGTGTCATGCAGCAAAACATGGAAAGGCGCCTCTTACACACACACACATACACACATATGCGATTCCAGCTTTGTTTCATGATTTCAATCTCCGGTGGATGTGCCCTTATTTTATATATGGATTTGCATATTGTAGATAAAAATTGTCATCTTGCTGTACCGGACGAAAAAAGAATGACGATTGCCTAAAAGTGGAGCAGTAACGGGTTAACAAAAGTGAATCTTAGAGGGTATAATTTGATTCTTTTATCCTTTATAAAAACAAGGTTCTTCCGCCAACACAATAGCTGTTACATTAAACCCCAAAAGTCTAACTACAATATGGAAACATTACATGACACTACTGAAAAAGCGGATAGACAACTACCAAGTTCTGACTTGCTTGGGGTAAAGGCTCATACATTGAATGGCTGATGACATAAATAATTAAATCATTCTGACATAAGCTCTTATTTATCAGCCTACAAATATATAAATTGATTGGATCATCCTGACATAAACCAGTCTTTGTTTATCAGCCTATAAATAAGACATGTTCACACAAAAGTTTTCATTTTTTCTTTTCCTTTAACACACTTCTCTTTTTACATCAAAGCTAAAAGGTTAGTAAATAATAACTTTTTGCTATTCAAGACACACTAAATTATTGGCTCTTTTTTTTCAATGAAAGCTACATTGTCATTCCAGCCATATTACGGCTACGAATAGTCTTTGTTATGGTATGCTCCCCTCTTAGGCTGGTTTTTTGGGTTTTGGAACCTGCTAAAAGGAGAGACTTTAAATAGCAGGGGTTACACTGTAAAGTTATTCTATCTGCTCGCCGGTCTACTGTAAGTGGTATTAAAAAATACGTTTGAAAAAAAAAAAAAAAAAAAAAAAATACGGAAGTCTAAGCATTTTTTTTTCTCGTAAAACAGCTATCTAGCAAAAAAATGAGTCGTATTCTTGTCCAATTTGTCACGGGTTTAATGAATAAAGATGCACTGAAAGGGAAGCCTAATGATACAGTGTCGTAACTTTTTTTTTTGGAAAATAAAAAATTAAATTCTCCAATAAAATATCTTCATTTCTGCCAAAATGTTACAAAAAAGAAATTCTGAAAAGTTTGGCTACAACCAAACTTTTCAGAAATTTTGGGATATAAAAGCCCTCTAAAACGCTCTAGATAGCAGTTTGTGTTAAAAAATTGTGTTAAAAAATTGCGTTAAAAACTTGTGTTAGTAAAATGTATTTTATTGAACTTATTTGTTGAATTTAAAAGATAGAGTAATAGTGATAATAATAATAAAAAAAGAAGAATAACGTAAAAAATTCTAATTGATTGAAGCTGGAATTTGACATTTTTTTCTATCGCAAACACCTTCGCAGTCTTTACGCTTGCAATTCAGGCAAATAGGGTTTTTGCAGTTGGATCTTTTCATTTTTCCATTGCAAAGAACAACACCGCATCCCTTACATGATTTCTTTAAAGTTGGGGGTTCTTTTGAGTAAGGATGGTATGTTTGGGCAACTGCATTAGACCTATGGTAATCGGCTGTTCTACTTTGGATTTGAGGCAGGTTGTTATTGTTATATGTAAATGACGCTGTTGTGTGTTGAGGAGATATTTTATAGTATTAATTGGTCACATTGGAACTGATAGATGAGGGATAAATTGCAGGCGTATTTTTCTCAGGTAACGGAATTTCCGTGGCAAGGAGTTGAATAGGCACGGTAGGAGCAGTTAGCACATTTTGATTATTACAAATATTAGGTAGAGATGGTATGACAAACGGCAAGTGTGAGCTGGTAGAATTTTGTCGCTGAATTAGGAGTTGTATATTTGTCATAACACTGTAATGAATTTCACGAGTGTTACGGGCAACTTGTTGTTCTTTCCAATGCTTGTAGTGCTTCTCTAAATGTTCTGGGGTTTTATCAAAAAATTTATCTCCATTGCATAATAAGTTCTAAGCTTTGGAAAGCTGACCGAAATGAGGGTTAACTCTTAACGATGAATGCATAGCTTCGTTTATCATTCTCCCAAACAAAAGTTTTTCTTCCAAAGTATGAACAGCAATAACCGCATACTTTCTTTTCTGACGTGCTGCTACATAGTGATATCGACAATTTTTTCCCTGAATGTAAAACCTACCTTCAAAAAAACTGTGTTTTTTTTAAGGTATTGTATTATCGTTTTCAATATCGAATACCTGTCCATCTAAGCTTTTTTTTTTATCCTCAGCAGCCTTTTCAATACACAGTCTTGTCATTTCTTCGTCTGGTAATGAACGTATACCGAATACTTCTTGAGAGCTACGGAATCTCAGTGCATTTACTTCAATTGCTAGATGTCTATCGATGTTACGATAGGGCATATCCATACGCAGAAAGCCTAGATGCTGAATTAACCAAGGATCATAATGGCCTTTGTACTCTACTCCAAATCTATTGAAAGTTCCAACGTCAAAGTTGTGCCGTAAACGATACCCAACCAACATAGCCAAAAGACCTAAACATTCTAATTAGGTTCTGATGAACCCCTCCTTTTAAAGAATTTGTTCCTCTTACACTTATGTACAGAGTAATCCTATACTTGTCTTTCTTTTTTGGTAGTAAAGCTGAACACCAGGTGGATCTGATACATGACCTAGCTGTATTGTCTTCAAAACACTTAGAGCTTGGGATCAAGAAACTTTGTCAAACAAAACTCATTTATCAAAAAAAAATAAGAAAGAATAAATTGATGATAGAGTTATATCTATATATATGCTCGATCACAACAGTGGATAAACGTGCTTTAGGATTGTTATTGACCCATGTGCATTGACGTTATTGCTACAAGGAGTAATTGTCGCTGCACTTTTTTTCTATGCAATAGAGAAAACACAATTGTTTGTAAGGAGTCTTCATATTCTTTAAATTATAACGGTAATCACAAAAAAGTCTTATCTTATGGAAGAATTGCTATCTAGAAAAAAGGTGAATTGCTGACAAGGTAGTTAATCCTTTTTTTTTTTTTGGTGGGTCGTTTTTTTTTTAAAGCTACAAGTAAGCAAAAGCATTCAATGTTTTGGCCCAAAAGAATGTATCAGTAAAAGCTGTACGTAAAGGCTTTTCATGAACACAAATATAGTTCACGTAAGCTGGGGAAAAAAAGAGTTATTAGTGGCGTGTTGTTTAAAGTGTAACGTTGGTGTTGCTTAACAAGTCTTGAGTATAGGAAGAGTATTATTTTAAAGCACAAGAGTTTTTAATTGTTGTATCAGAGTGAAGCTTTTTATCTATTATTCGATGTGTAATTAAATTCCATGACCAAACTGAAAAAGAAAAAGACACTTTGTCTTTTTAGTATCGAGAAGTACGTGTTTATGACTGTAGTTACGTGGAGCTACAACGATTGTAAGAAATAGTATTAACTCTCCCTTTAGATAATAATATGCATACATTCAAAGTACGACAGGCTACACATCTTTTGCAAAAACTATAAATATCGCCTTTCATTTTTTTACTCTCAAAAAAACTGATCACAACCGAGCCATACTTGCTCTTCTTTTCCTTTCCTTTCCTTTCTTTCTTTATTTTTTATTCTTTCTTTTTTTCGTTTTCTTCTTTTTTTTTTATAAAGACTTACTTGAAAACATCTTAATTTATAAGAACCATTCAGTAAATCTCGAAATCCTGTACAGTAAACAACTTTCTTTTGAATAGTAACATACGTACTTTAAACAGTATTAATAAAACCTTTTCTATATTTACTTTCTCTTTTGTATGAATATATAAGAAACCATCCTTATCTGGAACCATTATTTATTATTCTGACCTTGTGTGAATATCTTCTATTATTTTTTTAAAATCAGAAACATTACACACTTAACACCGTCAATCAAAATCATTTACTTTTATTACAATTCGTTATAAAAATCCCTAACCAGACCATGACGTCGTTAAGACCCTGTATAGTAAAACAACTCTCTTTTGAAGTACCATTACATACTTAAAGCAGTCTTGATAAAAGCTTCATGTTAATTTAATAACCTTACTACATAATCATTGATTCTTTTACGAACCCTTGAGTGCTCATTCTTCTTCCTCTTAATAACAATATGTTAACAAATGTCTAATCAAAACCTATTAATTGATTTGGTACTCACTTCAAACTCAATCAACCCACGTCTACATTAACCTCTTCGGAACAACCATTTTATATAATACGATTCAGCAGTTTGCCTAGTAACACAGCTAAAAAGCCTAAGATCATAGTCGGAGAAGGGCCAATAATTCTGATTCCCAGATTGTAGATAAATTGGCATTTTGCTGTACTTGACGGAGAAAGAACCAGTTAGCAAAAGCGCAGCTAGACAGTTTCTGTTTCTTGCCCTTTATGAAAACAAGGTACTTCCGCCAACACCATGGCAGTTACATTAACCCGAAAGCTTTCCTACAATAAACATTGTTAAAAAAAAAACTGTTCCATTCTCAATTTTGCTTATATAGAATACAACCCATTTAGATTATTCGGACTCAATCATGTGAACAAAGCTGCTTACACCTGTTTGCTACTAAGATGAAGCAACAAGACACTAGAAAGTAATCTTACCACTTACATGATAGAATTTGTCTCAGCCAAGGACAGCTGACAAGCTCCCAGGTATAAGCTAGAGATGGAGTAAAGTTATACCTTAATGGAATCCTTCAGTATAAGATTACCCTTTTAACCTTTTTTATTGGAATAATCTCTGTTGTTTTGCTTTGTTCTATCATTTACTCACACCTGTTTGCTACTAAGATGAAGCAACAAGACACTAGAAAGTAATCTTACCACTTGCATGATAGAATTTGTCTCAGCCAAGGACAGCTGACAAGCTCCCAGGTATAAGCTAGAGATGGAGTAAAGTTATACCTTAATGGAATCCTTCAGTATAAGATTACTCTTTTATCCTTTTTATCGGAATAATCTCTGTGAGCAATGACAATTAGGAATAGATTTTTTTGTATGATGACAATTAGGAATAGGAAAAGTATAAATAAGTAAATAAAAAACAAATTAAAGCTACGTCATCAAGGTAATGTGGCGTTTTTCTAAAATTTCATATCCAGAGCCAATAAAACCCCTTTATTTTCTACGAATTATACGAGGATCAATTATGCGTAGATAAAAGGTGTATTGAATCTTGTGCACATTCCTTTATCATTTTTATAATAGAGAGTTTAGGGGTGTTCTCACGCAGATTATTTTAAAATTTTAAAATCTTGATTTTAATCAAAACATCTGCTCCCACCATTATGGAGGGATCAAATTTTTAGTTAATGTTTTCTGACATTCATATTAAACTTTTTATAAGTATCTATCATCTAAAGAAATCGAAGTGCTAGATGATCCATTTTTTGCTTCGTGCCAAGACTTGTAAATGGATCTCTTCGTGTTCATTTAAAACAGTGTAGAGGCAAGAAAACGTTAAAACTCCATGAGAGTGACCCCCTTTTAAAACAGTGCCGCCTACAAACGACATAAGTTAAGTTATAAAAGGATGAACCTTCGCTATCAAGGAGCTGTATACGTAACTAAAGTAATTAGCAGAAGAAACATGACAATCATACTGCATCTTATCTTTAAATTGAGAAAGCTCAAGATATTGTCTTGACTAGATCATAGATAATACGGAAGGATATTGGGCATCATGGTCGAGGGTTATGTAATACTGAAGCTGCAATTCGTCATATTTTTCAGTGTCCAACACACGAAGGACTTTAGCCATACGATGAGGTCTAATTCCATGTTGAAAGAGTGGTCTCATCAGTTTGCAAAGCACTTTAGACAGGCCAGATCGATGACAAAGGACAGCTGGAAATTTAGCTTGTAAATGAAGCGAGTTGCCGGATCAAAGCTGGGTTCCACCCATCAAATGTGGGCTTAACATCCTTATAACGACACTTGTATCTTGTAGTCATCAGGTAAAAACAGACAAAAATTACTAAACATATTAGAAATGAGATAAAAAAGAAACTTCTCATAAGATCGCACTCACTTAAATCGATAATCCTCCTAGCTCTTAGCTTCTTATTAAATTCCTTTAAACCTATTTTTGCTTCACAAGTCGGACATTTTAAATCTCTTACTAAATGATGAGGGAACCATAAAGCACTCTAGGTGTATAGAGGTATCCCGGATCTTTGTTATTACTATCAAGCATAAAGTATGGATTCTTTCAGTGAGCCCAAAAAGTGCCATTTTGATACTCTTCTGGTCTTTTCCCCCATCAATCTTTCTGTAACTCAGCAAGATACGTATTGACATAGCTTACTTTAAGGATAGAAGCTGTATCATTGTCAACAGCGATGAATTTGTTTTCGTCTAGTTCTTCTGTACCGCCTTCGTCATCTGTTCCCCACTCATTATGATTTCCCTTATCTTCATCCAACAAATCCGCAGTTTGGATATCGAAGTTGAAAAATTCATCAATATTAACTTCGTCTTCGTTCTCATCGTCAACGTTATTTTCAAGATTTAATAGAAAATTTCATTGCCCTTTAGTTGTGATCTGACAGGAACGAGTACCATGTTATGCTTTCTTCCATACTCATCGGCAATGGAACGCGAATGCACTATAATAGTAAAAGTATTTACGATTCCAAAGGTTTCGACCATTCGCGATTACTTTATTCTGTAACTGCAGAATTGTCCATTTTTTTTTATAGATAAAATTAGGACTAAAATTTAAAAAGGTAACTCTTTGAGCAAAGTACTGTCGCTTATAAAATATAGTACAAATACGTTGTCCCTTTCTTGACGCACCCATTTCACGCACCAAAAATGAATATATTACATAAGAAATGTGTTTTAAAACCTGATTTCGGTGCCTAGAACTTCCCCTATTTAATACATACGTAGGTGACGTGCTATTTTTTTTAAAAAAAACATGTGATTTCAGAAAGTACGTAGAAAAAAATAAAAACGACGTGTAGACATTCTCTCTTTATACCCCTTCTCTGTTAAGAATGTCGTGTCCAGAACCATACCTAAACAAAAAAATTGATATCAAATCAAGCGTAAAAAATAATGAGTTTTTTTCAAGCAATGTTGTGAATGATTGGACTTTCAAAAACTTTGTAATATGGACTGGCGATATTTATGCTAAAAGGATGAAATCCCACTTAAAAGAGTATCACAATAGCTTGAATTCCTTACTCAAAAAACAAAATATGGATCGTGCTCTTGTTCAATATGTCACCAGTCTTTTAAATAAAAAGGTATAGTAAGAAATAGTATAATAATTTATTGTGCTTTACAAACTTACACCATTCTCAATAAAATAGTGGTCGGATCATGAGTTAAATTTGCTGCGCGAGGAGTTTAACGAGAAGCCAATCATAGGAGGGTCTATCAACATCACGAACTCTGTCGTAAATCACTCGAACATCACCAATAGCCCATCCGTATCACTGAGGCAAACCAAGGTATGTATATATATTGCTTCATACGTAGATACGCAACAACTATAGTTAATGTTAATGTATATTTCATTTTATAGCGTAGAAGAAGTTCATTGCCACCATCAGGTAAATAAAGCAATTCTTATGCATCCCATAAAAAGGGATGATGATTTTTACTAAACTTATGCATAAATCATAGGCAGCGTTGTCTCGGTTAAGAAAAATAAAGAGACGTACTCTTTAATTAAGCCAACCACACCTAATGCCCTTTTTTCTTTGGACAGCCCTTTTTTTGATGAAGATATCAAAGCCAAAGTTGCTGAAATTGCTCACATTAAAATAAGTAACGAGTGCATTTGTCAAGACCAATCATTAGTAAATGAGTATTTGAAGAATGTTGAGGAAAGTAAAGCAAAGTCATGTATGAAACGTCTCCCGAATGCAATGGCTTTTCTTAGCGGCGCCTTGAACCAGAATGTCAACACACTCATAGCTTGGTTAGGTAAAAATGGATTCGAATCCAACCACTCCGAGGAAGAAGACAAAGCAATACTTTTCATTCGCCTGGTGTTAACTGATTTCTATGCAAATTGCATGAAGCCTCCATTGTTGAACAAAGCAAACGAAAGGACTCCTTTTGTAGAATATCTGGTACCCATATTTAAATACTATAGTGCTGTTTATCAAAACATAAACTTCCAATGGTAAGACTTTATTATATATAGTCGTATGGAGTCAATAACTTACTTCCATCTTAGGTGTGAGAAAGGTCTAGATGGCAATAAGTGCCTGAAATATTTCGATTTGGAAGATCAAGGGAAAAAACGTCTTGCGGATGGTATTGGTTATGTAGTTGCTGACAACACCGAGAGTATGCTAATTGAATCGTCGGGGTAAGCTTTCTAATGATGTTATTATATTATTTGTGAACGTATATTAATATACAAAATTTAAAATCAGGGAGGAAAATGACGAGCATAGAAAGGGTGACACGATCAAGCTACTAGAATGTAGCATACGAGCCTTAAAGATGGAAATGGAAAAGATGAAATCTTCTTCTTTTACAACATATAAAAAAAGAAAGTTTATTAGTTACCTCTATGCCCGTGATAAGTTGACGATGCTGGTTACTTCTGTTGTAGATAAAGACCATTGGGGATTTGTTCACGTGAGGGACGCTTTAATTCCAAGAACATGGGAGACACGGCTACGTTGGTTAAAATTGTTTGATTTGATGTTGTGCACCAAGGTATATTTCATAAAAATAAACACATACTCCTATATTTAACCTAACTTAACTTACTTTAGGATAAACTAGAAGAACAGCGCATTATAGCAGAGATGTTAGAAAAGGAAGAAGACGGTTGGATTGAAGTCTCAGAGGGAGATTCAATTCAGGATATGCTGAACTTTTAGTTGTTTGAAGTAACTACAATGTACCATCATTTTTTTTTAAATATACCCAAACTGTTTACAACATAGTATTGAATAATCAACTTGCTTAAATCACTTCAAGTTAAAGAGTATTGTATTCATAAATATGCAAACGTATGTCAAGATGCTTTAAGCAAAGAAAGCTTTATATTTGAGGTATGACAAATGTTTAGTCGCTTCTTTCTTTACATACAACCTAATGGTTTACGTCTTTTTTAGATGGTATGAGAAGGATAGTTGGGGCAATTCAAGAAAATGATCTGCATAAAAAAGGAAAGACAGTCCTGCTAGGGTGGGTTAATAGCAGAGAAAGCTCTTAACAAAAAGAGCCTCCCCCATAAGCCACTATTTTTCAAAGTCAAGGGTACCTTTTTTTTATTTTTGTTGCCCACCCTCTTTTTTTCATAATTATTCCAACTTGAAGATGATGAACCGTCGATTATTTAGTAGCAGTACCCGTGCTGCCGCCGACTTTTATAAAATTACCTTGAAGCGTTCTTCTATCGGTCTTCCTCAAGATATCAAAGCAGCTGCCAAGACCCTTGGACTTGTTCGTCTTCAACAAACTTCATATAAGCCTGTTAATGCCAGTAATGCCGGTCTTATTCTCAAGTTGAAGGAAATTGTGCAAGTTCAACTTGTGGACCATATTCCCACCGCACAAGAAATTGCCGCAACAAAACCCTCCAAAGGTTATACCATTGTTGGTAGCAAAATCTAGACGAGGTGGATATTTTTTTTTTTTTTCTTCTCTTGTACATTATAAACACACACAAACACACGCGCGCGCGCACACACACACACAACATAACAGTCCATCAACAATTCAACTTGGACGTAGAAAATAATAATAAAATAAAATAGATAGTTATTTTATATAAAGTTAAACTCGTCTTGATCCTCAATGGAACCTCTCCTTTTTTTACTCCACTCTTCCAACATTTCATCCTCCCATTCTTCTTTTTTGACTTGATGACTTAGATATTGATTTGCCTGTAATTGGTCTGGCACATCACCCCATTCTAACGTACCCCAGTCTTTCTCCCAGGTATTAATCACAGACCTATAAAAAGATGTTTTACATCTTTTAGTATGTATATATTTTTGAAAGGCTCTCAAATTAAGCTTATATTACTTTACTCGTCATGTAACCAGATACCACTCCGCTTTTGTAACTGTAAGGAGGAGTAGGATTTTTCTAATTGTACAGCCTTGTGAATGATTTTTTCGATATCCGTGTTTTGTGGGATGCGTGTCACGAGTGAATGCACGATATCTGTTTCTGCCGCTAATATTTCATCTCGTCGTAACAATGTGATCTAATAGAAGGGAAAATGTGAGGAACAAATGGGGAAGATAAAAGACAATAGTGTGGGAGAGAGAGAGAGAGAGAGACCACTTACGGCGCTTGCTGTAAAGACAGGCATGATGGCAGGACTAGCGATAAATAAATCAAATAAGCGAACGACCTTTTCGTAATTTTCAAAATCATGGCTGAACCAGGTAAGTATCCAGCTCAAAGCATAATACGGCATAACATTGGCTTTTTCGAGAAATAAAGAGAGTTCGGGATCTTCATATTCGATAAGTGAGCTCATCAGCCGTAGTTGCTTTGATACCGGATCAAAAGAATCTAGCATGGCATCTCGAATAAAAAACAGTGCGACGTTTTCTGCTGCGGGAATAGCGGCTTTTTTACCTAGCACGAGTAAAAAGCAAGTGCATATATCATGAAACCCCTAAAGAATTATTGTTCTTATTAAAAAAAAATTATAAAGACCCTCCTCACACACTCACACACACACACACATACACACACACACACACACACACACACATACACACACACACACACACACACACACACACACACACACACACACACACACAACACGCTTTTAGCTCACACAAAAAAAAAAAGAGTGTATATTCTACCTGATAATATTTTAAGGCGGGATTTCTCCACAGGATTTCAACAATCATGCAATGCAACTCTTGTTGTTTATGTGCTTTAAACATTGGTGATACATCTTTTTTTTTTTTTTTTTTTTCATATAAACAAGTTTTTTTTTGTTTTTTGTTTTTTTTTTTTTAATTATTGTTATTTTTTGTCCCCGCAAAAAAAAAAAAAAAAGTCTCCTCTATTTACCTTGTGGATAGTAGTACAATGATCTCTCTACATCTTTTGTTATCTGTACTGGATCCGCTAAATCCTTTTCTAAAAATAAGAACTTAATTAATAAATTCCTCCTCATTGGATTCCCTTCAAATGATTTCTTTTACCACTGCCTTTCTCTGCAATGTAATTGCCATGATGTGTATGCAGTAAAATCGGCCTAATTGGATAACAACGCATGAGTTTCTTTTTCTTTTTGTTTTTATATGAAAAGTGGGTGGAGGAAAAAGACAAGGTAGTTTTAGTTACAAAAAAAAAATTTACCAACCTACCAAACATATTGTCGAAGTTTATCATCTACAAAGCCTTCGGGACATTTAGCTAGCTTTTTAAGTTCATCTAAATCATTCTTTGCCATGGCGTCGAGTATATCTTCTGTTTGTTGTACTCGGCGCATGCTTCTAGCTGGGGAGGAAATATATATACACATGAACAACTTTTTTCTTCATTGACATTGTTTAACGTCCCGTCATACCAACCGACATTCTAACTCCCATTCTTAAACCATGCATTATTTAACAAGTTTAAATTCAAAAAAGAGGAAAAAAAAAAAAAAAAATAGAGACCAACCAACAAATTAAACAAAGAAACATCAAGTCACGCATTGGGTAATGTGTGCTATTGCATACAACCCTTTTTTTTTTTTTTTTAACACATAAATAAAAAAATTGGGTGAGGAGTATAAAACAGAGAGAAAAAGGGCCTATATTGCTTATGTCACTTTAAACCGTTCGATAGCCAATCCGGAAAAAAAAGGACATGATTAAACAATAAGAGTTAGTGACAACACTATGTATCATTACATCAGTAAACCAATGTGTACATTTAGAAAAAGTCAGGTGATGATGGTGACACGGCTGTATGATTTACAAAACTCAAAAAGTAGGTGGGATTGATGAAGACGACTAGGGAAATCACTTGGGTATAAAAAAATTTGGGACCCCATGAACGTGTCATAAACAAAATATACGAATTAGTTTCAAAAATGCGATCATGTGTATGATGGGCCACTCTGTTATGTAGCTAATTGTAGTTAGATTGACAGCCCCGTTCCCACTAACTTTTTAAAAAAAAATTTATCAGAACTGTCTGGACACTTGGTTTCAATGAAATAGGGTATACAGGAGCAAATAGCTCATTTAAGCTACCCCTCAACACTCACTCACTTTATCTTTGCACTTAGAAAATAACCTCACTTTATCTTTGCACTAGAAAAAAAAAACGCTCACTTTAATATAAAATCTTTTTCTGCTTTTTTTTTTTTTCTTTGTACATATCTAACTACAATGGCCAGTCAAAAATGTAAGTTGATTCAGCCTACAACGTAGCTTATCTCATTTTAATTTTTAACTCATCATGTTGCAAAAAAAAAAGACTTCAAGCTTCCTTTCAAGTGGCAACCCCCACACGATATCATAACCAAGTCATTACTTGAAGACCCTTCTATTATAAATATGATCGTCCGTGCTTTAGTTGGTACTGAGAGTATCCAAAGCTACTATTCAGTACTATATTTTATCTGTCTAATTCTCAATGCTTTTTACTTTATAGATGAAAATATTCCAGTAGACACTTATACGGTCGCTCCAATAGAGTCATTTGCAACTACTACTACTACTGATAAAAACATGTATACGTTATACGTCTCGAAAAACGAAATCAGTGATAAATGGGGACCAGTGCTTGTCGTAGTCCAAGAGATAGTAGACCACGTTACAATGGGAGAAACAATTAAACGCTGTTTACTGGTTTATGAAGAAAGACACATTTCACCCACAGTTCTAATTATCTCTCTACAAGATAGCCTGGATTGGGGACAGTTTGATGAAGAGGATGATTTCTTTCTACGAAAAATCCAATGTAGCTATTGGTCCGAGAAATGCTTGGTGTTCTTTTCTAATCCATTAAACAACGTCTTGTCGGTACCTTCACTGACCTCATTTTGTCAATTTATATCGAATACGAAAAAGACCTTTTCTTCTTTTCAAGACCTGAAAACTGGAATTATATCGTTGACGTGCGAAACCGCAAAGCCATAAAAAAAGAGGCTTACACCAAGAAAATATTGGCTTAACATTTATCTGAAAGTGTTATCACTCTAAAGCTTTTGATCACAATAAATACTTTAAACCAGTTATGCATTTCGCGATAAATTGCCTCACTCAACTGGAACAGGAACCCCTTTTCATATGCATAGTGATGGGTTTCGTCAACGGTGTAAAACAGGATTTCACCAACACTCTTTAAAAGCGTACGTCATTCACGCATAATTAAACCCTCCTACCCCGCCACCTTGTCATGCATATTTCATATATTATAAAAAAAAACTCGAGCAGTGTATCTAGCCTTGCAAACAGGAATTAAAAATTTGGAGAGGGCGGCGGGGAGGCGCGGGGAAAGGGATTACGTCGTTTTTTTTTTTTTATTGTTATTATTTTTTATTCTGTATTGATGAACATGCAATGGGGATCATTGATCATGCTGGCATGTGGTCTGGTCGTTATTTACCTGGCCATCTTATCCCAAGACGTCCCTTACCCACACCCAAAAACGATCTACACGTCTAACGGACCACTATTTCGAAACCCAGATCAGGTCATCTTGACCACTGTAGGACCATGGATTTACCTCACGAGCATGCAATTTCAACAACCTACCCATGAACCTTTTATAGGCATTCATAATTTGAAATTAGGTGTGCAAGGCATGTACAAGTTTCCCCCCCCCCTTTTTATATATAAAAAAGGACGATCCCCTTTTTTTTTTAACACCCTCCCCTCCTCCATTGTATTTCTAGGCGTGATAAAACAATATAAAAAACCCATTTCGAATTTACAATCAGAACGAGAGTTACTCGAATCCGACGGTAAAAAAAAAAAAAAAAGGGGAATTCCATCGATATCGAAAATCTAAATAGACGAACGACCATTAAAAATTAAAAAGAAATTTAGGTTGGGAACCTTGTTTTGAACATACGTTGAGAGGTCAAATATCCAAAGTATCCGAACGAAAGAATAGTACAACTTGGCATTTTGGTGTGTTGTATCATCATGTGGAAAACGATCATTCGTTTCATTTTGTCAGAGTTTATTATACAGTAGATCATGTATTCGAATACAAGGATATTAAATTACCTGGCACGATCTGGGTTGATTCTATCTCGCTCGAATACGATTCCATTATCTTTTCTAGGTATTTCTTGTTTTTTTTTATAAAAAAAAAAAAAAAGAGAGGGGAGGCTGACATTCATATTCTTAGGGATCCAGATCTTGTTGAATTTCATATCATGACTTTACCTTCCACTTTAATAGAACCACCTCATTCAGATAATGCTCAAGATATCACCTTGGATACAGTACAACATGGAAGAGCTATCCAGGGTAAAAAAAAAAAAAGACTTTGACAGCTTACCCTTTTTTTTTTTTTTTTATTGATATCATCTGAATTAGAATGGTCACAACCTGCATCTACAGAGGAATATGCAACTCTTTTTTCAAGATTATATTCACACATGTAAGTTTTACGTGTGCAAATTTAGTTTTTTTTTTTTTTTTTAAAAAAAAAAAAAAAAAATTCATGCAAAAAAAAAAAAAAACTAATCTGATCTGATAAATAAAAAAAGAAATGACACCTATCGAGTTTTCACACTCAGTGTGCATCGAACCACCTCGACATTTTATGTCAATATCACAATTGCAGATAACATTACCATGACAACCAGCGAAAATCAACGAGCGACGACTTGGATTGAACGAGAAAAAGCCGAATCCAAAGTATTAAAATAAGCCAAAAAAAAAAAAAAGTTTCATTGCTAGGGGAGGGGAGACACTAACTCTATTAAAAAAAAAAAAGTACCCAGTGATCAATACAGAGGAAATGATTGATTATGGCGGTTTCGCCGATATTTCCAATTACAAGAATATCGAACTACGTACTTCCATGCCACAATTGCACGCGACGGTCTCTTCTGATTTAAAAACAATTGTCTTTCCATTCCTCAAGAATAAATTCATCACGTTGGATTATACGGAAAACATGGACATGTTGAAAAGGATTCCCTCTGAAAGCGAACGTTTGTACTCGAATGACAATAAACAGACGGTACTAGCAGAATATTATTATTGGCAGCCTTATAAATCGGTGGATGCAGATATCATGGGTGTTCAATTGAATGAAGAAGGTACGATCTTGGCGTTGTGGACAGAATTCAACCATGTGTATATTTATAAACGTGGGACGGATAAAGTGGAAACATCGTTACTGGGAAAGATTGACCGTTGGTTGGATCATGTTTTATCAGATATGTCTGATGAAGAAAAGGAAATCAGAAGACTTCATTTCCCTCCCTTTTGGGAATTGGAAATGGCCATTGCTCCCATACGTAATGAATATGGTGATTCAAGGGTAAAAACTACTATTTAATCACGCTTCACCCCCCCCCCCTTATTTTTATCTCACAATTTTTTTTTTATAAGGTTGTAGGCACTGTTCATTTCTGGGATAAGAATTATATCTGTAAGATCGATCTTTTTTTTTTTGTTTTGTTTATTATGAATAATTAAACGCGGGGGATCATCCCCTTTTCTCTTATTTTAGTCGTGGGTTACAAGAATGGATTTGTAAATTCTTATCGGATCGATTCCCAAGAACCCGAAAAATCCATCAATTTTTGGACCTTTGCAATTGAGCGATGGGATATGCTTTTCGGTAACTCCTTTTTTTTTGATGCATTTTTTTCTACTCTCTGACTTAAACACTTCCTCCCACTATTTTTTTTTTTTATATATAGCCATGTCTGCCGTCATTACCATCTTTGTCTATAACGAATATCAACGTCCTCTCTAAAAAAAAACCTCCTCCCATACGCTCGCGTATAAAGGACCATAGCTTCTTTTTTTTTTTTTAAACCAATTAAAAATGTCCCCGTTTTTTTTTTTTTTTTTTGTGTATTTCTTTCTACCATGAGTCATCCAAAAAAAAAAAAAGATTGTATGACAAAATGTCAGACTTAATCTTTTTATATGTAGTTCAAATTAAAATTTCGTTTATTTATATTTATTTATTATGAAAGAGCCTTTTTTTTGATCAACAAAAAAAAACATGCATGTGTCGGGGGGGGGGGCGGCGGAACCCCGACGTTTGGTAAGAAGAAAAAAAAAAATTAATGACGCAGAAATGGATTATAACTGGCTTCAATCATGGGTGGATTGCGTTGTCGACAATGAGCTTTAGGAGGTTCATCGGTCTTGTAATAATTTACGGTAGCATCTTGATCATCTTGGGTAGCGACGGAATCGACGGAAGACAAGGATCCGCAGGAATCATTGATGAGACCCGGTTGTCCAGAATACATGGCGGCATACGTAGGGATATCTGCATCATGGAGAGCCGCTGCAGCTTCCGGTCTTTTAATAACGATAGGGATAGTAGAAGTTGACTTGTAACGATAATAAGCATTTGATAACTCTGCAGGAGAGATGGAGACATGATAATTCTACATGATTTGCGACAAAAAAAAAATCATACTTAGATTCTCTCTCTCTTTTCAACTTTTTTTTGTTGTTACTCACCATGAGAGAAAGCAATTGCTTTTCCATCAGATTGATTTCGGATAGTGTAAAATAAGCTGCATATTTCGCCCAATGTTTGTTTTTCGGTGAGGTGTCATGCAAGGCCTTGGAAGTGACAATCAGGGTTGCTAAAAAGATACGATGAGAAGTGCATGGCATCCCTTTAGCGATGGTAGAAAGTGTCTGTTGAAGTCGTTGAAAGAAGACAAGTGAACCCAAGAGGGTACCCGTACGTACGGAGGATCGTTTGACGAGAAATCCGATAAAGGAGGCTAAAGAAGGAAGTGGACCGTATTTACTATGACCCAAGCTACTGCTGTTGTTTGTGACACTGGGTTGACAAGGAATCACTAACGACGCCTGCGTAGTTACGTGAGAAAGTAGTTCTGAACTGACAGGACGATGAATCATGTCCAGAATATCTGCAAGTATGGCTTCATCCATGACCTTTTTTTTTTTTCTTTATGTTAATATAAAAAAAAAAAAAGAAAAAAAAGATGTATATTTGTTTATTTTTTTTTTCTTTTTCTTTTTTTTTTTTTTGCTTTATTAAATAGATGTATTATATTTTGAGACATGAAAAGGAAAAAAAGGATGGAAAATATAGAATGATGAAATATGAGACAAATCTACTATTAAAAAAAGAGAGAGGGTATAATGGGGGATAAAAAAAAAAAAAAAAAAGTGGTTTTACCTCGGAAAAAGATATACATGCAAAAAAAAGAAAGAAAAAAAAAATATATATATATATAAAAAAAAAAAAGGTACGAAACGGGTAGAGGGATGTTTCAGTTCAGATTTAAATCTTTTTGTTTTTTTTCGCCCATCGTAGACCACACGCGTTGCATAAACTATCACAAATACTTTTTTTAATATTGAACCAAAAAAAGTGTAAAAATAAAGACTTACGTTTTTGGACCATGTGGACCTTTTCGCCATTCGGGTGAGGCTGTTGTTCCACAATCAGCGCACACGTAATCATCCATACTTTTATGTTTCTTCTAAAATAACACGGTTATATATCTCTCTTTCCCCCCGTGAAAAGGTTTCATCCCAAAAAAAAAAAAAAAAAAAAAAATATTTACCCTTCTTTTCCACTTGTCTGTACTTGTGGTAACGGAATTATTAGAGGAAGTATAATCTTCATTATAGCGTAATAACATCTCATTGAATTCTCCATTTGATTGTATGGGTGGAGAATACAGTTCCGATTTCCATGGGGAGGACGTTGGTGCGTGGTCATCTGGTCTATTATTTGTTCCAAATAGAGTCGAACTACAGTTTGACGGTCGACGGTCAGCAGTTGAAAAGTATGGCTGTTGTTGTTGTATAGGCTGCTGCTGCTGCTGCTGTTGTTGTTGTTGTATGTGTTGTTGGTGATGCTGTGATGGCTGGTGATGCTGTGAAGGCTGTGGTGGGTGATAGGGAGGCTGGAACGGAGTGTCTTGTAATAACTGATTTAAGCGCTTTTTTAGCCACTCATTTTCCATTTTGAGCTCCAAGAAAGAATCCATCAGACCATTGCTTCTGGAGAGATAAGGTTGAGCAATGGCAAAAAAAGATTGAGGAGGTTGATGTGGCACATCTTGCTTTGGATGACCGATGGATTCGAGTAGGATATAGGTATTGTCTTTGCGTCGAATACGATAATGCGTCTTTATTCTGGAGAGAGATGAAAAGGCCAACTGAAAGTTTCTGGCAAAGATATCGAGGTCATCGGTATGAATAAAATCGGTCAACGATTTTCCAATTAATTCGAAGGGTAAATAGCCTGTTAATTCGATGCAACTCTCTGAACAATACAGGACTTTTCCTGTGGGTGATAATATATGAAGTAACCCGATTACATCTTGTAGGATTCTTTCTGACCAATTATTATTATTTTCTTGTCCGATGAAATTAAAATTTTCTTGTTCGTAAATTATATCTTGTTGCATTGTACGTGAAGGAGCTGAAATAAAAGGCATATGAGTCACTTTGGTTACTGAATTACTGCCACTGGAATCACCTACAATTAAATTAGTTGATATGGTAATCATACATTAAAAATTTTAAGGATAAAAAAAAGGGGGGGGGGTTAATTTTTAATTTAGAAGAGAAGAAAAAAAAAAAAAAAAAAAAAAAAAAAAGAAAAAAAAAAAGGAAAAAAAAAAAAAGTGTGGTTATTATATAACCAAATGTGCATGGCGAACTTCCCAATTGGGGATCCTCTTCCGATGAATCGGGAGCCAACCAGCAACGAGAAATGACTAGCCGATGCTGTCATTGTGCAATCCCCTCTTGGGAAAAAAAAAAAAACTTTTGAAGAGTGGCTGATCATCTTGATCCTTAAACGTCATACACCATGACGTAAAGTACTTGTTCCCCCTCCCTTCCCCCCCCCTTTTCCCCCAGGAATAAATGGCGTCACTATTTTCTATCTTTGTCCCATCCTTTTTCCTATATAAATAGTTTCTTTCAATTCCCATGTCAAAAAACCTTTTTTTTAAGCTTTTTTTTTTTTTTTTTTTTCTTTCTTTGGGCGGTTGGGGGTACCACTATTTTTAAATCTCAATAACCCACGATCCCCAAGTATGTGTGTGTGATTTTTAAAAAAAATACGTGTCACAGAATCCCATAATTTTTTTTTTTTTTTACATAAAATACTACGTCAATATATGCAAGTTGGCAACATGAGATATGGTGGGGACATATCTACACGTGATAAACAATTTTTTTTTTTTTTTTGTAATTCTCGGGTTGACTGTTTTTTTTTTTCATATCTTTTTTTCTTGTTCTTCATCTATTCTTTTTCTTCCTTACACAAAATAAAAAAAAATATGACGGATAATCTCGCAGCTTGGCCTAGTGATGAAAAAAAGTTCAACGTGGTAGAATTCTATCACAAGATCTTATGGGCAAGTCAAGCCTCCCCTATGGATGATGCTTGTCATGGCAACAGGAGAGTGACTTTCTCGACCGAACCACCAGTGATTTATGAATATGAACCTGAATATCCTCAACGCTACTCCGATCACTCTAAACCTCCCCCTTCTTCTCGACACTCGGGAGAAAATTACAATTCTTATTATTATTATTCACAGCCACCCACCATTACTCAGGATAAGGAGGAGGAGGAGGAGGAGGATGACGACGTGGATTTCAGCTTCTTTCGGAATCATCGTCTTATGAAAACCAGATCCCTGTGTGATTTCAAACCTATTCCTAATGGAGATTTTAATTCTTTTCTTTACCCTACAACCACCACCTTGGATGATCTTGATCCACCACCCTCTTACATCGAATACAATGTATATCGGGAACCAATGGAAGACCCTATGTTTATACCAAACAATAATAACAAAAAACTGGGTAAAAAGCAAAGTATGGTATGGGTTGGACAGGCATTCCTTCAAAAGACCTTACGAAAGATTAAATCGTCGCCAAGGTTAATGATGGCAAGAAGATCTTCCATGTTATCCCTGCGTAAAAACAAGTCGTTTTTTTCCTTGTCTGCATGATTTACATATAAAAAAAAAGTTTTTATTCTTTTTCCCAGCAATCTTTTTTTTTTTTATTATTATTATTATCATTATTATTAAACCCCCCTTCAAGAAAAAAAAAAAAGGAATTGTACATAAAATAAAGCAATATTCTATATTGATCGATGCCCCTCCCCAGCATCACTGAAAAAAAGAAAGGAGAAATGAGGAGTGAAAAGGGTTTTTTTTTTAGGGAGGTTTACAAGTAAAAAGTCTAGGTCCTCTCTCTTTCTTTCTCTTTCTCCTCTTTTATGCGCTGTTCAACAAAAGAAAAAAAAGATACACTAGAAATACACACCTTTTTTTTTTGCATTTACATGCCTTTCGTCTTTTTCTTTCTCATTTTTATATGGATTTATTTATTCCTTTGATTTTTCATTATTATTTTTTTTTTTATATTGTCTTGACGCCATCACCCATTCTTTATAGATCTTTTTTTTTTTTTTGACAGGTTTCTTTTTTTAGATGCCTTTTGTTTATTAAGTGCTGGTCAGGTTCAGTATATTACTACTCAATGCTTTTTTATAATGTATCATGCATCTTGTTATAAAAATAACTTTTTTTTTAAAAAAAAAAGATTACGTGTTTTCTTTTTTGCAGTGGGGGTAAAACCCGATGACTTAATTTCAGAAATCCCCCCCTTAAAAAAAAATTACGATTTACTTGTACGCACTGCAAGGGACAATTGATATATATATATATATTTATTTATTATTATAAGGCTGGCCTCCCTGCATTTCTCACATGTATTATTTCCGTAGAACAATTTTTCTTTTAATCTTTTAAATACACACATGCTTATTTTGTACGTTGAAGAGCAGAAGAGAGTCGCCAAAATACTTTAGGTAATACATCCAAACTAAACGTGATTGAACCCAATAAGAATTCAGGTAAACGACCCTTTTCTTCCACTGAAAGTTGTGCCACTTGATAAGGTATATATTCCACTTCCTTTGTCACATCATGAGGGAGCTCAATATGAAATTTAAAATCTAGATGTATATATCTACTGTTAATATATATAAAAAAAAATCATTTTTCTTCTTTTCCATCTGCTCATACGCTCTTTTTACCCATGAGAACACCATGAATGACACAAAAAAAGCTCGTCCCCATCTTGCTTTCACTTTGTTCAATTACGTCAAGTGCAGTCAATAATTTCATTAATTTTTGTACATTAGCTTCAGCTTGATTTTCTATATATATATCTCAATTTTTTAGGTTCTACATATATATCAACATCCACTCTTATGTCTTACCGCTCTTATCAGCAACCGTCATCGTAGGCTCACGAATAAACTGGTGCATTGTTTCATTGTACTTGTTTTGCATCCTTAAGTAGTCTATATAAATATCGCATCAATCCCCCTTTTTGTTTGTTTTGTTTGGTTTTATCTATCTATATATACAACATACACACAAACCTTGATATTGATCTTCATTAGCCTTTTTGTATAATGCTACTAATTCATGATGTCTTAAAGAAGCCCGTTTTGCTTTTTCCTCCAACTAAAATTACCCCCCACAATAATAAAAAAAAAATCAATATCATCCCCCTTCCCCTTTTTTTTTTATTGCTGTTATTCCTTACGTCTGCAATGGTCTTGTTCTTCTCTTCATTTTCAGCTTCCGACTATAAATCCTACCTGTTAATATATATACACACACACACATCACACTTCTTTTAAAAAAAAAACCTTTTTCAATCTTTCTGTTAAATGGGCAATGGTCATATTCAATTCGGATTCTCTAGCATGATCCACTCTACCAGCACGATAATTATAATCAGGAGGTACATAGTTATTCGTAGGTCTGTAACCATAATCACGATCCACGGGTCGATGATAGATGTCCGCTGAACCCTTGTACCCGTCCCCACCACCACTGGTGGGATTTGTTGTCGTGGCCAGTTTACGTTTATAGTAGGCTACCATATCTGCTGTCTCTCTTTGTTGTTTCTGCTGCTGCTGTTGCTGTTGAAGAGGAAGAGAAGGAGGAGCCTTCATGTGTAAAGTAGACATCTCTAAAGGATCGTGCGAATGGGAAAGCATGGGTTGTGACTGACTTAGGGTAGAAGGACCTGCTCCATCTTGTCTCATGAGGGGTTGCGAATGACTTGTAAAGTCAAAATCGGCCTTCTTGTAATGTTGAGGTGTATTTGAAAAGAGGTCTTCTTGTCCACTTTTCTTTCCACCTTTTCCAGTTAAATCAAATAGATTGTTGGACATGTTAATTATAAAAAAAAGGTGTGTGTATTACAGACTACACCCTTTAAAAAAAAAAAAAAACGCGAAAACACCAACCACGCGCGGTCCCTGTATTTGGGACGGCGGAAAAAAATAAATAAATAAAAATAAAAAAAAAAAGAAATGAACTACGCGATTTTCCTTTTTTTTTTCTTCTTTAAACACATTAAAAAGATGACCATTGCTCATGAGGAACACCAATACTTGCAACTGATTAAACGTATCTTGGAAGAAGGAGAACACCGAGCGGATCGTACGGGTACAGGTACACTTGCGATTTTTGCTCCACCTCAACTACGATTTTCCTTAAAGGACGATATTTTCCCTTTACTCACGACCAAACGAGTCTTTTACCGTGGTGTTCTCGAGGAACTCTTATGGTTTGTACGTGGCGATACCAATTCGAAACATTTGACAGATCGCAACGTCAAGATCTGGGACGGTAATGGTTCACGTGAATATCTCGATAAATTAGGCTTGACCCATCGTCGTGAAGGTGATTTGGGACCTGTGTATGGATTCCAGTGGAGACATTTTGGTGCCAAGTATGTGGATTGCGATACGGATTATACGGGACAAGGTGTGGACCAATTGGCTCAAGTGATTCATACCATTAAACATAACCCTACGGATCGTCGCATCATTTTATCCGCATGGAATCCCGCTGATATCCCCATCATGGCTTTACCCCCTTGTCATGCATTCTGTCAATTCTACGTGTCGAATAAACCTGCTGATGGAGGAAGAGCTCGATTATCGTGTGTACTTTACCAACGTTCATGTGATATGGGTCTGGGTGTACCCTTTAATATTGCCTCCTATGCTCTATTGACCCGTATGATTGCTCATGTCACTGACTTGGATCCCGGAGAGTTTATACATACGATGGGTGATACACATGTTTACATTGATCATACACAAGGTCTTCAAGAACAACTCTTGCGTGATCCTCGACCTTTCCCTACTTTAAAAATCAATCGTAAAATCACAGATATTGATGATTTCAAGTTTGAAGATTTCGTGCTTGAAAATTATAACCCTCATAGCAAAATCGATATGAAAATGTCGGTTTAAAGGAATAAAAAAAGAAAAAGAATCTATTGTATACACACTACCTAAAATTACTACCCTTTTTTTTTGGGGGGGCGGGGGATCATCATGCTTGGCAACTCATCCAATCATACATACAATCCTCCCTCTCTTTGATGGCGTCAAATGATTTTCATACAATGACGGATGAATTCTTTTTTTTTTTTTTTTTTACAGAAAAAATAAAGATGGACGGTATTTCAAAATAGGTACTGTGAAACAGAAAAAAAGGTTAAAAATGTCAAAAGTCTATGTTGTAGATCCTCACAGCTTTTTTTTTTTTTAAAAAAAAATAAAAAAAGAAAGTCATGAGTAAATCCCGGTGGGCGGGGGATAGCTCTGGTTGATAATTTTTTATCTTTATTTGAGCCATTTATGTCAAAAAGAGCATTTGATAGGTGCCCCCTCCGTTGCGGGGTGGACAGTGAGAGTGCTAAACCAAGTAGAGTAAGTGATGCAAACACGTTTAAGAAAAAAAGGTCTCATTCCCCGGGAATGCAAAAAAAGACCTATTATAAAAATAAAGAACCGATTGGTTGCTACCTAAAAGTCGTCGTCGTCGGGGGGGTTAAGCGTTGCTGAGCAAAAACGGCTGGAGACAATAAGCTTGTACTACAAAGAAAAACATGGCATGTTACACAATGTACATTTTACAAAATACAATAGGAGCTGAAATTACTCTTTTTAGACATTTTTTTCAAATCGTTCGTGTAACACAATGATAATAGAAAAATGGTACCTGTTATAATAATAAAAAAATATCATTCCACCATTGGTCTTTATTCTCAGGTTACGTTGTAGAACAGGGACAGTCATCCCCCTTTTTATAAGCAGTAAATTTATTTCTAGTACCTTACTGTCAAACTGCAAAAAAAAAAAGTTTCATCTTTTGATGGGTTTCAGACAGAGAAAAAAAGGGGGGAGGGGATCAATGTTTGTTCTCAATTTGGTAAAATATGTTTTTTTTTTTTTTTTATTAATGAGGCCATATTTTACTACATACAAAAAGTTTATTGTACCTGCTACAAAAAAAAAAACTTTCTTCTGGGCAACCTTACCCCATACAAACACTAATAAAAAAAATTGCCTCTTCGTAACTACGGACTAAGAAACATCCCCCACCGTGCAAAAATATAAATAAAAAAAGACTCTTTTTTTTGTGGATTCTTTACCCAACGCTTTATGAATACAGGTCGTACAATTCTCCCACCCACCCAAGCTTTTAGAGTACCGCAGTCTGTGTGTATAGCTTTCCGTAGAGCGGATAAAAGTTAAATTAAATTTTTTTTTTTTTATGGGTCGGATCTAAAACCGTTTAGCTTTTTTTCAAAAGTGAGGATAATACAACAAACGATGAACAATAGACAACATTTCAATTGAAGATGGGGGAGGAATAAGGTGTAGAGTTTTCCTCCTCATTAGACCTTTTAGAAAAAAATAAAGGGTTGAGAAGGGATATCACTGATAAAACACTGCAATTGATAAAATGGACATTTCTGATTTTTTGTGCTTCAAATGGGTTCCCCCCCACTGACACCATTATCTTACAAGAACCGAATCAAATATTTATACACTGGTTTTATCAAATACGTTCTTTTAGGGGGTCTGATGACTATTTGACATTCTAGAACATTTTTTTTTTTTTTGCATGAATCATTCTATCTCATCTTTATTCAATGATCTCTTTTTCCTTCCAAAACAAGAGAGAGAGAAAGAAAAAAAAAATGGTGTATGTTGATACTGCAACAGGTTGTTATATGTCAATCCCTTTGAGTGTCCCTGAATCCGACTGCCAAAAAAAAAAAAAGAGAGGATTCAAGTTCCGTCTCAAACGAACGGTAAGACGGACTATAACGGGCCTTATCGGAAAGTTTTTTTTTTTTTTTTTTTATTATTTCACAAAAAAAGATAACCACGATCATATGATTTAATCAACAATAAGCGGGAGTAAATGAAAAAAAAAAGTTCTGTTTTATTAGATTTGCAGGGGGAAAGAACAAAAGGTGTTGATTAAGGATGGAAAGAAAAGTATATTTACAATAGATTTTTTTTTTATATTACAAAAAGGGTATAAAACATGCTCACTGATGAAAAGAAGGAAGTTTTTTTGAGGGGAGGAGAGACGTGTGTGTGTGTGTTGTGTGTGTGTGTGTGTTGCCCTCATGTGGTGTACAACAACAAAAAAAAAAAAAAAAATTAAGGTTTTACAATTCGCTGTTGTTGGTCCAGAACTTCTTCTACTAGATCCATTTCCAATGTTTTGCCATGGATATCCAAATAGTCTTTAATTCCTTCCACATTCACAAACAAATTATATTTAATCAAACCCAGAAAGCTTCGTTCCATGAGATTGACATCCTTGGGTGTATAGACATGGTCTGTCATGACCACAATGGCTTGGCTCGTTAAACAGGTACCCGTCTCCGATAAGAACTTGGAGGCGGTCAAGATAGCTGCCAGGAACAGTCGGTAAGGTGTATCCACGTCCCCACGAGCATGACTAGGTAAACTCGTCTTGAGGCGTTGTAAATAAATTAACGATACTAAACACACGCACGGTGAGAGCTTAGATCGTTTAAATACCGTTGCTATAAATTCATTTAAGGGTGGTAGGTGTCCCTTTGTATTTAATTTATGGACGGGTGCTTTTTTTATCTTTGTCGAACAGGGTAATAACGATGTGGCTGTATTCGTGGTAAAAGCTACACAAGAAAAAAAAAATTCATTGTCTGTTGTGTAAGTAGACCCGTCACCCCTTTATTTATTTATTTTTGGTTTCCTTACAAAGAAGTGCTTCTGGACTTCGCGAAGAAACTGTGGTAGGCATATTCATACATAAAAATTGTACACTACAACAACAACAACAACACACCGCAACAACACACACACCAAAAAGATAAAAAAAGAAAAGAAAAAATAATAAAAGGGAAAAAAAAAAACAAATTGAATTAAATATTCACATGTTGGGTTTAAAAAAAAAAAAAAAAAAAAAAAAAAAAAGGATTGTCGCTGTCAACCACCTGAAATGCTTACACAATCAAACCAATCAAATCTCTTTATTCGCACCTTTAATTTAGATAAGGGTTTCGGACCGTCAATGTAATGTGGAGTTGCAAAAATGCCATTTCAACAAATAGAAGAAAGCAAAAAAAAAATGGATTTCGCCAGTTTAATAAATTATTTAGTATTCCCCGGGGGGAGATAGTTGCTTTTGGGGAAGGATAAACGTTTGGAAAATAGATTGATTTGGTAACTGATTAGTGGAGTACAATAGCACCAATGACGTTCCGTTCAAATCATATTTTAACTTTGATAGCAAAGTCTGCATAGAAACGGGTGTCCTAATCCATTTAGCTAACTGACAGAATTCTTCTTGAACTCAAAAGGGGGGCACAGATAAAAGATTCATTTGACACTTTATTCCACATAATAAAAAAAAAAAGAAATACGGATTGCATACATAAAAACAAGGTTCATGGCATCTTTTTTTTTTACGTCATATTGATTCATGATTTTTAACGGATACGGTAAATGCAACTTCCCCTCAGAGAGAGTCCTCCTGTTTGGGAGGGGAGGGAGGAGGAAATAACATACTCCGGAAGAAGCATAACAAACAAAAAAAAGTCTTTAGTAGATATACCTTTATCTATTGAGTTGAGGATAGTAAAAAGGAATTGCTTCAGGTTCAATGTAAAATTACAGCTGGCACCTAGTAGAACATTTGATTTTTTTAAAAAATGAATGACCTGTCTATACTAGGTGTGGGTCAACTTTGTAAAAGATCAGTGAGGATTGTACGTTTTTCGTGAGATAGCTATTCTGTCATGATAAACAAACATTCTGTTTATCCTCACCCCCCCCCCCCTCCTATTCATCATCTTAACCGAAATCACTCCGATAAACTGTCCTATAAACACGTTTAGAATGAATCTTGTGGGTACAACGGATGGACATATAAAAAAATAGATGTTTTACATCATTTGAATTTAGCCATTATGAGTATAAAAAGAAACTTTAATAGTGACAATCTGATAAACTAGCGACAAAAGAGTTGTGTTACTCTATAAAAAAAAAAAAAGTAAATTCAGAGACATCAGCTGTATATGCTCTTACTTTTTATGTGTTCAACTGACTACTCAAAATCAAAAAAAAAAACCCTTTAGAATGATCCATTTATATAAATACCGAGTTCTTCTTCAGCCTCACACACGCACACGCGCACGCACATACGCACGCGGACTGTAATACATTGGCGGCACTAAACCGAGAGATCATGTCCGTACAACCATGCATTGATCGAATCTTTGTTACCCCCAAAAATGACTCAACATCATTTTGATATTTGTTGGAGTATCCCATCTTGATCACTCGCTTTATTTGTCCCACCAATCTATTAGTCAGTGCCATTAAAAATGTCATCATGGATTGCAACAATAACAACTTTTGGTGGGAATTTTTTTAATTATCTCTTTAACAAAAAAAAATGCGATTTGGATAGATCTTCCGTTTTCCCTCCGCCTCCGCCCCCCAATCAATTTTTTTTTCTTGAAAAAAAAAAGAGTCATCTCTCTCCCCCCACAAGAAAGTGTATTATTGAAATTAAACTTTTTTCTTCAATATTGTTGAGATCTAGATAACATTTTTTCCTGTCCCAGGAGAAAGACTTTATGGTTCATTTACAGGCTCATACATGGGGAAGACTATCATGTTGCCTTCTGACCAACATAGCTCCCCCACTCGATGACGAGAGTAGCGATCATATGAGCATATATAAAGGTAACTCCTTCCCATCCTAAACAACTTTTTTTGACTTGTCCAAAAAGAATTTTAAATCATGTGAGTTGTGTGTGTATGTGTGTCGACATCAGCGATCCCTCAACAGTGTCTTTCAGTTCAGAACCTTTTTTTTTTTCTTAGTTGACTGAGAACTCTCACGTGTCCTCAATTTGTATGACCGGCTTTCAGTTGTATAGAAGGGACGCTGGCTCTCCTATTTGAGACTTAAAATAAAGTACAAGACAAATAAGAATAATTTAGATGCCTTAAGCTGCTTTTTTTTTTTCAGAAACAATGCTGTATAAATAGGCTACTCTCAAAAAGCTTTTTTTTTTTTTAATTAAAAGCGTTTTATCCTGCTAAACCAAACGTCTCGTGGATCAACCAACATGACGTCTGAATCAACAGGGTTTCCCACAGCTTGTGCTGTTTATCATTGGGAGACAGTTTTCTTTTTATAATGTAAAGGGGGTATCTATTTCCACCTCACCCAAGGTTCCCCATTACCGGCCTTTTAGGCTTGATAAATGTCTGGTACAACTCAAAACTGGCCTTGTTCCCCAACTTGCTCACACTGCCTTTTCATATGAAAATGTCAACAACCACTCATCATACGCACAATTGGAAACGCTAGTACACCTCCCTTCAAGCGTGCAATAGGGTTGCAGAGAAAGAAAAAAAGGAAAAGAAAAATTAGAGAAAAAAAGGACCTTATTTATACCCTGCTGTGCAGCAATCATGCAAAATATATCTGGGTTTAAAATAGAAACAGTCACTCGACTATGCTGTTTTGGGCTTGTGTCTCTGTGTGTGTGTGTGTGTTTTCAGCCATGAGGACTATGCAAGGCTTTACTAATAAGATCGAATAACCAGTCTATCCCAACATGAGTTGGCAACAGATTTTCATGACTATGAACGAACTCCAATGAACAAATGTAACAGGAGAGAGCCTGTTCAACAATGACGACATTCAAGTATACTACAGCAGGTTGTTAAGATAAGCGCAAGTCCTGACGGATAAGGTGTACGCCACTCTCTTTTGTACTAAACGTTGTGAGTGATGCAGTGTTGTATTCATGGTAGGCTAAAGAGGATTGCCTCTCACCCAAAATATCCATGGGACATGCGTCAAATTTTAGAGGATTTCCACCTTATTCATATTTAAAATATTTAATGAAGGCTGTCTTTTTTTTTTTTGTGCAGTTTTTCATATGTGGATATTTAAACATGTCACTCTTTACACCGTTCCCCCCTTTTTTTTTTATTATTGCAGTCTACAAGGTAAGATGGGAATATAAGAGTGCCCCCTTCACCCATATAATTCAATGATTGGGACATGTTTCAAATTAATCAACTGCCAAAAAAAAAAAAGCTTATTCTGTCAGATAACCCGCAAAGGATAAATCGGTGAATTAATAATGCATGATTGGCTCTGAGGTCCCCCTCCCCTCTTCGTGATTCACATTCGATAGAATCACCCCGCGTCTATTTTTTTTAGCAGGAGAGAAAAAAATGATATGAATCATGAATGAACCCCTTTCACCATGAAGCGCATGATTTATTTCCGAATGAACATGTTTCCTTTGTCATTTCCCCCAAACCAACGCAAAAAAATAGGTCATGTGGGACTGTCATTTTTTTCAGATGATATGGGGGGGGGTGAGTGCGTAGCAAAAAAAAAAAGTGGGAGCACGGGATAAGAAAGCAAAGTATTTCTCTCTCTCTCTCTCTCTCTCTTGTTATTTTCAACATCATGTATTCAATCTGGGGTAAAAAGAGTAAAGAAGCCGAACAAGAAAAGAAGAAGCCTAGAACAAGTGCAGCACAAATCCGCGTTCAAAAAGGTATAAAAACGTGTTCTTGTTCATTATTAAAAAAAGACTAAAAAAAGAAAGGGTGGGTCCCATCGGAACAGATTTAGCAGAGTTGGATATTCCTGACACCATCAAGTTGGAATTTCCTGATCCATCCAACATTCTCAACTTTAATGTCACTATCCAACCTGATGAAGGTAAAAAAGAAAAAAGAAAATAGAATACACTTGTCTCATATGTATTGGCCCTTCCAGGCTTTTTTGTTCATGGTATTTATAGATTTACCTTTGCCATCAATACCAACTATCCCCATGAACCACCAAAAGTTCGTTGTACTCAAAAGGTAAATGTGTTGATGATATGCCATAATGAAAGTGACTGACATAACGACTGTCCCTTATTTAGATCTATCACCCAAATATTGACTTGGAAGGAAATATTTGTTTAAATATTCTTCGTGAGGATTGGAAACCCGTACTTTCATTACAAGCTGTATTAGTTGGATTACAATATCTGTTCCTGGAACCAAATGCGGATGATCCATTGAATAAAGGCAAGTGATGTGAGAGAGAGAGAGAGAGGATCATCTTATGAAAAGGCTGACATGCTCTTTTTTTTTTTATATATAACTGTTAGATGCGGCCGAAGTGTTGAGAAATAATAGAAGTAATTTCACAGCCAATGTTAAAAAGACAATGGCAGGCGGTTCAATTAACGGGTTACAATATGATAATGTACTGGCATAATAAAGTCTTTTACCCAAAATAAGAATCTTTACTTGCCTTTTTTTTTACACCCCGTCTTTTAATTACAATTTTTTTTTTTTATTATTATTATTATTTTAAACTTTCTCTTCTTTTTTCTTTCTTTTTTTTTTTTTTTACCAAACTAAAATGGTGTCTGGGCATTTATCAGCCCTCTTAATGGATTGGACCTCGGCAGTTACCGAATTAAATACGCTTACAGCTCACACACTACTTGAAAAGGAACCCGAGTTGTTATGGACACCTATACCCCATAGTTTAGATGAGACAGATCATCAAGATCAACTTGCTCATTTAAATAAACTCGGCTCTTCTTTTCAACCCGTGAGTGCTATACAATTTACACTACTACACTACCGAGATATCATAAATCCAGTTCAAGAAAACCGATTTAAATTCTTATGTTATTTAATTGAGGTTAGACAGATTTATAAAAATCACAAGGTTATTTTTTTTTTATTTTTTTATTAATAATTATTCTATACCAGCAATCTTCTTTACATGATCTTGATACCCGTTTTTGGGGCGAATGCAATAATTCAACTTTACATCTTGTTTGTTTCTTGGGATTCGGACGCATTCTTAAAATTTTAATTGAGAAAGGTGTGTCTGTCTCGCCTTCCAATGATTTAGGCTTTCTTCCGAAAGATATCACCACTTCAGAATCCATCCTTCACACGCTCTCCATGACACTACCCAAACAACAACAACAACAGCAGCAACAACAGAACAAAAAAGAAATGCTTCGTACCAAATCAGTGCGTCCCAATTACAGCACACCAGATCGATTCAAACTTTTACGAGAACTAGCGGAGGAATCCAGCGTAGATCATAAAAAACAGATCTCCGGTGGCAGTAGTATCGATCGAAAGCAATCGGAAGGTCATTATTTTCGTAAAGGTAGAGTCAAGGAGACACAGCAAAAGGTCCTGATTGAAGAAGACCTTCTTACCCGAACTGGTTCCAAACGTCAATTAGAAGTCGCTCAATTAGCAAAAAAATCCGCCGTCAAGAATAATCCTCTTTGGAAAAAGATGGAAAAACGTTCGTTTACGTCTCCTACGCCTTCTCCTTCCAATTCCGCTTCTCTCATCACAGACACTGTTGTTGAACCTGTTCAACAAACACCCCCTACCAGTATCCATACGAATACGGATGAACAAACACCCAAAAGAAATTCAAAGGTCATCTTGTCTCTCCAAACAAAATCTTATGTCTCTTCCAGTATTTTCGTACAGGCTGATGAAGATAGTGTCATCATTCCTCCGATCCCAACCATTTCCTTAGAAACTCCAAAAGACGATGCACCTTGTGTGACCGTCCTAGATTCGAGCGGCAACGGAACACAAGGTACTCCCACCCCATTATTCAGTAACGAACCTACTGAACTAGAACATGAGGAAAAAAGTCTTAAACAATCCAGCAGCGATGAAGAAGAATCTTACTTTGAATCCATCGAAGCTGACCCTCCCACTTCAAACTCACCTCAACCTTACGATAAAGAAGAAGAGAAGCAAGAGACAAGTAGCGATGATGAAGAATATTCAGATGATGACAATGATTATGAAGAGGGAACACCTGTCCAATTCGCTACACGTATGGTCTCTCCCATCTATAAATCCGTTGTCATCATGAACGACGATTCGACTACAGTCAAACAGGAGATGAATTACTTTACAAACACGACCGATAAAATATCCGAAGATCATCAGCCTTTAGTCGTCAACGTGGAGAAATACATACCCACAGAAGAAGATTTATCTCTGCTTTCTACAACCCCAGAACAAGATGAAAATCTCTTTAATTTTGTGCAACATTCTACTCCTCCTCCTCCAGTGCGACCTCAAAGATCGGATCTCCGCAGAGGTAGCAGTAACAGCACTATCTCCTCCTCAACATCAGTAAAATCACCGTCTGTCCCTCAATTACCATCATTGCCATCACCACCAATGGTAATAGCTGAATCACATAATGATGAACAGACGTCCAATGTTCAATCTCCCATCGTCCATGATGTATATACCAACAACGATCCCTCCTCCATGATGATGGACAAATCACCTCTTTTGGACAACGTGAAGGATAAAAAAAGAATGAGCGGAAGCCAAAAAGCTGCGTGGACAATGAGCATGAGCTCATGGGCTGCCATTTTAGATAGAGAATTTAACTTGGACGAGTTACAAAAGCAGCAACAATTAGAATCAGCAGCAGCAGCAGCAATAGAAAAGGATGAACAGACACAAAAGGCAACTTTACGCTCTACAGAGTCTATGAGCCCAAACAAACCTAGACAATCCACAACGAGACGATCCATTGACACAAGGCAATCCATCGATACGAGACAGTCCATCGATACGAGACAGTCCATCGATACAAGACAATCACTGTCCGTCAGACAATCCACAGCGGCCAGACATTCCACAGCCACCATTGATTACATCGGAAGTGGAAAATTGCAATTATCGGACGAAGAAATGGATTCAATGATGCTTCGCCATGGTTACAGTACAACCGCTGTAGACAACGTGTCGCCCATTCGTTCCAGTAGTATGATTTCATTATCATTCAATGATTTTGAAATACCTGCTATTCCTACACCTGCGACCAACCATACCTACCACCACCCTAGTCCTAAATCCACCTCATCATCCCATCCTCATCCTCATCTTACCGAACTTCCTCGACTCAACACATCCAATTTAACCGTATCTCGAAAGCCTATTGTTGCTTCATCTTCCGAAGCCAGTCTTACTCAAAAGAATATATCCCCCAAAAAAAAAGTCAATGCCGCGATACCCGCCATCAATTTAGAACAAAAGAAGATGTCGAAGCATGGCAAATTATACCTTCACGTGAATGGGATCCAAGATATCCTCTTACCTTTACCCAAGGACCGTGCCTATGTACGTTGTGTGGTGAGCGATGGACGATTTGAATACATGTCTCGGTACGAAGTGCTGACACAGAGTATTAATTTCGATTATGAATGTGTGATTGATACCCACCCAGATATGATCATTACCATCTCGCTTCATGTACGACCTGATTATGTCATGAAATCAAGAACGCCATTCTCTCGATTGTTTTCGTCCAAGAAGAAGAAGGAATCGTTGTCGGGGTATGTGAATAAGGAAGATGGAGCTATTGGTCAGGCACGCTTTGCTTTGGCTCACATGTTGCCAGCATGCACAGAAACAACCTATCTTGCTGGATTTCATTGCTTTAATGCATGGTACTCACGATCGTTTAAAGAACGACATCGACAAAAGAAGAAGGACCCAGATCACGATGTTTTAAAGGTCGTGGGCAATTTTGATGTTGAAATGCTGTATCTACCAATTACGGATTTCCAAAAGGTAAAAAAAAAAAAAAAGACTCTAATTGAATAAGAAACCCTTTGTGCTCATTCTCTCCCTCCCTTTTCTATTTAGCCTTTTCCTCGTAATTTGCGGGAATGTGATATGGCTATCAAGCAACTTCAAAAGTCAGTTGAAGAATCATCCGAAAAATACCTTACTTACTAAATCTTTTTCGTTCTCTCTCTATATATATATATAATAATAATAAACACGTTGTACCATCTCTCTCTCTCTTTTTCCTCCTCTTTTTATTCTTCTCTCTTTTTTTTTATAGAGTGTATTTATTTTAATTTAGATTCGTTTGTGTGCGAGAGAGAGGGGGGGGGGGAATATCAGAAATCGTCACCTTGATGAGCGAAAAAATGGGTGTATGCAATAACTATAAAAAAAAAAATCATTTAGTAAATCATAAATCAAAGCCATACCCTTTTAGTTGAATACTTTACTTGTTCCATAAACTAAAATACCACCTGAAATACTCATAATCATGGCTGGAACTGTAATCTATAGTTTTCGAACTCGTCAATATTACGCATTAAAAAAAAAAAAAAATCAATTTTTTTTTTTTCACTTACAACTTCCGCATGCGCGAGAACAAAGGGTAAACCTACATACATCATTAATTAACATGACATACACACACACACACGACATGGTTTAAATTACTTACAAAATCCGGTAACGATAAACATGCCAGTAATAAAATGTCCTGCATCAAGTGCACCACTAAAAAAGAAAAATTTAACTTTTTTTTTTTGGTTATAGGAAACACTTTATATTCATTTACCCATTGTAGTCGGACATGAGATCATCTTCTCCTGCACACCTTCCACACAAGGCATTGGGTAATGGAGCTAATATGTATGTAGCAACTAGCAGAACAAGACTTTGTTAATATCATCCTATCCTACACAAAAAAAAAAAGGGTATCTCTTTTTTACCGACTAACAAGGGCCACCAGTTGCTAAGAACATGAAAAAAAAAAAAGAGGGAAAAAGAGTCAACATGGCCTGAGCTGGTTTTATTTTATTTTTTTCCGGGATGCCTACTTACTAATAAAGTGCACAAGATAAAATTACGAGAAGAAAACCAATGGCTAAAACAAAGGCCAATGCAATAATGCTATACAAGATTTTAATTTTTTTTGTTTTTCTTTTTTTTGTTTTTTTTGTTTCTTGATTGCCTTACGCTATTTTAGAAAATAAGAGATATAAGTTCAATTCACTATAAATATCGAATAGTTCTTACTTCTTAAACCTGCCATTATTTTAAATTATTTATTAATATTTTTTTTTGTACACTTGTAAAAAAGATATGAAAAAAAAACATGTTTTTTTTTCTTGCACCAAACACAAAAAAAAAAAAAAATCCGCAAGACGACGTCATTTTAGGAAATTGAGGGAATACAGTTGCTTATCACTCTTATTAAAAAAAAAAAAAAAAATGCATCACAAACCGGGTTAAGTCAGACACCCTTCCACTACCACCACCACCATTACCACCAACTTTTGTTAGCCCTCAAGATACATTTTGAAATTCAAATAGTGGGCGCTGAATCATAAATAGAAGCGCATTATAAGTTAGCATATTTGATTAATTGACATTCCGAAATCAAAGCGGCAAAAAGACACAATGCAAATTCACTCTTTCTTATGCCTCAGAATTTACACTGTATCTCCACATGGTCTCTCCTCTTAACATATTTAATAAAATGTATATAAAGTATCTTCATTTCTCCAAAATACCCTCTCTATCTTTTTTTTGCTAAAAAAAAAACGGGTTACAATCCAACTCCATTTTTTTTACAAGTTGGGATCAAGCCATAAACATATGCAGTTTCGATTTCAATAATTCTCATTGGCTCCCCAAATGAGCCATTAGAATAGACATTGATGACGTTCAACGTGACGTTTTTGAGCCATCGCTTACAATTACACCTTTCTCTCTCTCTATTGCCCTCACCACAAATATCCGAGGGGGGGGGGGGGAGGGTTAAAAAAGTGGCAATTCTCCATCCAGTCCCCCTTTTTCTCTTTTTACTTTTTTTTTTAAAATGATAATTACAACAGATAAAAGAGTTCTGGTCCGAAACTTTCTAGATAAAAAAGACTGGAGAATTTATATAGCCGTGGTGATAGGTATTACACTTGCAGGAACTGGAACTGCTTTTCTACTCTCAAGGAATATTCAATATTTTCGAAAACCCAAGAGAAGAGTTTCAACCCAAAAATGTAGTATTAAACCCCCCTCCCCCATATTACAACGCCCTATTCCACCCTTCTTTTTAATTCTCTCTCATATCTTATACAGTACATGATGAATCAACTGGTACCTATGAAACCATGACAGACACAATTATATCCGTCATGACGGCAGAGGTATTTCCTCTTTTCATGTTCTTTTTTTTTCTTTCTCAAAAAAAAAAAAAAATCATACAAACCATTTGATTGACCCCCCACATTCTTATTTAAGCAACGTTTAGCAGCCTCCAATGTATTAAAATCAAGGGCAGATACCGCCTTCAACCATAAGAATTACAAAGAGGCAATCCGATTATATACCCAAGCAATTCGATTTAAAGCCGACCCAGTGTTTTATTCCAACCGAGCAGCATGTTATGCCAACATGGAAATGCATGATAAAGTGTTGGAAGATTGTGATGTGGCTCTCTTGTTAAATCCTACCTATACAAAAGCTTTGAGTCGTCGTGCACAAGCCCTTGAACGAAAAGGAGACTTGGCCGAAGCTTTGTTTGGTAAATATATATAAAAAAAAATACACGATGCTTACCTGTACAGATATTATCTGACTTGCTCATCCTCCCCCCTTTTTATATCTAGATTACACGTCCGTGTGTATCTTTGAAGGCTTCAAGAATGAACATAATAGGAAATCCATGGAAAAAGTATTAAAAAAAATATCGGAATTAAAGGCAAAAGAGTTGTTAAAGGTAATGAGTTCGTTTCTCTTTTATCTTGTAATCTAACCCTCATTTCTTTTTAAAAAAAAAAGACAAAGCAACCTAGATTACCTTCTCCTACATTTGTAACTGCTTACCTTGACTGTTTTCATCCAGGTAAAATACACACACACACACACACACACACACACACACACACAAATAAACAAGAAATCTAAATGGGAATTTTAGAATCCGGTACAAGTATACCCTCCACAACAGACATACAAAGTGGTGACGCCTATTATGCAAAAGCAAGAAGAGCTATCGCTGAAAAAAACTACTACGAGGCATTGGACGATTGTGAAAGAGCTCTGGTATTGGGTTGCTCTCCACACTACATTGCATCCGCTCTAAATTTAAAGGGGACGTTGGTCTTCTTAAAGGGCGATGCTGAAGAAGCATTGCAATGTTTCAATCAATCCATCGAATTAGACCCTTCCTACGTACAAAATTACATTAAATGCTCCAATATATTCATGGAAAGAGGGGACATACAAGGTGCCCTACGACACTTTGAACAAGCCATCTCTATCAATCCCGTAGACCCCGATATCTACTATCACAGAGGACAAGGTAAATTGCATTTATATCGACTACCACAGAAAAAAAAAAAAAAAAAAAAAACTCCCCCCAGCTTATGCTTCCTCTCAACCTACCCAGTGTATTACATTAGTGGAAGTTACAAGGAAGCAATCAATGATTATGAAAGATGTATACAAATTGAACCAACATTTGTGTATGCCCATATTCAATTGGCCGTCACACAATACAAACTTCATTTAATCGCAAGAGCCAACCAAACATTCCAAGAAACCATCAAGGCATTTCCATTATCATCCGAAGCACATAATTACTATGGAGAGATATTGGCTGACCAAGGATGTATAGAGGAACCCATCGAGTTATTTGACAAGGCCATGTCTCTGGATCCAAAAAATCCTTTGCCTTATATCAACAAGGCCATGATCAAATATCAGAATCTCAATGACGTGGAAGAAGCGATTAATTTATGCAAAAGTGCCTTGGAAGGTATTTTTTTTTAACATGTGCAGATGTGTGTGTGAGAGAGAGAGAGAACTTTGTTGCTAATTCTTTTCGGGAGTATGTAGCTGACCCTGCTTGTGATGCAGCGGTTGCTTCACTAGCCCAAATGTATCTTGAACAAGACAGACATACGGAAGCTTTACCGTATTATGAAAAAGCGATTGATCTAGCTCGAACCGAGGCTGAACTTCAACTGGCGGTGTCTTATGTGGAAGCAACCAAAATGCAAATCAGGTATTTTTCAAATCGATGAATAAGGGGTTTCCATCACACATAGACTCATTCCCAGAATTAGATTTACAAAGGCGTATCCCAACGCAGCATCCAAGTTAACAACACTGAAATAAGATAGAATAATAAAATGTTGAATACATAAACTTTTGGAAAAAATGTAGGATTCGTTATTTTACTATTTGCAGACACGCGTCCGAAAAACAGCATAGTTGAGTGACTGTTTCTATTTTAAACCCAGATACCTTTTTTTGCATGATTGCTGCGCTTTTTTTTTTTTTTTTTTACACAGACTGTGCAAAGGTATAAATAAGGACTATTTTTTCGACGTTTTCTTTTCCTTTTCTTCTTCTTTGTCACTCTACTGCACGCCCAAAGGGATGTGTACTAGCGTTTCCAATCGTGCTTCTGCGAAGCATTGTCGGCATTTTCATATGAAGGCAGTGTAAGCAAGTCAGGGACAAGGCCAGCTTCGAGTTGTGAGCATGACTGTAGACCTGTCGAGCATGGAGGGCCTATAGTAGGGGACCTTTTTTTTTGGGGTGAGGTGGGATTAACTACCCATCTCATTCCCCAATCATAAACATCTTAAGGTGTGAAATCTCTATAGATTAACGTCTTGTTCATTTAAAGAACGTGATGGTTACTCATCTTTTGCTTTAGGAGATGCGCTTTTATGAGAAGCTTCAAGAGAAAAAAAAGTTGTCATTAGAGCTAATTATATACATTAGCCAGCATTGACCTTTTTTTTTTTTTGCCCCAATGCAGAGACTTTTTTTTAATGATTTCTTTGTTCGAACATGACATCACTTCATATAATCAAAGTCAAATCGCATTAGTTAATGCGGCCATTGTATCGTCGCATCTACCTTGATCCAATCCTACAGCATAAAATACGTCTCTATGGGATGTGTCAAGTTTTAAGAGTTCTATAAGCAGTCTCATAGTATCCCGCTTAAAGTATAGAGACACCCCTCTCTCTTCTGTCAAACACGCGGGATCGGGGATTTGCAAATGGTCAACATCTGAGATTGAAACAGTCGCTCTTCTCAAAGTCTCAAAAGTCACAATGAGTGCAGAAAAAAAAAAAAAAAAAAAAAAAACCTTTAAAATAGGCCAAAGGAATATTTTTTTTGACGTGTTTTTTTTTCTTTCTTTTCAGACAAAAAATAAATTTTTTATATAAAAAATGTCAGCCGAAGATCTTATTAACGATGATTTCATGATCCTTGATGAAGAGACCATGAAGGTTGCTGAAGAAGTCAGTGCCATTCAACGTAAGCTTATGGAACCTATTTGGTACAAGCGTCGTGAAATGGTCAAGAAGATCCCAAACTTTTGGGGTCAAACCGTAAGTTTTTTTTTTTCTTTTTTACAAAAAAGACAAGTTTGTATAGAAAGAGATCAGGCCTTGACCGTTCTGTTTTTTTTTTTTGTATGTGTGTGTGTAGATTGGGAACTCTCCCTTGTTCGGTATTGAACCTACCGAGAACGATATTGAAGCCTTGGAGAACTTGACTGATTTACACGTTGAATATGATAGTGAAAAGCCTAACTACCGTAAGGTTACCGCCGTAAGTGTTCCCATGAAACCTCCCCCATAAAAAAAAAAAAAAAAAAAATTATTTTTTCCTAATTTTTTTTTTTTTTTTATAACCAAAAAAGACTTTCAAAAACAATGATGTCTTCAAGAACCAAACTTTAGTCAAGGTATGAAAGTGACATGGGTGGATCGTAAATGAGAAAGGAAAAAAAAAAGAGTATGTCACTTACAAGTAAATTATAGGAATTCTCTGTTGATCCTGAGGATAATGCCGATGTTATCTCCAAGTCCACTATTGAATATCACGAAAACAAGGTAAGCCAAAAAAAAAAAAAATTTTAGTTGCATTAATTATTAACACCGAAAAACTAACTTTTTTTTTAGGCTCCCAATAATAAGCGTAAGGCTGATCAAGATGACGATTTTGCCGTGTCCTTCCTTGAATGGTTCGGTGATGACGATGTTCGTGTTGGTGTCATCCTTAGTGAGGATATCTTTCCCAATGCCGTCGAATATTTCCAAGGCCCCGAAGAGGAGGATGATGATGAGGATGATGAGGATATTGAGCTCGGTAGCGATGAAGACTCTGATGGTAAAATAGATACACATATATTTACAAGTAAATACTAAATTCATCTTTTTTCCCCATTATTAGACGATGAAGAGGTTCCTCAAAGCAAAAAGTCCAGAAAGTAGATTCTTTCTACTCATTTTTAAAAAAAATAAATCATACATTCACACACATCCCATTCACCCCATATTTATCACTCTCTCTTTTTTGTTTCCCTCAATAAAATAAAATAAATACAAACTGTAAATAAACATTAACTTTTTTTTTTTTTTTTTTTTTTGCAGTTGGTTTTTATTTGAAAAGGATAAATAAATGGAGAGAGAAAATAGAGAATAGCTCCCATAATTTAAACCTTGAAACCACGAGAAGCACGCTTACCACGAGCCTTTTCGAACTTTCTACCCTTGGAACGAACGAAGGGCTTCTTGTTCTTATGGGGACCCATACCGAAATGCTTAACAGACTCACGAGAGTTCTACACAATAATAATAAAAAAATTAGCTCACTGCTTCTGCTCATTACCCCCCACTTTTTGTCTTTTTTTTTTTTTACCTTGGCACCACGGACGAGGACAGTGTTGGCACCGGTAGGAGCACGGAGAGCCAATTGATCCAAGGTCAAAACTTCACCACCAGCCTTCAAGATACGAGCTCTGGCAGTCTTGGTGAAATGAAGAGCGGCAACGGAAAGCTTGGGGAGGTCCAAAAGACGAGAATCGTCAGTGACAGTACCGACAACAACAACAGTGTTGTTACCCTTGGCGTTCTTGACAATGCGAGAAACGGTAACGGGGGGACGGTTGACACGAGACATAAAGAGACGCTTCAAGACAACCTTGTTGAAGTTGGCATCAGTACGACGAGCGAGGAAACGGTACAACTAAAGAAAAATTAAAAAAAAAATGTTTAATGTCTGCATTTCTTCAGTGTGTATTGTTTGCTTTTTACCTTGACGAGCAAGGCCAAGTAGACGTTCTCGGACTTGGGAGAAGTACGGTTGGTGTTCTTGACGTGATGGTTCTTTAAGTCAATACCCTGAAATAATTATAAATTTTGTCAGTATAAATCAGCTTCATTGGAATTTTATATGCAACCGAACATTTTAGAGAGAAAAAAAAAAAAAAAAAAAAAAAGAACAGATATAGGGATCCATCCATCGCATCCATCCATTTTCAAAAAAAAAGTCGTTGCATATGTGCTTCTCTTTTATCTCTGTAAGTCTACTGTACCATTGTAACAGATGTTTTGACAGCTGAAGTAAAGAAGGATCTATCATTTGTCGCCCCCAAGCTGAGTGTCTATACTACACCTCCTTTTTTACACCGTATACATTTTTTTTTTGTGCCCGTTGGCCCGGCCACTCTTCTTTTCTCTCTCCCCCCACTCCCCACCCCCCAAATTGGGAAAACGAGGGCAGTCACTCTCGAATAATAACAACAACCAAAAAAAAAAAAGGGTCTCCCCCCACCCCCCTTTATTATATCTTTATCTCTCTCTCTCTCTCTTTACATATACACACTTTTTTAATAAAATGGAACGAATCGATCCATTATCTCTCATTAGTCAAATGAACACAATTTTAGAAACATGCAATAAGGTGCAAAAACGCATGCGAGATAAAGAAACAATGCGAGAAGTCGATTTAGAGAGAAAAATACAAAGCCAAGATAAACGCATAGCACAACTCGAAGGTATGCATCCTAAGCCCTTCACTTTAGGTCCAATACTGAACTCTTCTTTTTTTAACTGCCAGATAAAAAAAGAAGCCTGCAGCGCGACTTTGAACGACAAGAAAACACAACTAAAGAACTTGAACAAAGTAACTAAATAAAATGACACCATGCCGGAAAAAAAAAAAAAAAAAAACTAACGATTCCCCCATTGGGTATATGAAGAGGTGTCTGAACTCCATGAAAAAGAAATATCATTACGAACATCAGAAATCAAGCGAAAAAACGAGCTCGTAGTGAAAGCCAATGCCGAGTTAGAGGCAAAAATCAATGAAAAACGACGTTTATTAGAACAACAGCGTATGGAGAATACAGCAAGAAAATCATCAGCTCAGGAAAATAACGAAAAGTTATCTACGGAAGTGAATGCTTGTAACAAGCAGCTACAATTACACATCAGCCCTATGAAAGGTTTTTTTATATTGGTTAGATATATAGTCAAGAAGAAGCCACCTAATATCTCTTGTAGAAAATCACATCAAGTTCTCATTCAAGTGCATCAACCCAACCGATCCCGAAAAAACCTATTATTTCGTGTTATATCTGGAAGAATCCGGACTCTACAAAGGTAAATAATAATAATAATAATATATATACAGCATCATCTCGCTACTTTTTTTTTTTTCTTCTTTCTTATTCTACCTATAGTTACTGAATGCGAACCCACATTACCCAACGTGGAATCACTTATATCTAATTTAAATTCGGATCGCGACTTGTACTCTTTTATAAAACTAATGAGAAGAGATTTTGTAGCTTTAGACCGAACACACTTCGATGCTATCCAATAGAGACTCTTTCAAACATTAATAATGTACCTGATTTTTTTTTTTTTTTTTTTTTTTTTTGGAGACCCACTATTTAAATAACCGATGATCGATGACGTCCTACACAACCATTTTTTTTTTTTTGTTGCTGGCCCTGGGCTGCGCGGGGGAATTTTTTGGGCAGCTCTCCCAAATTACATATTTTTTTTTTCCTTTCAAAAATATCCTTACATTTAACATAAAATGGTAATCTCTTTTTTTTTTAATTGAAAAAGAAATCAACATCGTATTGAAGAAATAGTCATTAATCGAATGAATTGTTCAAATAAATTAGGGTGCTGTTAGTCGTTATCCTTATCCTAAAGATGTTTGGTAAAAAAAAAAAAAAAAAAAAACTGTAAAATCTAGATTCTACGACCATGGTATTAAACCATGTTTTGCTTGTATAGGTCTCCTGCCGGTGGTTGGTGGTCCAGACCCAAGACTTGGAAGTCAAACACAGTCATTGCCGCTCTTGGTATGGCTGTCACTCTTGGTGCTGTCTGGAGAGTCTCTGCTGAAAAAGAGGTGAGTGCATAAATACCTTCACTATTTGCCTTTTTTTTTTTTTTTTGACGTACTCATTAAACCCTTTCTTTTACAATAGGTTCGTTATCAACAACCCAAGCGTTGGATCCCTTCCATGATGGTAAGTCTCCCCCCCCCCACACACACACCTTTATTTCTATCTTCGAATAGATGTATCTTTTAACACCAATTTTTATTAGTGGGCCAAGCAATACAAGGATCAAGAATAAATATAAAATTAAAGACAAGAATAAAAAACCTCTCTATATATATACATATATTAAATCTCTCTTTTTTTATTATTATTATTATTGTTGTTGTTGTATAAACATTTTTTATAATTCATCTTTGCTTGCAAAAACGTGTTCAACAAATGTAGGTGTTTCAGTAATAATCGTAGTAATGATAGCTTCAATAGTGGCAGAAGGTGAGAATGTGGCTACATTGTCAGCAGTAGTAGTAGTAGTTGTGGTTTCAGCGGAGACAGGGTTCTTATAGGCATCTTCTCTCGCTTTAAAGTAAGGATCCAGATCAAGCACCGACATCAACAAGAGGAGAAGACCTGCAACAACCAATGCCAACAAAAGTGTATACAATGGGTTAATAGACAAGGCATTGTTGAATTGAAGTGGGAGAGAAACAATACGACAGGTAGTATCCGCAGATGCACTTGCTAATAATCGTCTATCGGGACTAATAGCGATACTTGTGATTGAAAACGTATGAGCGTCCTTTACTTTGGTAAGTACTTTCAGTGTTTGAGCATCCAACAGAGTTATACTGAGATCAGCTGAAGCAAAAGCTAATACAGCACCATCTTGTCCAATCGTAAACGCAGTGATAGGTTTCGAACTGACTTTGGATATCTTGACTTGATCGAATGAATAGGCATCATATTTGACAATGTAAGCACCAGGCTTTGTAATACCATTCACCACAGCAAAACCAAAATCCTTTGTGTAACCCCGACCATAGCGAAAGGCCCTGAATTGCGTCTTTTCGTTTTTAACCACAGTGGTAGCAGAAATTGTCTGCACAGTCTGACCGACGTTTTTGCCACGTAAATTAATCAATCTTAAACCGTCTCGTAAGACACACGTTAATTTTTCCTTTTCAAGATTGATATCCACATCCAATACTTCATCATCTGTTGAAACCTGAATGGGTTCACAAATCGCTTCGAATTCGGGATATCTGAACACATTGACATATCCATCTGTATTTCCCGTAGCTACTAAACTACCATCCTCACTAAAACGTACTACCTTTTGATAGTCCTCTTCCTTTTCACTTTGCAATGTGCTCAACGCCTTTTCTAATTCAAACCTATCCCCATTTTTTTTTTTTAGTTACCAGAATCAATTAGATAAAACAAAAACAAAAACTTTACTTGTCGTGTGCAATTTTGAAGTGACGGCAGTTTGTATTCTTGCGGGCTATCATGTCTTCCACTGTGCTATTTACACTTGTAACAACATAATCTTGCTATAAGAGACGGGGTTAGTTAGACGAATTGGACATGCAAGCAATGACTCCTTTTTCTTTACTCTAGGATGAACATCTAAACACATGGGCGCGTCTTCCCCCTTTTCAAATTCAAAAGTAGCATCTTCCTCTAGATCCTTTCTACGCACATCGACCTTAAATGAAGACTAAAATACTTTTCTTTTTAGTACGTGTGTTTTGTAAGAAAAAGGTAAAAAGTTGCCCTTTACCAACTTGTTCTTGACACCTGAGCGAGTATTACCTCCACCTCCACCCAAAATTAACTGGTTCGATGAGGTAAATGCAAGCCCAAAGATGGGAACTCCAATCGTTACTTTAAAGGTAGGACAACTCATGAGTAAAAAAAGAAAGAAATAAATGAAAGAGAGAAACACGACAACCCCAAAACCCTATTAAGTCTCTTTTTTTTTAAAATAGCGCTAAATCTTTAAATTTCTATGTACACATAAACAGCCCCTCCCTTTTTTTTTTATTTATTTATTTTAAAACAATAAATTATTCTTGATAGTTCAAGAAGCCTTGCCATTTCTTTGAATATTTGCCATCCACTTGAAATCCGTCAGTATAATTACCAAATGCTTCTTTAATCTGATAAATAGCCTCACGTAATGCTATAAAATAAACAAAAAAAGTTAGATTTTCTTTCTCTCTCGTGACCAAAAAAAGTTCTCTACCCATCATCACAGCCTCGGTCTCTCCAGAAAGTACTTTTTCATTCAATAATTGACTATAGTGAGCGGGTGGAGACTGCACATATCTTTCAACTTCCATTAAACATCCCAACAAATGATTCAAGACATTTCCAATATCATTTTGAACGTATCCATAAGGGTCCTCCTTCAACGATCCAGCGGTTAAACAACCCAACGCTTGTACAGCCCAAAGAAGCAATTGATACTTGTTAAACACACCTTGAACTCGGCGTGTCACAGTTTCTGCATAAAAAGGCTCAAACATACCAGCACGGCCAAATCGAACTTCCAATCGCTTTAACATATCCACCATATCGCTTTGACGAATCCATTGCAACGGTTTGCTAATCACGGTTTCCCCAGAAGGTCCCTCTTGGGCTAATTCACTTAGAGGCGATAATAAACTACCGGTACGATCATCATAGTAAACTTGGTTCTTCTTTGGCGTACTAAATACATTACCATTGGAAAATTCCAATCGATGACGAATGTTCTTTTCAACAGGCTTTGTGACAGTAATGGGTGCTACAACTAGACTCTTTTTTCTTTAATAAAAAAAAAAAAAACTCCTTCCCCTTTCCCTTATCAATGACCATATCCATTTATCCTTTTCCCACCACCACCACCACCACCCTCTTTCCCTATTTTGTTTGTTTGGTTTGTTTACCTGGTTGAACTCCGTTATATTCAATATCTATCTTGCTTCGGAACTCTTGAATCACTTGGAAACATTGTACCATAATTTTATACCATGCATTATCTTGTAATTCATTTCCCGTTGTCTTGAATAATTCTTCGCGTTTGCTGGGACATTTACTGGCAAGTGTGGCTAATTCGGAAAATGCAGAAACCTTCAACTGCTCGTCTTTCTTTTCCTCGAGTCCCTTAATAAGGCATTCGAATTGATTGGCATAGGGATTGGTGCAAGGTAAAGTCTAAAACAGAAGGAAGAAAGGTGGATTAAATATACACAGTGAAGCTGAAAAGAGAAACGAGACACTTACCAAAGAGAATAATGCCTCATATACACGGTTGGAAATATTGAATACACAGGTTGAAAGAATACCTCCCACTGTCAAACGAAGGAAAAGGTGCAAATCAAACCAATGAAACTTGATGATAGGTGCGCTCAATACCCTACACCAAAGAAATGGGGGGGGGGTTAGTAAAACTTGGGATCCGTATAATCTTTGTGTTTGAATTCCTCACCTTGTAAAAAGTCCAAAGAAACGAGCGATAGAATAATAGAAAAATACATGGAAAAAGATAAATGTCACATAAGTCATTGCGAAAGAGTACAAAGCTCTCTTTGCTGAATTACAAAGCACAGTTCCAAGACTTGTCTTGATATCATAAAATGCTGGTTGCTATCCACAAAAAAAAAAATATAGGGTTAGAAAATGAACGTCATCTTTTTTGAGGGGCGAATTATTCATATTACTTTAACATTGAGTGCTTGAAGAACATGCGTTCTTTTCTTGACATAATCGACGGTATAGTTGAATCCCAACATGATGGCGTATACACAAATAAAGATATTCTCCTCATTCAATTGACGTGCTCCTGTATAATGACTATACATTCAAAGATTAGATTCAATATATTACAACTGCTTTCTTTTTCTTTTTTTTTACCCAGGGATGTTCAAGAGAAACCCAGCGGTATACTTCTCGCTCATCATCCAATATAAATAAGTACGGATAACGACGAGGTTGCCAATAGCATGGATAATAAATAAAAACAAGTTATCGAGCGAAATACAGTTGACAATGACGGTAGCGAGTCTACTAGGATAAACAGGTTGCCAAACTACACATGAAGAGTTAAAAAACTAAGAAAATGAAAGAGGGACGTGGCGGAGGTGGTAGGGAAGGGGGAGGGGGGATGTGGAAGACTATAACTTACTTGTAGTATTGGACAAGCGAACGACAAAGGTAATACCACCAATAAGAAAGAGTAGCAATGAAAAGAAAAACGTCTTTAATGAAAGTACGTTTAAGAATGTATCTAGTATAACCAGAGAATATAAGTGTCCATGAGCTCGTTTTTCCTTTCTACTAAATACGTTACGATAATTGAAAAAGAAGCCTAATTGAAATAAGATTGCAAAGAACCCACAAAACAAGTACAATGTCACAAAATACTGTCGAGTTAATCGTCTCACCACAGATTTATAAGCACTCTCATACGAAGCACAATTCACTTTTCCTAGTGGTTTACTAATGGCAGCGGCTGGCTTTGGTAAGGAAGCTGACTGCATCTTTTTTTTTTAAGAAATGAACAATATAGACCACAAACAAAAAAGAAGAAAAAAAAAAACGCGACCTTCTTTTTTTTTTTGGGAGGGTTAGTCTGCGCACAAAAAAATGCGAGTCACGACATGAAGGTTTAAAGCAACATCATGCTTTTTGTATGATAAACACAATTACTATACTTTGGTAAGTTTCCGATAAGAATTTGCAAGTGTGGATAACATACATGGAGATATACTATGAGAATAAAGTCATTCAATACTATTTCTAACTAAGATTCAACTATTCCTTTTATAATCATCTCTGATGTGATAAAACAGTCCTTGTTTATCATTCTCTCCTGATTAAACAACGCCCATTTGTTTTTTGTTTTTGTTTTTCTCTTTCTTCTTTTAACACTATCTCTAATAAAGATATCGTGTTTTAAGGAAAGGGGAGTCAACCATATGTTTTTTCCTTTCTCTTGAGCAAATGCTTAAATATGACAGGCACATACAAAGCTATCATAAATTTAGGAATAAGCTTCCATACTGTTATACAAGATAGGTTGCATTCTAGTTTTTTTGCAGGGACGAATGGTTGATATATCGTGAATGGTGGAGCTGACTGAGGCAAGGCAGGCCTTAAGCGCGCTTCCTAGCTTTAGGCTTGGGGTTGATGGTGTGTCCACATAAAAGCATATCTATATTGACCACTTTTTTTTTTTTATAATTAAAGAAAAAGAGAAAATATCGTGTCAAATAATATTTTGATACTCTCCCTGGATTAATAAATCCATTATTCAAGATAGCTTAAGCAATTGGCTGATTCTTATCATATCTAGAGGTGCATTCCCGCAGCACAAATATTGACGCAGATATTTAAGTCAACCAAATCATCTTTGCCTAAAGATGAAATTCCATTCGTTGTACTTTTTTAGACAAGTCAAATGGAGAGGCTACAGCCCAAAAAAAAAATCAATGTAGCCAGGTTCATGAACTTGCTCGTGGTGACATTGGTCGACATAGAAAACGATCCCAAAGTCCATGTTGGACCCGATTATTATCAGACACCTGCCGTGTTTTGTTGTTCCCTCAGATTGCGCAGAAGAACTTGAGCATAAGTTTGAGCAGGGAGACATTGGCCTGCCCAGCTTAACATCAACTGCGTCAATTGACATCACAATTAAACAAAACATCGCCTTACAAACCATGGCGAAGTAGCATTAGAAACTTCCACACGACGTTGACAATGCCAAAAGCAGTATTTATCTTGTGCAGCTTTCCCACAATTGGATTTGGGTTCATGACTCAAGCTCACTCTCCGTGATCCCATCGCACTTACTACAGGTCTTTGGAGCATCTGTAATCAGCGCTGAGAAGTTGACAGCTGTCTTAAAAAAGAATGGTCACTTTTTGGACGTGATTACCTGGAGACCTTGGTGTATAGTATAGGTAGTAGAAGATATCAAGCCCGTATAGATGCTAAAGATGGAACCCATAAGTATTAGCTTCTTTGATTTATTTTTTATTTTCTTATAATAGAACATATGTATAATAAACATGTGTATTTAATCAACTGAGAGAGATGGAAGTATTTTACTATCGAGGTTTCGAAGGATTAAAGATACAAAACTTTCCCTGAGGGATTGTATTTAAGAGCAAAGATGTATGCCAAAGAACAAATCACATAGGCTGTTTGCAAGAATAAATGGAATACCAAAAATATTTCGTCACATAGTAACTCGGTCGTTCTTTAAACACAATTGCAAGGTTACACCGGGACATTGGCTGAAAAATGCAGTAGTGGGCTGTTGACTAGTATGTTCAAAAAAAAAAAAGAATGAAGCTTTTACTCAAACACAACGGCAGTAAGTTCGCATGATATCCTCGTTGTAGTTACATTATTTCGCTTTTGTATGGGTTATAAATTTTAAGCGATTCATAGATTGACAACAGATTGGTGAACGCTAATAAGCCCAAAGTTATTAGTTTGAGGCCCCCAATGTCGATTAGTTCCTGTATATGTATACCCATAGGCAACATGTTTTATAATGTATAGGTGGTAATTAAATCTTGCAGATCCAAACAAGAGCAACTTTATCAAGGAACAGTACAGTAGTCTCTTCCCTAGTGATATGAAATAAAAAAAGAATGGATGGTTAGAAACCATTGACATAAAACCCCGTCATGCACCGGTTGAAGCTCGGATCCGCAATTTGAACTTGCGCCCATGTTTAGAAAATGTGAGTACACAACAACATTTTTTATTTTTTATTATTATTTCTTTTTCTTATTATCGCAAATATTAAAACTCAAAACAAAGAAAATGGAAACACCAGCCATTCCAAGCCAACAAGTCATTGAAGAAGAGCCAGTGCGATTAAGTGAATCTTCCTCTTCAAGTACCTCTTCAAGCGTCTCTTCTGAAGAGCACCCACTCCAGACACCTACCATTCTTGTTCAAGACGAGTTCACTGACGACAGAACTTTGCTTGACGATCAAGGTAGACCAAATATCAGCCGTGCTCCATCTGTCGTGGCTGAGGTAGACACAGATACTTCGCATGCCAAGGTAAAGCTATGACAGAAGAAGCTTTTATATAACATGTACTAAACCATTGCTTATATAGGGCTTTTACAACGTCTCGGATTCCAAGGATGTCGTCGATTTGGAGGTCGTAGGTCAGTTACCCGACTGGTTAGTCAGTGAACATTATACTGTCGGACCTGGAGTGTACGACGTACGTTACTCCCGAAAGATTGAAATTGATAATGTACTTCAAAGTGCTACTTCCACCTTTACTTTAGGTCATTGGTTCGATGCGTAAGTTTGCTTCACATTACCCCATCCTCATTTGCACATTATACTTAAAAAAAAACAAACTTTTAGACTTCCTTTGATCAATCGCCTTGATATCAATGGTGAAAGAAACACTGTTACTTATCGCCATCACTTACCCAATAGACGATTGAACGAAAAGATTCGTGATCACCATGGTTATGCGCCCAGCTTTCCTGCAGGTTTATTCAAGACCAATCCTAACCAAACCATGCTAATCAAGTTTTTAAACAACGGCAAGAAGCCAAAGCCAGATCGTGTCCCCTGTGGACAACGTATCAGCACATATATACCTGGTATCGAAGGAAGATTGTTCTGTCAAGATTTTGCAAACCACGTACGTAATCCTCTTGTTTTTTTTTTTTCATTTATTTCTCTTTTATACTAAACTAGCCTTTTTTTTTTTTAAAAAAAAAAAAATACAGGTTCAAACATTAGATCCTTTTGATTTATCTCCCTCTGGTCTTCAAACCTGGGATGAAATTAATCCTGAATTCAAAGGTTATAGTTCATGTCCCAATGGTCAATATGATTCCTTGACAGAAGAATACATTAACTTTACAATGGAGATTGGATACAAGTCCACAAAGTATCATTTCTTCTCCATTACAGACGGAGAACCCAAGGGTCGTAAAATCGCCACCATCTGGAATGCTCCCACTGGATGGGTCAATAACTTTGCAATCACGCCCAATTATATCATCATGGTTATTCATCCCATGCTGGCCAATTCAGGTGCGGTCAGATTTGCTTGGAGTGAAAGTATTTTGGATTCGTTCTACTTTGAAAAGTCAGAACCGACACTCTTTTATGTCATCTCTCGTAAGGATAACGATGTGGTTGCATGTTATCGATCCGAGGCTTCACTCTCTTTAAACCAGGTGAATGCTTATGAAGATGTGCATGGAAGTATTGTGATTGATATGGCTTGTTATGATGACGATCGTATACTCTCTCAATTAGCTACCGAAAGTCTTCGTAACCCTAAAGAAATGGGCAAGTTGCAACCTGCTCAAATCCGACGTTATATCCTAGGCAATCCTCAACGTGAAGCACACGATGTATACGTTGCCAATAATTCATTTATCCCCTCTGCTGTCAGTATTACCTCTCGTATCGGTTCTGTTTGGAATTACGTTACAGGAAGTTCTTATGCGCCCGAAAATGCTACGGGTTCCAGTGGATGGCACGCTTGGATGCCTATAGTTACCTTTGAACAACTGGCTGAAGCTACCTTGGAATTACCACAGATTAACCCCAATTACAAGATGCAGCAGCATGCGTTTGTTTATGGTCTTGGCTTTCATCAGGGTAGTCATGAAGAAGGTAAAATTTGGGATAGTATTATCAAGATTGTAAGTTGTTTTATTTTATTTTATCAATCCCAAACTCACTGCGTTATTTTTTTTTTTTTTTCGTATATATAGGATGTAAATAGTAAATCCGTCGTGGCTTCCTGGCACGAAGAGAATTGTTACCCAAGTGAAGCTCAATTTGTACCTAAACCAATTAAAGCAGGAGAAGATAAAACAGCCGAAGATGCAGGTGTATTGATAAGTATCGTTTTGGATTCTGCGCGCTCTACTTCTTTTGTATTAGTATTAAATGCACAAGATCTTGAAGTTATGGCTAGAGTCGAATTGAACAAGTTGATTCCTATTAGTTTTGCACATGGAACTTATAGGTTAAGAAGCACCTAAAAAGAAACCAAAAGGATGTTGCACCCTTTATTTCTCCCCTTTTTTTCTTTATATATATATTTCACCCTTCTTTTTTTTTTTCCTATTTTTTTTTTTTTTTTATATCCCAACTGTTATAGCTGAATTCTTATATATAAAATAGCATTTACATGTAAGGTTTTTTTTTTTTTTTTTTTCTTTGCTTCGATTTATTTTTTGCCTGCAGCGTTTATTGAAATTCATCATTACTACAAATATGAGAATTAATAAAAGCGAATGTACAATAAGTTCAGGGTGAATTTCCCTTTATTAAATTGTCATAAATGATATGCCAAAAAAGTTTATTTAAATTTTTTTTATTCTTGTTCACCTTTCCCTATTTCCTTCTTTTTTATATATATATTCTATTAAAATAAAAATCGGTTTTTTTTTATATATATAATATAGATGTATCCTGTTCACCCAACAAGTACAAACCATACTACCTTGTCAAATACACCATCCTCAATAAATTCACCCAGCCGACATGGTCGAAAGCTAAGTCACGTTCAGTTTGGAAAACGACCTTACAATTTACAAGATGAATATACTTCATCAGCCTTTATGATGCCCTTTGACGAAAATAAACAGATGGTAGGAGGCACAGACTCTACCATTGAAATGCTCAAATCAAGCTGTAGTAGCCAGGAAGAAAACCAATTAATTGACCCAGTAGTCCTACCTACGAAAAGACAACGACTGGTAAACTGGTTTTATACAACAGCTAATATAGGCCCATTTATTAAAGGAGATCATTGGCCTTTATTCACATATTTAGTCGTTGCGTTTACAGTCATTATATTCTCGGGCGAAATGTTACTTAGTAAACAAAGTTCAGGGGAGTTTTTCGAATTGGAACCCTTTAATTATATGCTAGGCCCATCCATGGAAATCCTAATACAATCGGGTGCAAGGTTTCCTCCCTGTATGAGAAAGGTAGAATCCATGCCGCCCGATCAAAGATACATTTGTTTGCACACCATCTCTCAAAGTAACCTTACACCTACCGCTGCCGCTGCCTCAAATCGAACTCAACTATCTCCCTTCAATGATCAACCATTAATTCTGTTAGACCCCGTAGTCAATATGACAGATCATCGTTTATTCAACCTCACTTGCTCCTTATCCACAATATGTGGCATGTCGTCGTTTTATCAGTACCGCATACCAGATCAAACCTATCGGTTTTTTACGCCATTATTTATTCATACAGGTCTAGTTCATTTATGCATCAACATGGTTGTTTTAATTATGCTGGGTGTCAAAGTTGAAAGAACAATCAATTCATTACGGTTCACATGTATGTATGGATCACAACACGTGGGAGCATATCGCAATGCTGACCAATTTTTTTTTTTTTTTTTTGATATGATAGTGCTCTTCATTGGGTCTGGAATGTTTGGACATGCTTTAGGTGCCAATTTTGCACCACCCACTTCACGTAAGCTTAGCATTTAAAGAGAACAATATATATATTCTCATTTTTATTGCAACAACAAGAAAACTTATGTCATTGTTTCTTTACACAGCATTTTTGGGTTGCAGTAGTTCATTATTGGGTCTTGCAGGATTCTTGTATACAGATCTTATGATGAACTGGAAGACACTAGAAAAGCCTATTTCCAATTTATTCAAATTAATTGTGATTACAGGACTCTGCTTCTTTATAGGATTAATACCGGGGTAAAAACCAAAAATAGGAATAATCTGATATCAAATTCCATTGTGAACTCATTTATTTTTTTTTATCTTAAAAGAGTCGACACGTTTTCACATATTGGAGGGTTGGTGTCTGGAGTCATACTGGGTTTCTTCCTAACACCTGTCAAATGGTGGCCTAAACCAGCCAAGTGCACGAATTTTAAAATTGTACTGGTATACATTCTGAAACTACTTTGTGGCTGTATATTTGGCCTAATGATTGGATTATTGATCCATCACTTTTCTACCAGTAAACTAGACCAAGTAAGTTTCGAATTGTTATTAAGAAAAAAAAAAAAGTAAATACGATAATTAATTTTTGATTAGGTGTGTCCATACTGTAGATATATTTCATGTTTGCCTATAAACGGCTTTTGTGATTAACTTGTAAAAATAGTTTATTAATTGTAAAATTATGGGAGGGTGGGGGTGACGAGGAGAAGAAAGTAGCTTTTTTTGAAAAAATAAAATAAAAAAATTAATGTTTATTCATACACTATTCTAAACCGCACTTATTGTCATCGGCTTAATCTCAGATAAGAGAGATTCCCGCTTGATTTAAATGATATAAATTATTAAAACAAGAGCTGATTAGCATCAGAATGAGATAACATAATAGGTTGTATCTGCACACATACAGCACTTTTGATCAAAATTTAGCCAGTGTGAATATATAAATCCATGTATTGATATTAGTAAAACTCATTTTACCCAAAAGAAAAAAAAAACTATCGTGTGGTCATAAAAACCAAGGCTTTTGAGACACGCATAAGTTTATCTTTACTTTCCAAGAAATTTCCCCAGTTGCAGGTTATCTTTCTCCGGCATAATTGAGTAACTACCGCAACCCTTAATATCAAATATAATATCAGTGTCTCTTTGAAGTCATTATAAAATTAAAATATAAGATATAAATTACTCAGTAATAAAGCATTGTTTGTATTGGGTCACACCTTTTACTAATTATCTAAAGACTTCATTTAATGATGCTAGATCGATATAACTCATAATTATTTAATGATTCTGTTTTTTTTAAAAAAATTGCGAGCTATTTTTGTTAATAAAGAACTACAAGCACGCATTTTTGTAAAAAAGCCATGAGATGAACTACAGAAAAAGATTGAATCTTCAAGTCCTCTTCCCCCGCCCCCTTTATTTTTAAGCCTTGTAGGAGGTATTAAACGAGTAAACATGAATTGTAATTCACAAGATACAAAGTAATCAAAGCCACATTGCATTATTACACCAAATCATCACCACTTAAAGCTGCATTGTAGTTCCCTGAATTATATCATTGCTTTACCTCATCTGCTCATGGGGTTTTTATTTATACTATTATTATTTAAATCCACGGGTACCGTAAAGGTATTTAGCAATGACGGCGATTTTTTCTTTTTTGGTGATAACGTTTGTCTCTAAGATACCCTAATTGGCTTAGTTCCAGCGCCCCGGGTGTATATTATCCTTTCCGTGTTATCAAAAAAATCCCTTAATTTTTTTTTTTTTTTTACCAATCAAACATCAAAACATAGTTTGACCGACTAACTGCTTTTGTTGCAGACAAAATCCCGAATAAATCAACATGGACTTGCTTTTTGGGAGGTGAGATTGACTTTTGTTTTGTATAGTTACAAGCCTTCTTTTTTCTTTTTCGAAAATATTAAGGGTCATGTTGTGTTACAAGTGATTATTACCATGTACCTATTTTCTGCTTATGATATCAAGTAGAAATCATTACAAAGATGATTATATTATTATAATAGTTCAAAGTTTAGAGTAACGAAATGTCCCTTGCCAATTGCACGTCCCCCTATATATATATATATATATATATATATATACATATTAAAAACTTTTTTGTCTCTTTGATAAGCAGAATGATAAGGTTAAGATAGGCTTTCATGCCCCATAATGTTGTTATAAAATTTGGGCTTCTAATAAAAAAAAAAAACTATTGCCGCAGACATAATCGCCTCTGCAAACTGTAACTGAATTGTCTCTATCTCAGCTACTTTTACAAATGAATTTATATTTGTTACACATATTAAATGTAAAAAAATGTCATTGCAGCATCCCACCAAAATATTGTGATATTATGATACGATCACGTTAATTAAATGTTTATACCCAAACTGAGTATAAGAAATCAGTCACCTAATATTTTTGAAATTGACAATATACGATTTACCTAATCACCCATAACCAGGAACCTGAAAAAAAAAAAAGAAACGTATTTTATGTTGCTACTAATTGGTGCACAATTTTTTTTTTTTTTTTTTTTAGTTCCATTTCCTAGCCATATGCCCTGAAGGTTACATGCACCCTGAAGGAGGAGTATTAATAAAATCGGCTGACACCTTGGATGTTTTGACAGTGCTGCTAAATTAATAATAATAAAAAAAAGTATAAACAACAAAAATTACAGGTCTAAAAAAAAACAATTCAAAAGTCAGAGAGAGAGAAAGAGGAATTCCGCATCCAGCGTAATATAGTGGCACGTTATTTTTAAATGAACTTTAGATTTGAGATAAAAGACTATTTTGGACTTTTTGATCAAGCGATAAGGTTATTTCTTTATCAGTAAAATAAAGCAGACAGAAAAAAGTACTCGAGACTGATTTCGGGTGATGATTTGTGTTTCTTTGAACAAAGAAATAAGCAAAATTCTGTAATTTTTTTTTGTTGTCATACCCGTATTTTTTTTTGAGAAAACCTTATTTGTCAAAAAAAAACAAAAAAAAAAAAAAACGGGAACTGAAACTTGTGCAATATAAATATTCGCAAAAAATTATCTTTTTTCTTTTCTTTTTTTATTATATTTTTAATACACATAATAATTTGACAGAAAATGGCTGATACAAATCTTCGTGAACCCGAAATCAGTTCAAACAACTCTAAAAATGCAACACAGATCAATTCAGCAGTCATTCACAAGACAACAAGTCTGCCAACACCGAGAAATTCAATCGATCTCTTTCCAACCACAAAAGGTAAATAAACAAACAAAACAAATGAATTCATATTTCATGCAATGATTAACACTCCTTATAGTTGTATCTACACCATCTACCCCTACAGAAAATACAGTCCTGTCAAAAAAAGTTGATTCATCAGAGGAGTCAATACCGCAGTCAAAGCAAGTCAAGCCAAAACCCATATATACACACGAACTTCCAGTCAACTTTTTCGGTTCTCATTCACCACCATTACCACTCTCTCCCTTAGCATTTGCATCTAAAAGAAACACACCTGTTTCTTCACCGCAAATTCACCCAACCATAGACACACTTGTAGAGCCTACCGAAACTTTGGATCTCCACAAAACTCCTAAAAAGGATGATGTATTACCACCGTCATCATTACCAGATCAGTATATGCTGACCAAATCAAAAAAGTTTCCAAAAACCCACATGTTATCTTTAGAGGACTTTGATATCAAGCAAACTGTTGGTACAGGTTCATTTGCCCGAGTGCATGTTGCCAAAAGTAAAGCCAACGGAAAATACTACGCCATCAAAGCCATCAACAAGAAGGATTTAATATCAAGGCGACAAGTAGAGCATGTTCACAACGAGCGGGAAGTTCTCAGTGTCGTATCTCATCCATTCCTCGTCAAATTTTGGGGAACCTTTCAAAGCGAGACACACGTTTTTTTCGTCATGGATTATGTGCCTGGAGGAGAACTCTTTCGATTGATCAAAAACAAAAAATTGGCCGAGAAGGATGCCAAGTTTTATGCTGCTGAAGTCACATTAGCCATTGAATATTTGCATAGTATCAATGTCGCTTACCGAGATTTAAAACCGGAAAATATCTTACTGGATCAGCGTGGACATGTCAAGATCACGGATTTTGGATTTGCAAAACAAGTAGAGGATGTCACTTGGACTGTGTGTGGTACACCAGATTATTTGGCTCCGGAAATCATTCGTTCCAAAGGATACACAAAAGCTGTGGACTGGTGGGGACTTGGTGTATTAATTTTTGAATTACTAGCAGGGTAAAGTAGTATTATTTATAAATATATATATATATTGATTTATATTGACACTTTTTTTTTCTTTCTTATAGTCATGCACCATTTTCTGCAAAGAATCCTGTGGATCAATACCAAAAGATTCTCGAATGTGACATTACTTGGCCTGACCATTTCAGTGAGGAAGCCAAAGATCTGATACAAAACTTGCTCCAAGTCAAACCCAGCGAAAGATTTGGAAACTTAAAAGAGGGTGCGAATGACATTAAACAGCATGCATGGTTTAAATCACTCGACTTTGATAGAGTATTAGCGCGTGATGTTACACCTCCTTATGTTCCCAATGTCAAATACGAAGGTGATACCGGATGTTTTGCTTATTATGAAGAAATGCCATTACCCTATAATTTAATGCACACATCCAAAGCTTACTGTGATCATTTCCCTGACTTTTAAAAAAAACACTACAACATACACACTCAATGATACCATTTTTTAATTATAATAATAAAAAAAGAAAACTTGCATTCCTATACAGCTATATATAAAACGAGTTTCCCCCCAAAAAAAAAAAAACGGCCAAGGTTGATAATTGAAGTATTGTGAAATAAAAATAAAGTGCGATTACCTATCGCCAGGTCATTTAGACAATAAACATTGTGTATTTGTTTAGATAATTATCAAAAACAAGGGGAGCAATAAAATAAAATATGGTTAAATATAAAGATGTTGGGATTACTTTAATTTTGAGAAAGTTACACCCGTACGCGCGCCAGGTCGGTTTTATAAAATAACTAACAATTTAGCTTTAGATACACCATTTTAAAGGTGGTCGCGTGCTTTCTGTTTTGCCTCATTTTTTGTCATGTTATGTTTATTAAAATATACTTGATGTAGTGAGTAATTAAACTAATAAAGCTACTGTGTTGATGATTGTCAAAAAAAAAAAAAAAATACGGGGTAATATTTTTTTTTTCTTTCTTTCTTTGCTATATTTCCACACTGTGGTAATATAACCATACCACGTACGCTAGCTATCGCTTTGTTAAATTTTGTCTTTTTTTTTTTCCTAGACACTTTGCATATTGCGTTAAATGACATTGTAGCATCTGAATGACGGAAACCATGACAACGCATAATTTTTTTTTTTTTGTACTGGTAGAGATAAAAGAATATTTGTGGAACTTCAAACACCAACAAATTATGTGCCTTATTTGTCAATGAAGCATTTCCCCCGGACTTTGAAGCCTAGTTTTTTAATGGAAAAGCACAGAACTTGCTAGGTCTTTTGGAGGGTAAAAAAATGAAAAGCCACCAAATTACACCGCTCGAGGTTCCCAAAACCGGACGGACTTGGGAAGGATTTTTTTTTTTGAAAAAAAAAAATAAAGATCTCGTTCAAAGGAGAGGGGGTGGAGTTGAATTCTGTTGTTCTTTTTCATCATCATCTTTTATTAGGGAAAAATGTATCAAAGTAACCAAAACCCTTCCCTCTTTTTAGGAGGTGAACGTACTACCGGACAGGATGTTCGCGCAAGCAATGGTAAGTTTTTTTTTTTTGTGGGCATGCTTGTCACGACGCGTCATTCATGACAGATCAACTTACCTCTTTCTACTAGTCCTCGCCGCCGCCTCTATTGCAAATATTGTTAAAAGTTCTTTAGGCCCCGTCGGCTTAGACAAGATGTTGGTTGATGAAATTGGTGTAAGTATTTCCCCCTTCCAACAAGAAACTCTTCCAACATTTTTTTCTCATCATCATCCTTTTTTTTTTTTTCTTCTTCTCATCTAGGATGTGACCATCACCAACGATGGTGCTACCATTCTTGGTTTGCTCGAGGTCGAACATCCCGCCGGTAAAGTTTTAGTTGAACTTGCTCAACAACAAGATCGTGAAGTTGGTGACGGTACTACCTCTGTCGTCATTATCGCTGCTGAACTTTTAAAACGTGCCAACGAACTCGTCAAAAACAAGATTCATCCTACCACCATCATTACAGGTTACAGATTGGCTTCCAAGGAAGCTTGTCGTTTCATTGCCAACGAAATGGCCACTAAAGTCGATACTCTTGGTAAGGAATGTCTCATCAATGCCGCCAAGACCTCCATGAGTTCAAAGATTATCGGATCGTAAGTTGTTTTTTTTTGGAGAAAAAGGGGATGGATGGGGAGAACGAGAAGAAGAAAAATAAAATAAAAAAGAGGACTAATGTGTTATAAAGTGATTCCAAGTTCTTTGCTAATCTTGCTGTTGAGTCTATTTTGGCCGTCAAGTCCACCAACATGCGTGGTGAAACCAAGTACCCCGTCAAGGCTGTCAATATTCTCAAGGCCCATGGTAAATCTGGTCTTGAATCACAATTTGTTCGTGGTTATGCTCTCAACTGTACTGTTGCATCTCAAGCCATGAAGAAGCAAGTCAAGAACGCCAAAATTGCCTGTCTTGACATGAACCTTCAAAAGGCGCGTATGCATTTAGGTGTTAATATTGTCGTGGATGATCCTGATAAGTTGGAAGATATCCGTAAGAGAGAAATTGAAATCACAACCGAACGTATCCAAAAGATTTTAGATACCGGCGCCAACGTGATTTTAACCACAAAGGGTATTGATGATTTATGTCTCAAGCTTTTCGTTGAAGCGGGTGCTATGGCCGTCCGTCGTTGTAAGAAGGAGGATTTGAAGCGTATTGCCAAGGCTACAGGTGCTACTCTTGTTTCTTCTTTAGCTAACTTGGAAGGCGAAGAAACCTTTGAAGCCAGCTCTCTTGGTCAAGCTGAGGAAGTTGTTCAAGAACGTATCTCCGATGATGAATGTATTTTAGTAAAGGGTACCAAGATCCAAAACTCAGCTTCCATCATCTTGCGTGGTGCTAACGATTACATGTTGGATGAAATGGAGAGATCCCTTCACGATTCTCTTTCGGTTGTAAAGAGAACTTTGGAAAGTAACAGTGTTGTACCCGGTGGTGGTGCCGTTGAATCTGCTTTGAGCATATACCTTGAAAATTTCGCTACAAGCTTAGGTTCTCGTGAGCAACTCGCCATTGCTGAATTCGCTAATGCTTTGCTTGTTATCCCCAAGACCCTTGCTGTGAACGCCGCTAAGGATTCTACAGAATTAGTCGCTAAGCTTCGTGCTTATCACAACACTGCTCTTAATGCTGATGCAGATGATCGTAAGCGTGCCCTCAAGTGGTACGGTCTTGAATTGATCGATGGTACAGTTCGTGATAACCTCAAGGCTGGTATTTTGGAACCCACCATGTCCAAGATCAAGTCACTGAAGAGTGCTACTGAAGCTGCTATTGCTATTTTAAGAATCGATGATTTCATCAAGGTTGCACCTGAGCAAAGAGGAAACCCTGAGGATGATGGTCATGGTCATTAAAATGTTTTTTGTTATAAATAGTATATTTATCAAATAAAAAAAGAGAAAAAAAAAAAGAGAGAAAGAATTATATATTGTACACAAAAAGGGAAGAGGTTCTGACTACACAAAAATCAAGAGAAATATTGTACTTCTAATCCTATTGTACGAATTGGACTTGTGCTTCTTAAATCAGCAGTCAATCCTAAACTAAATAAGGTGTTCTTAAATCTTCCTTCCCACATCAAAGCAAGACCTTTGGTGAACCCCCAACGTGCTTTAATTAAACCCTCTAATTTCTCGGTACGATCTGCTGTCAATGTAATCATACCCTCATCCACTTCTGTCTCGATGGTCGGTGTCTTGTTTTTGGTGCGGTATTCGAATCCAAAGGCTAAATCACTTTCATAAGAATAGATGCTAAAATCGTATCTGGAACACATGACTAATTCGTCTGATAATTTAGCCACATAACTCGTAGACATGTGTCCCACAATAGGGTTCAATGTATAGGTGAAACTGATCGGTGGTGCATTGGAATTAGGTAATGTGCGATAACGAAAACCAGTAGACACTACTCATTTTTTTTTTTAGAACACAACGAGGACGACAACCTATATTCTTACAAAAAACTGCCCACTTACATCCACCACTTTTATCAAGAACACCGTAATATATCTCTGTGCCCAAGGACCATTGCCCTGTAGCTGAAGGCTGACCAATATTGTATAATGCTCGAAGACCCAAAAGTCCGTCGTCGGATGTGTATGAGCATTCAGAACACCATTTCCCCACGTCATACTGTAACTGCATAGCCACTTGAGGTGAAACAAGGGTACGAGGGCTATTGACAGCAGTGACGAGATATTGAAGGTGTTCGCTGATACGACGTACGTACATGGCTTCTAACCTAGCTCCTGGGAAGAACATGCGACCATAAAGCAAATAGTCGGGAGTTACTAAACCTAATGGGTTAACGATGACAACACAAAAAAACAATATTTCCTTGTGGAAAGCATTTTTTTTTTTTTTTTACCTTGGTAATCTTTTACATTGCTGGAAGGTTGCTTAACAATAATTCGAAATCGATCAATCATGTCTTGAAAATCAACGGTTGCACTTGTTCCAATTTCAAGAGGTTTTGAGGTATAGAGATATCCTATACTGCCATTGAGTGTCGGTAAAGCGTTTAGAGTATAAGAAGGTTTAAATTGAGGTGTTGGAAGTTTCGACATGACCAAGGATAAACCTCTTGGTGTGTGAAAATCAAGTAAAGCTCTTGACCACGAGCATAGGTTCGAGTACTGGTTTTCTTCGTTCCAGCCTGAAGAGCGGTAAAACCGCTTCAAGCAATATTCCATAAAGTCATACATAGTTTAAGTGTAAGGAAAAAAAAAGGGTGTGTGTGTGTGTGTGTGTGTGGAAAACCCCCAAACTTGGGAGACTTTTTTTTTTTAGGAATGGATAAACGATCTTCCTTACATGGACTCAAAAAACTCGAGTTTTTGTATTTCATCTTTCCTTCTTTTTTTTTTTTCATGGTCATCGCAGCTGGATTAGCAAGTGTAACATGCGTGGCATTTACGTTGCTCTATGTAGCTGGTTTCTATCTTTTTAAGCAACCTGGATCTCGTAATGATCCCAAAGTGATTCGAGCTCGATTCAAGGCTGTTACTGTGGCCTCCATAGTTTCAGCTTTGATTGTATGGTCTATGGTTGATAAACAAGATACACTGACTGTGTTAGGTATGAGTAGACCCAAGTTGTTTGCACACATCCTACGTCCATTATTGCTTACGGTCATGCTTTTTTGGGTCCCTTGTCCATCATGTTTTTCGATCGAGAGTTGCCGTTTCAAAAACACTTTGACTTTCATCGCGATGTAGTAGAGAATGTGACAACTTTGGTAGGACAGAGAAATTACATGGTAGCACCCTTGACTGAGGAATTTGTTTTTCGCTCATGTATGATTGCCGTATTATATCAAGCAGGTTATTCCAAGAATTACTTGATATTTATTTCTCCACTTTATTTTGGCATTGGTAAGAAAATGAAGAGGGGGGAGTATATAAAAAAAAAAAAAAGACCAGAATTTTAACCAATTTCAAATGCAGCTCACTTACATCATGCTTGGGATAATTATAATAAAATGAATCGAACCACGAGGGCTTTAAAGAATGCGATATTATCGTCCTCCTTTCAGTTTGTGTATACTACATTGTTTGGATGGTACGCTAGCTACTTGTTCTTGAGATCAGGCAATCTTATGCCTCCTGTACTAAGTCACTCATTCTGTAACATAATGGGTTTCCCTGATTTCAGTAGTATTAACCATCGATCCAGACTACAAAAAGCAGGTAAGAACGAAATATGAGACCCCCCCTCCAACAAAAAAAAAGAGCTAACAAAAAAAAAATTCTCTTTATATAGTAATTTATATGTGTTTTCCAATTGGTATTTGGTTATTTATTTACAACTTTCAATATTTGACTCATAGTGATTCAATCTACTGGTGAAGAAAAACAAAACAATCTCTCTCTTTCTTTCTTTTTATTTCTTATCGCTAGGTTTCTTGTCATGACCCAGCGTGTTTTCGATCAATCGCTTAGTACTATCTAGAACTAAATAAAACGCATCTCCTTTCTGAGCACTAGACCAAAACTTGCTGAAAAATGCTTGCTGATTACCATCTTTCCAAGAATCCATGTATCGTTGTGTAAGATGCTGTAGCGGACTAAAGGTCCTTTTAACTGCTTTTGTCACTAAGAGTTCAAAAGAAGGTTTTTTTAATAAGACAAATCAAAATGCATCTTTTTTTACGAATCGAATATTACCGTATTCACCCGAATGACCAAGCTCATCACCCAATTCCATTGTGTAGTAATCAGAAAATGTCTTTTTGGTAATATTTCCAGCTAAAAAAAAAAATACAGTTAGAATGGGAGAGGAAACTTATAACAACCATGAGAAAACATACCATCCAACAAATGCTCTTTACACCTTGTAGGAGTCTTTGCTATGGTGATCCATGTGCCATAGAACGGATTGAAAGAATAGGTAAGAGGTAATTTACCATGCTCCTGTAACAGTCTATCCTTTGTCATCTGCCTACTAGATCGTAAAAAGCAAATCATGCTGCATTCTTTTGACTTGTCAAATATCTCTTCTAATTCTTTTTGTACAGTTTCCTTCTTGTGTTCTTTCAAAGATCCATCTGTGGCAGCTAATAAGAAACAACGTTCTTTCCATTGGTTTGGGCTTTCTTTGGCCGATGCTCTGTTAAATGAAAGAACAGAGATATTCAGAGTAGACGATGTGGGATCTTTTTCGGTTAATGGCAAAGTGTCTGTTGTGGATGGAATATGATCTGCTTCCCCTTCTATTTGTTCTGCAGGTGGTTCTTCTGACCACCATGGTGAAGTCAATGTCGAACTATCTTGTTCTAATGGTGGTGGTGGTGGCGGTGGGCAAGGTAACGCATGTGGAGGTAACAAGCCTGATGTTTCATCGTTGTGACGTTCATTATTATTATCAGTTGTTCCAGGCATTTTTTATTTTTTTATTTTTAAAAAACGTATGTTATGAAGAGAGAGGGAAAGAAAAAAAATAACTATATTCCCTCTCTTATTTTTTTATTTCTTTTTTTAGTTTCTGAGCTGCATTTAAAAAACGATCACGTGTGTAGTGACGAAACTCGCTTAATGGGGGGAGGGTTAAAACCTCTCCATTGTATGGTGCATATGTAGAAACACACACATTCATTTTCTCTCTCTCTCTCTCTCTTTCCCTCGTTTGCTCTAGTTTTAAAACTTACAAAGTTGAACCCCCCCAACAGCTTAATTTAATACGAGTCTCAAATTACAGAATATGGTTAGTAAGCATTAGCATTCTCGGAACGAGCCGAAAGACTATTCATCTCTGTAGTATACTCGCACGCTTGTATCAACAGAATAACTGGAATGGGAGAAATAAACAAAAAAAGTTTCATCAGGTGGTGCAGAAAATAAGAGAGTCAATTGGTGTAAAAGTGAGGAGGCAGTCTTAAAGTGGTACAAGGCGTACATATTTGTGCTTTGACAGTGACTGGATCACTTTTAACTCTTTTTGATAAGCACTTTTCAAAGGATGCAACTAGTACATTGAATTAAATAATACACGCATTGCATCTCTTTACGGCATTTCTCTTTTTTTTTTTAAAAAAGAAAAAAAAGAAAAAAGTGCTAAGATAAGATAGATAGTTTATTTAGATGGACTTACTACAAAATCAATAAATTAGGTTTATCCAAATTCTTGTTTTATACTCGTCATACATTTATGCAATTAGTTGGAAAGGGTAGACAAGAATTAATGGTCTACTCGCTAGGAACAATTACGAGATGTGGATTCCTCTGTTCCTAGCAGCTCCCTAACACCCAACATGACAACTAGTTACTCATTTATCTCACGAGATAAATACATAGAGAATCATTAAAAGATGAAACTTGCAAGACTCCAAAATAACTCTTAATTATTAGATATATGGACAAAACTTCTTAGTAAAAGATCCGAATTATTGAGGGAGGAGGATGTTCTGTGTAGGAAATCCTGTAATAATTTTCTTATCTAACTAGAAATAGTATCCTGTCTGATGTGAATAAAATATCTATGATCTGATCAAATTGTCATTACTGAGTTGACCATAAATCCAGCATGTGTTTGTTTTTATTAAAAAAGGATTCGGATACCCCTGAATAATAAAAAAGTTTACCTGCCTACTACACAAGTAAATTTTTGTGATTGACGTAATTGATAAATACTATTTTTCTCCCGTAAATCTGAAAAGTGACAAAACTATTGTTTTGATGGAGGTTGACTGACAACGACAGCTTTTGGTGGGACATTAGTCATGAAATTCACGTCTGCATGATTTATTTAGGAATTCCAAATCTTAAACCCGGGTATCGATAATACAACTATAGAAGATAGACCCCAGCGAATTCAAATTATTTGATAAAGGGGAGTGGGGAAGAAATTTTTAGAACAAAACAAAAACTTTTTTATTAAAAAAAGCCATAAGAAAGATAGCTCGATTGTCCTTGTGCCAAGTAGTAAGTATGTCTTAACATTTTTAGCTCGAAACACACAATTGTTTTGTTTCAAACTCCACCATCGTTGTGATTGCTTACGTAATCTCCAATTAGCTCTTTTCCCGCTTTGATAAAATGATAGAAAATCGGAGGGGGGGGGGGGGACGGAAAGCGATCACCCATTTATTTACCGTTTGTAATCATGTAATTGGAGCGACAATAAAAATAAATAACATGTTGTCATGGGGATGAGGGAAAACATTTACATCCAAGCGTGAGTGGGTTGTTACACGCGAGAGGCGCTCCCAAGCACATTACAAGTAATTTCCAAGACTTTATATTGTAAACTTACAAAAGTTACTTTACATTAGACAAAAAAAAAAGAGAGAGACTGCAAATGGTGTATAAGTATCTACCAGTGTTTCTCTGTCGTGTTAAACTGGTAGAATTGGGTGATTTGTGCATTTTCTGTATCTTTTGTCATTCGGGGGGGGGGGGGCGCAAGGTGTGAAGTGGGGTGATTCTGTGGTTAAAAAATGTAGAAAAAAAAGTTGCCCCGGTCCGGAAAAGGTTTTTCATGTGAATTAAAAGGGGTCGGGAAGAAAGCAGTGTTTATCCGTTTAAATAAAAGGGGTGGGGGGCGATAGAGACTTGTTTACATACCTCGAGAAGAACAGAAACATCCCAGTGGCAATGGGGTAGGAGAAAATGTGCTTCCATGTTTGTTTTTCTTGGGAGGGGCGGCAGGTGCTGTAATTAATAAAATTATTAGTGCCTTGGCATTTTTACATTCGATTCATAGAAGGTCGGGCAAAAGGCATTTATATAAAATTCGAGGAGGTTGCACTGAATCAGGGAATCCTGGTGTGACAATGGAACTGTGGCAAAAAATAAATAAAAGGGGGGCTATGTAAAAAAGTATTTATAAAATAGTTCACACTTAAGCATATTACATGCAAATATGAACCAATAGTTTTTCGGACGTGCACACATATAAATATCCAAGATTCTCCGTAATATATTAATAAACAACACAGCTACCCCCCCCCCCCCTTACACTACTACTTGCCAAGATAACAGTCGTGTCTAATACACTATGAATGGTACAGAAATTCTGATTTTTTCATTAACCAATTAAAACGCCACTTGAAATAACCAGTAATTTTTTTCGTGTGCAACCCAAAAGACCCGAAAAAAATAAAATATATATTTATATTTCTCTTCTTTTTGATTATATCCAAACATACTTTGTTCCCTCAGAAACTGACAAATATTTGAATACTGCATATATACGCCAAGAGTTTACACACAATGTTTAAATGATACATTTTATTTTCCTTTTTATTTTGCATGAGTTTTGCCAAGAGCTGTCTTTGAATCTGTAGATCTTTTTCTCATTTGTTGCCTGCCAAGAACAAAGAACTATAAAAGAGAACGAGAAAAATCGGATAAAAAAAACTTTTTCCCTTTTCTCTCATAATTACAATTAAAAAGAAAAATGCAAGCCATTGATATCAACACCAAGAAAACGGATGGAAAGCCTAACAACGTCCTTTTACCTTCCCCACCTTCTTCTCCCATCGAAAGCCTCAATTCCAGAAAACGTGCATTTTCTATCTCATTCATCCAGAATGAATCTACACCACCACAACCATCAAAAAAATCCAAATTCGATATCGGTTGTTTGAATAATTATCTTAAAAAGGGATCACCCAACACCTGTGATGAACAATTCAAACGTTCACTTTTAAGCTGGGCCTGTATTGGAAAATCAAAAGAAGCCGTACAAGACCTGTTAAAACTGGTTCATTTGGATATTAATATGAAGTCAGGTCCTCATCAAACAACAGCACTCCATGAAGCTTGCTTACATGGTTTCCACCAAGGTTTAGAATTATTGGTCAAGCATGCTGACATTGATCTGAACGCTACAGACAATCAAGGTCAGACTGCCATTCATTGTGCAACCCAAGCAAATAAAATAGATTGCCTGAAAATTTTATTATCAGCTGGTGCTCGTATCGATTTATTTTCAACTGGAGGTAGACTTCCCATTCACATTGCTATCCAGCATGGATTTCATCATGGTGTATCTTTGCTCCTGTCCAAATCAAAAATACACGATAATAATCCCACAGAGACAGACATGCTTTGGAAATCGAATTTGGTGGATGGTCGCTCCTCCATTCAAAGTGCTATCGTATCTGGTTACATCAACACACTGCAATTACTTTTGGACAATGACTCCATCACGGCAAAGCATCAAACCACCAAGGGTCTTGTGCAATTAGCAGTGGATTGGAATCGCATTGAATGTTTACAATTGTTGATCAAACGTGGATGTATCATTGATGAATCGAGCCTATTAACTGCTGTACAGCAAAGAAAAATAGACATGGTGCGTGAATTGTCTACAGCAGGGGCTAATCCTTGCTTGGCGAACGGTCAAAATCCCTCGTTTCTTTATGCCGCCAATCATGGCTTTATAGATATGGTGCCTTTAGTAATAACTCCATCTACATCCAAGGACTGTATTCATCAGGCTCTCTTATTGGCTTCCTGTTTAGGTCTCCGTGATAAACTAGCAACAGCCGTCATTCATACTTTAAAATCAATCACAAAATAATTTATCCTGTCTTTTACCTACTCACGCATTTATACACTGGACTCAATTACAAAAAAACAGCATTTCCCATGTCCAATAACTTACCTTAATAATAATAATAGAATCTATTTGTATACCTCCTTTCACACTCCTTTCCCTTCTACCCCCTCCTCCCCTTTATATTCCTTCTTTTGTACAGCTTCTTTTTTTTTTTTATAATAAATATTTCATTTTGTTTATTATTTTTCGGGATCAAAAAAGGTTTTGAATAAATGCACTCGGGCCTCCGTCCTCCTCCCATACTTATTTGATCTCTCATGCATCAGTTTTTTCTCAGTAGGTCGTTCATCATTTGGCGTGCTGATTGAATATATATATATACACTAGAACTCATTGTACCATAGATGGTATATGCCGCCTTTTTTTTTTTTCAGTGCAACCCCTTCTTTCATCTAACATCCCGCGTTTTTTTTTTTTAATGTTTAGTCACTAGCCTACAGTTGTACTAGTCTTAAAATAATGTGTTAAGAGACGCAAACACTGTTCGACTGATATTTCCATCCTTTTTTATATATATATCCACCATAGTGGCCTAAGATTGCAAAGAATTAATGACACTAAAACAGATCAGAACCAAGAAAAACCAAAGATTGTGCATTGTGCATCATATAAAGACAAATCGAGATACGAACGAAATGATACTCATTGTGTGATAAATTACAAAGATCCCGTCTACCAACTCTTTTTTTAGATACATGTTTGCCATGAGCTTTTCAACACTAGTGAAAGCTTAATCATAGTTTATCTCAAATCCGGAGCTAGTCTCCCTCTTTTTTAAGACAACAAAAATTAGTGTAGATGAATATACTTTTTTTTTTTTCGCTTCAGGTCTAAAACATATAGGAGAAAAAAAAAAGATTTGTAGACTATTGTTATTTGAGGAAATAATGACTACCGAGAAAGCCAATAAGTAAACATGCCTATTAGGAACAGCACTAGAGAGATCAACGTCATGATTTTCATATTCTTCCACCACATTCTCCTCTAATAAATAATATATATAATATTCATTTAGTTAGGAAAGAAATAGCTTAGGTTGCAATCTATCCGTGATTTACCTTAAGGATAGTGCTTCTCTTTTTAAATGCAAATGCTTGTTGACTAAGCCCATCGGTTTTATCCACTAACAGATCAATACGTTCACCGCGTTGTAGCACTCGTTCAATGTTATGTGTCATAATATCCGTTACTTGATCGATCTCTCCCTTCACTTGCTTAAACTTGTCTAGACTGGGATCCGAAGAAAACTGTGTCATTTGGGTCTCAATCACATTGGAGAAACTGTTCATGCCATAAGGCGGTGCATGTTTCACTTGGGCATGTGTAAACGTACTGAGAAACTTGGTTTGGATGTCTCGTAAGAACAAGAACGGAATACGACGACCAAAGGATTCATCAGCCATACACATGTATATAATACCATCTTCTGCTATATAATGAAACAAATATCTAATTCATGGTTTCATTTTTTTTAATTGTAATTATAATGGGACTTTTTACTGTAATAAAATTAAAAATTTACCTATCATATGCATATGTCAATTTGGAATTGTTAGGAGGTATTTTTTCAAGAATGGCTTGTACCACTATCATCATTTTGGGCGGCTGTTAGCACGAAAAAAAAAAAGTCCTAACCAATTTCTTACCTGTCACATCATTGATTTCTCTATTCTTTTTGAATTCAGCAACAATGGTGGTACCATGAGCAACAAGTCCATGAACAATTGACATGACGGGAGAAAAAAAAGAAGAAATTGGAATAAACAAAAAATCGGGGAAAAAAAACTAAAATGGGCAAAACGCTGTGTGTGTGTGAGACAGAAACGATCCTTTTTTTTTCATTGGAGCATTTCATCATTTATCGGATAAAAGGTGATAACAACACACTCCTTGTTTCTTATTTCTGCAAAAAAAAAAACACGACAATATTTCTATTACTGGCAAATAGTGACTCTTAAGGGTGTCACAAAAACTCTGCACAATAAAAAAAAGCCTGTCATCATTACGAATAAAATTTCATAAACAAACACAAGAAAAGACTTAGTGCGTCGGAGTTAAGTAAGAAAGCTTTGACATCATGAAATAAGATCGCCCCCTTTGGTTGGAAATGTTCTACTAAAAAAAGATATACGAAACAGAAAAAAAAAATTAGAAAGCGTCATTTTGATAGAATACTTTTGTCAAACCATTTTTAGAAAAAGAAAAAAAGGTTCTGTATTTTGATACTAACCTGAAAAGAGCCTTATTTGTTAAACAATAGATTCTGTAATAATCTTTTTCCTCATGCAAAAAAAAGATCAGAAATCCATTGTTCCTTACTATCAATTGATCTGCAATAGAAAAAGTTTAATTTTTTTCTGATCTACTACATAATTAGCATTATTACGCCTAAGGCTTTTTAAATGATGATGTCAAAAATAGAAAAAAAAAAAAACTAAAGTCGGAGTTTGTCAATATATCGTCATAATGAAATCTATTCCAACTTAGCTTTACTGCTATGCATGAACCTGACGTAGTGGGGGACAAAATCAAGCTTTAAACAAAAACATATAAATACCAGACGATATTCGCCCCAGTTTTTAAAAAATTATTCTCTTTTGAATTTTAAATTAAATACTATAAATATGTCTGCTTTCACAAACAACTTAAACAATGCTACTGGTCTCAACAACCAACAACAACCTGGTCAATTAAACGATCAAGGTCTTAACAACGGACGTGGTGGTGTCTCCGATGGTCTTCATAACTCTACTGGTCTCCATAACCAGCACGGTGTCTCTGATGGTCTTCACAACTCTACCGGTCTTCACAACCAACCCGCCGCTGGTCAATTAAATGAAAATCACGGTATCGCTGCTTCCGGTCTCCAAGGCAACAACTTAAACTATACTGGTGCTCCCATCTCTAACGTAAACAAGGTGGATCAACAAAATACCCATGGCCTTACTGGTAACCATCATGACGGTCTTAACGGACATCACGGCGGTGTTGCTGGTGCTCTTGGTGCTCATGAACAAAATAAGCATACTGGTACCAACGGTATCTCCAATGATCCTCTTCATCATGGTACTGGTACCAATGGCATCACAAACAAGCCCCTTCCTGATCACCCCAACAACAAGACCGGTGTCCCTCTTTCTGGTGGTGCTTTAGGTGCTGGTGCTGCTGCTCTTGGTGCTCATGAACACAACAAGCATCATGATAACGGTCTCGGTCATAACAACAACAACACTGGTTTAGGACATAACAACAATGGTCTTGGCCACAATGAAGGTCTTGGTCATAACAACAACAACACCGGTTTAGGTCATAACAACAACAACAATGGTCTTGGCCATAACAACCATACTGGTACCGCATTCGCTGGAACTGCTGCTTCTCTTGGTTCCACTGCTCAACCTCAAACCCATACTCGTGTCGGTGATAACTTGGCTCACACTGGTCAAGCCCATACTCATGGTGGTATTGACGATCTTGCCTCTTCTCGTAGCCATACCAACGATCATCGTCATCCTGGTGTTGCTACTGGTGCTGCCGGTGCTGGTGCTGCTGCCCTCGGTGCTCATGAACATAACAAGCATCATGATAACGGTCTTGGTCACAACAACCATAAGAACATTGACGGTCTTCCTCTCAGCCATGAACACAATGCTAGTGGTCTCCACAACTCTGCCAACAACTCTGGTCTTGGTCATAACAACGCTGGTCTCGGTCATAACAACAACACTGGACTTGGTCATAATGATGGTCTTCACAAGGATCACCATACTGGTGCCGCTGCTGGTGCTGCCGGTGCTGGCGCTGCTGCTCTTGGTGCCCATGAACATAACAAGCATAACACTGGTTTGAACAACTCTGGTGTTAACTCTGGTGTCAACAACGGCTTGAACAACACTGGTCTTGGTCACAACAACAATGGTCTCGGTCACAACAACAATGGTCTTGGTCATAACAACAACGGTCTTGGTCATAACAACAACACTGGTCTTGGTCATAACGATGGTCTTCACAAGGATCACCATACTGGTGCCGCTGCTGGTGCTGCCGGTGCTGGTGCTGCTGCTCTTGGCGCCCATGAACATAACAAGCATAACAACGGTTTGAACAACACTGGTGTCAACGACCATGGTCTTCACAGCAATGGTATTAACAACTCTGGTGTTAACTCTGGTGTCAATGATCATGGCCTCCATAGCAACGGTGTTCGTAACGACGGTCTCCACAAGGATCATCATACTGGAGCTGCTACTGGTGCTGCTGGTGCTGGTGCTGCCGCTCTCGGTGCTCATGAACACAACAAGCATACTGATCCCAACACCACTCATGCCGGTGGCGCTGCCAATGCACTCAAGGGCGATCATGGTTATGCCAACCACAACAAGACCACTGGTACCCACACTGCCGCTGGTGTTAACTCTGAAGAGCCTGGTGTTCATGATTCCAGAGGTGTTCGTCATGCTGGTGTCCCTCTTCATGAAGGTCTTGCTCCTGTTCAAAAGAACTCTCCTCATCAGCAAGGTGGCGTTGAAGGTGAACATGATCTCAGTGGTTCTCCTGGTAAGGTCAAGGCTGGTGATAAGATCAAGGGTAACCTTGAAAAGATCGTCGGTAAGGTGACTGGTAATGAAGCTAAGGTTATTGAAGGTGACATGAAGGCTCATGGTCAACTTAACAATGCCATCTAAATTTTTTAAATCTATTTCTTTTGTTAATACCTGTATAAATTTTTTCCCTTTCTTTTTTTGTATAAAAAAAATAACTACTTTTTATTTAATAATAAACTTATTTGTCTAAAAAAAAAAACTTCGTCTATATGTTTCTCTAATTCATTATTTCACTTTATGCATCTGATATTGATAGGGCATAATAATCTTTATCATTTGATCCATCCCAAGTTTGCCTTTCCAACTTGAAAAATATTCAGCTAATCATCTGAATTCTTTTTAACGCTACAAGTAATGGGATTTGCAGTTGTCTAAGATAATGCAAGTAAAATAACGATGAAATTATTTGATAAGCATAATATTTATCTGGGCTTATTTTACATATTCCGATCTGCAACAGGCATTTTATGCTGATCACGGCAAAATATACATAATTTTCTTCACTATAAATATCAAGAACAAATCAGCTTTTTCTATCATCCCCACAAACTTTTTTTCATCCCTAAAAGCCACATTACTTTACAAACTATGCGGTTTTTTGCTATATTACTTACTTTTGTCATTGCATGTATAATTGGTACAGAGGCCCGCGTTACTTTTGATAGTCAAAAGAGACAACAGGATGAATCAACGTTTTCTGAGGATCTTGATGTGGATGAAAAACCGGTCCAGAAATCAGTATATGGACCACTTCCACAATCTGAAGTCATGCCTTAGAACTAGCAACCAGGTGTAACATCCGCGCTAAGAAAAGGTGGGGGTGGGAGGAAAAATTGACTGTGAGTTTTTACTGTCAACGTCCCGCTTAAAATTTTAAAAAAAATAAAGAATCTCATATTGGCCTGTTTAATATAAATTGGGTATTTTTATTGCACACAATTGTGTCGATAGGAATGGATAGGTATATCTTGATATACAGAAAATAATAGTGCCTTATACATGTTGTTCTATCATACGACATTGTAAGAGTGGATGATTGGAAACTAATGAATGAGTACTTACAAAAAAAAAGTATACCCGTATAAGATAACCTTATCGACGTATCATTAGCTACGATCACCACATTATCCTTACCGTAGTTTTAATAAAAAAGTTTACCCAGATACATCTTATGGCCACTGTACCTGGGACAGCCATCCACATATTGTATGCTTCCAGAACAGTATGTTGTTTTTTTTTCTGACAATGTCAGACGAATCGAATTGAATTATCAGATATTCGCTTAACCAGGAGAAGATCGTCGGCGAGGTAATTTGTAATGAAGAAAAAGTTGTTGAAGGTGACATAAAGGCTCATGGTCAACTTAACAATGCCATCTAAATTTTTTAAATCTATTTCTTTTGTTAATACCTGTATAAATTTTTTCCCTTTTTTTGTATAAAAAAAATAACTACTTTTTATTTAATAATAAACTTATTTGTCTAAAAAAAAAAACTTCGTCTATATGTTTCTCTAATTCATTATTTCACTTTATGCATCTGACATTGATAGGGCATAATAATCTTTATCATTTGATCCATCCCAAGTTTGCCTTTCCAACTTGAAAAATATTCAGCTAATCATCTGAATTCTTTTTAACGCTACAAGTAATGGGATTTGCAGTTGTCTAAGATAATGCAAGTAAAATAACGATGAAATTATTTGATAAGCATAATATTTATCTGGGCTTATTTCACGTATTCTGATCTGCAACAGGCATTTTATGCTGATCACGGCAAAATATACATAATTTTCTTCACTATAAATATCAAGGACAACTCAGCTTTTTCTATCATCCCCACAAACTTTTTTTTCGTCCCTAAAAGCTACATTACATTACAAACTATGCGCTCTTTCGCTATATTACTTACCCTCGTCATCGCATGTATAATCAGTACAGAGGCCCGCGTTACCTTTGATAGTCAAAATAGACAACAAGGTGTATCAGATTATCGTATAGGAAGTAACCAACCAAATTATCGTATAGGAAGTAACCATGTTGCCGAACCATCTGTAAATACGATAGACGAATGACAGTTGGATACAGAATACTATACCACTGATTTACGATATCACCGATCGAGAAGAGAATCTTCTCAGATCAAATCAAGAACTATAAGAAAGAGAAACTTGAGGTCCTGCTTAAAAATTCTAAATAAATGAAATAAAAAATTCCATGTTGGCTTATTTATTATAAAGTGGGCCATTTTTTGGTGCACTACTGTGTTGATAGTAATGGGTAGGTGTATCTTGTTATACAGGGAATGCTAGTACCTCATACAGATTGTCTCACTAAACGGCATTGAAATAATTATACCAACCCGATGATTAAAATCCATGTATGCATACTCACAAAAACTATATATATGTATACCCGTTAAAGATCACCTTGACGATGTATCATGAGCTATGATCACCGCATCATCCTTATCGTAGTTTTGATAAAAAGTTTACCCAAATATAGCTTGTAGTACTGTACTTGGAACAACCATCCACATGCAGCATGCTTCCAGAACAGTATGTTGTAGTTTTTTTTTTTCTGACAATGTCTGACGAATCGAATTAAATTATCAGATATTCGCTTAACCTGGAGAAGATCGTCAGTAAAGTATTTTGTAACGAAGCAATAAGGTTCCTGAAGGTGACATAAAGGCTCATGGTCAATTTAACAAAGCCATCTAAATTTAATCTTTTTTTTTTTGTTAATAACTTTATAAAAAAAAAGAACTACTTTTTATTTAATAAACTTACATGTCTAAAAAACCACTTTCTTTTTAATTATTTCGTATCCTATGACACTTGTTTCCTAACTATTTCGTTGTTTCGTTTTGTGTATCTGGTATTGATAGGTTCAATGACTTTATCATTTTGTCTACTCAAGTTTGTTTTTCCAAACTTTAAAAATGTAGTTCAACACATATTCTTTTAAATGCTTACAAATGATGGAATAGGCAACGGTCTGGTATAATGCAAGCTAAAGACGATGAAACCATTTGATAAACATAATATTTATTTAGGCTTAGTTATTATAGTTGTATTGATCAGCAGCATAATGCTATGCAAATCATAGTTGGATATGATAAAGAAAAATTTTTTATTATAAATAGGATGGACAAATCAGCTTTTTGTATCGTCCCCACAAACTTTGTTCATCCCAAAAGCCACATTACTTACTAACTATGCGCGCTTTCGTTTTATTGATTACCCTTGCAATTGCATCTTTATTAGGTACAGAGGCCCGCGCTGCTTTTGACGGTCAAAAGAGACAGCAGGGTTTAGCTGCACCAACTAGACGACCTAATGATTCTGAACCAACTGGAGTACCTGTAGAATTAGAACTACCTGCGCATCCCTGAGGTATTTAGCTGAATAACCTGGACTGTCAAGAAGCTGTAAAATCGGCTGTAATACTCGCTTAAAAGAAGAAGAAAATTGATTGTGAGTTTTTTACCGTCAGTTGTCTGATTGTGTGCTTTTAGGGGCATTCAACCATTTACGTCCTGCTTAAAATTCAAAATAAATAAAATGAAATAAATATCAAATTGGCTTATAAAGGGGGGGGGGCATTTTTCAGTGCACTGCTGTGTCGGTTGAAATGGATAGGTATATCTTGTTATACAGGAAATGATAGTACCTTACACAGGTTATACCATCAAATGTTGATATAACTATATCAACCGGATGATTGAAATCCAAAGTATGCGTACTTACAAAAAAATTACCCGCAAAAGATCGCCTTGACATTGTATCATGGGCTACGACCACCACATTATCCTCACCGTATTTTTTTTAAAAAAAGCTTACCCAAATACATCTTATTATATATTTAGCCACTGCTTCCCGAATAGTCAGTTTATAGTTTTTTTTTTCTCCGGTCAATGCTAAAAGCCCTTTTTGTGTGAGCGTTTTGTTTTAAAGATCCGGTCGAAAAAAAAATATTTTTTTTTTTTTGACTTTTTCTTCTTACCACATACCTGTCATAAAAAAATGAAATCCAAACTACCCGTCAAACGTCCAGTCAGACCAAAGAACAACACCGCCAGACGATGTCGATTTCCAAAAACAAGCTTAAAAGCTGCCAACTTGATCCCTATTGCCCAAAGAGTTGCCATCATTAGCGACGCCATTGCCGACGACGTCGAACTCCTCTTAATTCATTTCAGAAGTGTAATTCCTTCCCACATTGTATCCGATCTCACAGCTCACCCTATTTTTCTCTCTCCAATAGAAACCAAAACACGAATTCCACGACTTTGACGATGTCTGGAACGAGCTGCATTTTGGTCTCATTCACTTTACTTGTGTCAAGAGAGAATTTCGGGCGACGTTTATGAATGCGTTTTATGCATGTGTATTAGGTACAATCTACTCAAGATCGCTTGTATAAAAATACTCACACCTTCATTAGACTATCTACAAAGCAACTCTCCCATTATAAAAGCAGGTGCCATCTTTGCCCTGTATTTTCTCTTTGCCTCTCAACCTACTGTCTGGGGTAAAAACAGAATTCGAGTATCCAGTGGTAAATCTTTTTTTTAAAAAAAAAAGGTAAAAAAAAAAAAGAAGAAAACTGATCCTTATATGTATAAAAAAAAAAAAGAAACATGGGCATGCTTGTTTGATTTTTATGTGGAATCGATCAAGAGTGGAACACATGTAGAAGCTGGATTGATCTTTGATAAACTTCGAAAGATGGGAGCCTTTGTGTTTGTCCAGGAGGAAGAAATCGATAGCTATCCCGTGCAGGCCAAGATCGAGTTTGAAAGGCCCATCAAGTAAGTAAACTATTCATCTTTGTGCATCCAGTAGACTAACCCCCTTTTTTTCTAGGATGCTCCAACAATTAAACGACATTCGACTCAATATGATCAAGGAAGAGCCTGTAAGTCCACTAAAGAGAGCAACGGGGATAGAATAAAGTGATTGAGAAAGCGGTAATTTTTTTATAGATTGATTTATGCATGCAATTTAATTCGGAATACGATGAATTAGCAAAGCAATACGGAGAGGCCAAACAAGAAACCTATTACACATCACAAGCAACGTTGGCTACCCAGCGAAATATGAAGGAGACTTTAAACGTTACAGAAAAACGGCCGAGATTGCTCCAAAATGTATTGCTTACCAGCACGCTGGGGAAAGATGAAACAGACACCATGAAACGTCTACGGGTCACTTACGAGCAGATGTGGAATTCAAAAAGAAAGAAACTTCAGCAACGACAACCAGAGATCTAATGTTTTTTTTCTTTTTCTTTTTTTTCTTCTTTTGGCTCATGAAAAGATACTCATGACATCACTTTTTCGTATTTTTGAAACACAATTGGCCAAAATTTCCTATTCGCGACAGCACAAAAGGGGTGGGAGTATTTAAAGATTTCATAAATTTTATATTTCCTCCCATTTTTTTTTCTCTTTACTCTTTTTTTTTTTTTTTTTTTTCTTTTAACATGAAGTTCACCATCTTGACAACCGCCTTAGTGATGGCTGGCTATGCCACTGCCGTTCCTATGGTCAACCCTAATTCTTTCTCCGATGGTGGGTACGTTGCACCTTTGTATGCTCCTATGGAAGCTGAGGCAGTTCGAGGCTCTTACATTGTTGTCCTCAAGAACAACCTCTCGGTCCAACAAGTGGAGAACCATGCCGAATGGATCAGCTCCATGTCCGCTGCCTACTCATTTAACAATGGTGGGGATTACTTGGACGGCACCAACGAACAAGGCATCAACCATGTTTATGAAATGCCAAGCTTTAAGGGTTACTCGGGTAAATTCGACAAGAAGTTGTTGGACGCCATTCGTCAATCGGATGAAGTTGCCTATGTCGAAGAAGACTCCGTTGTCTATGCCAGTGAGTTACAACGTGGTGCTCCTTGGGGTCTCGCTCGTATCTCTACTCGTAACAGACTCTCACTTCGTAACTTTAATAAATACAACTATGATGCTAATTCGGCCGGTGAGGGTGTCAAGGTCTATGTGATTGATACTGGTATCAATATCGATCATGTTGACTTGGAAGGTCGTGCTATCTGGGGTAAAACTATCCCCAAGAATGACGAGGATGTGGATGGAAACGGTCACGGCTCTCATTGTTCAGGTACCATTGGCGGAAAGAAATACGGTGTTGCCAAGAAGTCCATCCCTGTTGCCGTCAAGGTCTTAGCCTCCAATGGCTCTGGCTCTATGAGTGACGTTGTAAAGGGTGTCGATTGGGCCACCAGTGATTTCCTCAAAGATAAGAAGGCTGCACTTCAATCTGGTAAAAAGTTTAAGGGATCCGCAGCAAACATGAGTTTGGGTGGTGGAAAATCACCTTCATTGGATGCTACCGTGAACGGTGCAGTGGATGCTGGTCTTGTCTTTGCCGTGGCTGCTGGTAACGATAACAAGGATGCTTGTGGTTATTCTCCTGCCAGAGCTGAAAAGGCCATCACGGTGGGCGCCTCTACCATCTTTGATGAAAGAGCTTATTTCTCCAACTTTGGTAAGTGTGTCGATGTCTTTGCTCCTGGTTTGAACATTGAGTCCATCTGGAATACCAACAAGCGTGCTACAAACACTATCTCCGGTACATCCATGGCCTCTCCTCATGTTGCTGGTTTAGCTGCCTATCTCTTGGCTTTATCTGAACCTGGTACCACTCCCAAGGAAATCAAGAAGCAACTTCTTGAATTGAGTACACCTAATGTATTCAAGGACCTTCCCAAGGATACCCCCAATCTCTTAATCTACAACGGTTTCGAGTAAATCTTTCAACTTTTATACAAATGCTTATACTATCGGAAATATTATTTTTTTTCTTTTACATAAATTCTCTCTCTCTCTCTATTTTTTTTTTCATTTCTTAGTGTGGGAGATTATGTACAGCGTGAAAATGTGATCGGTCCCATTCCCGTTTTAAGATGCATTGATTTATGGTCGATAAATTAAGCGCCCTTTCAATGATCTCACACATGATCTTTTATTAGTTCCAAAAAAAAATCATGAGGATGGCCCGTTTGATCATTCGTGGCGTGTGGTAAACCATACAGTCCTCTAGTATTGTATTTATTCCAGAATAGGAAAAATGTTTGTTTACCTTCTGTGTTTGATTATTAACCGCAGCTCTTTCTTTGTGTCACATCTCAAGTGCCTCAACTGAGAATCATGAAAATCAAACAAAAGTCATTCATAACACTTTGCAAAAACAAAACATAGTAAATCAATGCTTGTAAAATGGCATTTGTTTACCCTTACATCGGATCACTGGTGACAATTGCCCCCACTCAAAAGAAAAAGATGGGAACCTCTAATTAGCGTCCGGGTCTTATCTCGATACCACATAAAACAGGTTTTTCTTAATAGCAATCATGGACGATCCATGAATTTGATTAGACAATCTTAATATCTTGTAACAAAAAATGATGTCATACAAGTGTAGTTGGTGACTGCATAAAGTCTCTTCCAAAACGTCTCAGGGGGAAACCGTCATGCTCCCAAAAAAAAAAAAAAAAAGAGCATACGAATTATGCATACCTGTTGTTATTATAACAGGCCAACTCTTATCTGCGCTTCCCTCATTCTACTTCTTGTCAACTAGAATCTTCATTGGATGAAACTGGAGGTTTACTTGCCCCACTTTATTCAAAAAGTTGCTCATAAAAAAAAGGGAGGGAGGGGGGGAGAGCTAGCCCGAATGTGGATAGTGACGCCAGTTCAACTCATGCTTCCCGGCATAAATCATGAAAAACTTCTGAATATGTACACTTTCCAGTAAAAATAGAAACTTTTATCTAACCAATGGCGGGAGGCATATGCAATCAAAAAAGAAAAACACCCCGCCTCACTAATCAGCCAAGCTGATTTTTTTTGTCTTGTTAATTGTTAATCGTGTAAAACTACTTATATCAAAACGGCCCGTCTGCATGTAGCGTAGTACAATTAATTGTAATAGCACCTTTTACTCTTTTAAAAGTAGAGCTGTCTTTACCTTTACGTTGTTACTCCTGTTAGTAAAAGCTTTTATTGCTTTGAAGTCGAGAAAGACATTGTACCGTGTAGGTAAAATGAAGCTAAAACAAATATATACATTAAATTAGAATGAAGTTACTATCCGGTTAATTTATTTGTGATCGAAATATTTGGATTTTATTGCCATCAATTATAATCGTTTCTATTCGCTGTGTGTTCATCAGTTGTCTACAATCAAATATAATAAATACTTTGGGTCTTCATGTATTTCAATTTACTACTCTTGATATTCTGCTAAATCATGCTGTTTTATATAAAAAGAGTAAAGTTGCGTTGTCGTAAGATTCTGTAAGGTAGCTTGCTAATTGTTTTGTGGCCCAACCTATTTTCTTTAGCTGTATCAAAGCATACTGGCTCGGATCACCGAACCAATCAAGTGGGCCAATGGTTAGACGATGCTGTGTCGCTCCCTCCCATTTCTTTCATGCCCTTTCCTTTCATCACCTTTCTTTCAATCCATGCCACCCAGTGCGACAGGGAGATTGAATTTTATTCAGACAAACTTATTCAACATAAAATAAAATAAAAAGGGTCCCTCCCCCCCCCCCTTTTTTTTGCGCTGACACACACTGTTGACATGTTGAAACACGGTATTCGTAAAGTCCACACTCAGGCCTCCAAAACCGTCTTGTACGGCTGGGGACAAACGCTAGCATTACCCTTGTCAAAAGGAAGTACCGATCGTATCTTTGATCGTCCTCGATCATTAAAAGAGGAACAAGATTATGCTTTACCTGTAAGTTTCTGTTTTTTTTTTTGGTTTGTCATTAATGAGGGTTTCAAACTAAATTGGCAATAGAAACATGCAGACATCACTCGTGTGGCAACAGGTTGGGCACACTCATTGTTGGCCTTTGACAATCAAGTGTATGCATTCGGACTGGATCAAAGTGGGCAATTAGGTGGATCCCATGCAACTTTTCCCGACGAGGTGAAATTACTTGCCTGTGGAAGAGAACATTCTCACGTCGTCACAGAGAACAAAGGTATAAAGGAGAGAGAGAGAGTGACAACACAGCACATTTATTTATCTTCTTTATATAGAGGGTACACAATTATACTCTTTTGGTAATAACATGTATGGTCAGCTCGGTTTGGGTAAATCCAAGCGATCGGATCCGGGTACACTGGTATGCGAGCGCACACCACAACCTGTGCATTTCAACCATCACATCACCGATATCGTCTGCGGTCTCGATCACACCGTTATCGCAACCCAGCAGGAGGAGGTCTACGCCATGGGCTGGGCCGCAGACGGTCAATTGGGTCAGGGTTTCGAAGACAAAAACCGTCCTTCCAAACTGCCATTCCCTTATCACGTAGACAAATTATCCAGCTCCACTGATTTCACCTTGGCTTCGACACCAGGCGGATTATGGACCTGGGGTAATTCAGAGTACGGACAAGGACTTCAGGGTCGAATCATTGACAGAGTAAGTACACGATACAACCTATAAAAAGACAAGAGAAACTCAACACCTATATAAAAAAAAAGATACTGGAGCCTCTTAAGATACAAATGGATGTGTCTGACTTTGCAGCAGGAGGACCATTTTCTGTGATCTTGGCCAGTGATGGACAAGTGTACACCTGTGGTTATGGAGCGTTGGGGTTAGATAAGGTGATTCAAACTCTAGAACCAACCCTTGTTCAGGGATTGTCCAACAAGGAGATCATCAAGGTATTTGCCTCTACAGATTATGCAGCCGCGCTCTCAAGTAAGATACCATTTTTTTTTATTTGATTGTTGGATGGATGGATGGATGGTTGTACTAATGATATCATCTAAACAGAGAACGGAGACCTGTATACGTGGGGCTTAAATGGATCAGGTCGATTAGGGTTGGGACCTACAGACGCCATTGTACCAAAACGTGTTGATATCGATAAACAAGTGATCGACGTATCCTTAGGAACCAATCACGCTATTGCAACATGTGCTGAATAAAATTGTGGGTGGGGCTCCTATAAATGTTTTTTTTTTGGGGGGGAAGAGGAGGAGAGATAAATGAGGGAGCCAAGCCTAAATTGTAACGATACTTCTTAGAGAGACGAAAGCTTGTCAATGTCAAGTAATACTAGAGTGCAGAAAAATGTAGTGCAAAATGTTCTATAAAAACCGGGGATGGAAAATGCTCCGAATGTGTCAAAAATTTCCTTTCTGTACATGTGAGAGGGGGAGGAACATTTTTATTTATTGTTTTCTCTTTCTTATTTATTCCACCATGAAGAATGAAAAAAAGTCGTTTCAATGCAAAGGATATGGTCATTGTCGCATGAGGTTTAGTCGAAGTGAACACCTGGCAAGACATGAAAGGTAATAATTAAAAAAAAAAAAAAAAAAGGTCATTTATCCTTTCTAAACCCCCCGATTAGAAAACATACTGGCGAGGTGAGAAAGAAACTAAAAAAAAAAAAAAAGCAATATAAATATTTACTCTCTATCTCTCTCTCTCTTTTTGTAAAATTAGAAAGCTTGCATTGTGCCCCGTTGTAGTCGCAAATTTGGTCGGTTCGATAATATGATGCAGCAGACACAAACACATGAGATGACGGTCAGCAGAAGCAAGGCAAGCAAAAGTATGTCTGTACTCATGGATGAGCTCTTTTTACTATCAGATTCCAGTGTGCTTACATCCGATGAAGAAGAAGATGAAGAAGAGGAGGAGGAAGAGATGATGATATTGCCTCATTTAGCCAATTATTTGGTGGACCATCCCGATGAGCCACCGGAGAACTGCTTCTTTAAAAATTATCACCGTTTATCAGAAGGGGACTTATTATACCCAATTGAATATCTGTCCAATAGCAATCCCCCAAATCGAACAAAAGACGACGATATTTACATCACCCTGGACGAATTGGAGGCAATACAAGGATTAGCTTGCTTTTATACATGTCAGAAATAGGAGGGAAAAATAAAATAAAAGAGGGAGGTTTTCTCCTTTGTTGGAATATATATGTTTTTTCGGTCTGTGCATGTATATTCTTTATTATTTATTATTTATTGTCATGGCTACACAAAAGGACGACATTGCAGCTTGATGGGCGTATAATTCCCCCCCTTTTTTATTATTTTTTTTTTTTTTATTATTTTATTTGTATAAATTCAATTCTTTTTGTTCCCTCTCTTTTTTCTTCTTTTTTATACTTTATTAAAAAAATGACCAATAACCACCACAGCAGACGCACCAAGCATGAGACGGGTATAACAAACACACACACACACACACACACATTGTATATTCTTGTTAGACTCACCATCCTATAAAATAATAGCTCCTTTTCAAATCCAGTCAACGACGTCGCAATCATGCAGATACGATTCATCACTTGGCTTATTGACCAAGAAATTCATTGCATTACTTCGCTCCAGTGCCCATGGTGATTTAGACCTAAACAGAGCTGCCACGCAACTTAAAGTACAAAAGAGACGTATATACGATATCACCAATGTACTTGAAGGCATACGTCTAATTGAGAAAAACTCCAAGAACCATGTGCGCTGGATGTAAGTTTGCCTTTTTACTATATTTTTCATATATGGGGTAAAAAAAAAAACTAAAAAGTAAAAAAAAAGCGGGAATGCTGCATCTACAAGTAACAATACATCAACAAATGATCTTGAACAACGGCTTGCATATCTAAAGAAACATAACCAGACATTAGAGAAAGAGAAAGAACAGCTCAATCAATTCAAACAGCAAGTGGATGATGAGATCGAAAGAGTGCTAAAGAATCACTCTTCCTATTGCTACTTGACACTAGATGATATTGCCCAATTTGAAGTGGTCATGGCAGCTCAGCAGGAGTCCCTCGTGGTCGTAAATGCGCCTTATGATACTGAAATCGAGGTGCATAATAACACGAGTCACGATTCTTCTTCTTCTTCTTCAATATACCCCTACCCTTCCATGACTAAAAAGACTAGCAAATCTGAAAAGGTATAATTGCTTTTTTTTTTTTTTTTTTTTTTTTTTTGCTTGTAAGACCCTAACCTCCCTTTTTTTTTTCCTTTTAGACCAAATGCTATATAAGGGTACCTGATAATTCAAATCAACCATTACGTATTGTTTCTTTACGCCAAAAAAAAAGAGATTAGGATTCCTTCTTTTTTTCCTGGTGAAAATAAGCCCCCCCCCCCTTTTTTTTTATTTCTCTCCTTTTTTTATACATAAAAAGTTGATTTCCTTAATTACACTCACGGTACCCAATTTGCGCGTTTTAAATATTATTGGCTAATTTACGCTTTTCTCGCGTCATCCTGAATTTCAATTTACTTCAATGCGTATATTTTCTTTAAAAAACTTTTAACATGTATTCAATCATTGGGAAAATTATGTTCGGAAGAAGAAGTTAATCCTCATAAAACAAATCTGTAAGTAACTTTACTCAGTATTCTGAAAAGTAGCCTACAGATCTCGACATGAACTTCTTGAAAGAATGGCGCAGCTAGAATAAAAAATATTAATTCAGGCAACTTTTAAAATCTGCAGCATCAGCCATAAAAGCAGCGATTAATGTTAGCACTGGGCCAAGAAACTGAAAAATAATCCTAATTTCGATATTTTCGAAAAACAAATGAACAAGATAGTTAGGAAGAAAAGTCAGCACTCATTAATTGAGTTTTTTTTATGACAGCCCGCATGCCCGAGTATCTGATGGCAAAGTCAAGAACTCTGACGATGAAAACGAAATATGAAGAACTATATAATGTAAGATCTTTATCAAATAAAAAAAAAATACGAGTGTCCCATCAACAACAACATACACACCTACCACCGCAGCTGACAGGAACAACAACAAGTTTGAAGAAGCCATGATATTTACGCTGAATTTAAACAAAAGAAAGTGAAAAATGGATTAGGGCTGTTTTTTTTGAAAGAAGGAAGGGATTTAAATATATAAAGACTTTCCACGGCTTACCTTTCTCTTTTGCGACTGAAATTCGGCAGGGTTTTGTTAAGAGTTGCATATATTGGGTTTATGCCGTCTTATTTATTCCATTTTTATATGCCGATTTTTAAAAAAAAACGTATCACTTTTAATACTAACGCTCATAAATAATAATTAGATTTCATTTAAACCTCACCGATTCGTATAAAAAAAGTAGATAACTAAACAAAATCTATGCTCGCCGTGATTACAATTGCACATTATACTTTTTAAGAGACGGGAGAGTGTCTCACTTTTTTCATATGTACAGCGCCTCCTTTTTTTTTCTTTTCCCGCTTCAAAATTTGTTTGTAAAACCTTAATCATTTGTCTTTTATTGGCTCACATTGGGTTGTTTGTTACGTCAAATCTCGTCCGTCCCCTCGTCCGCTCTTTACTCATCAAATCATCTGGAGGCACACACTTTTCTTTGTTGTATGCTGCTGTGAACTTTTCTTTTGGGTCTTATGGTTCTCCTTTTGGGAAGCAGTCTTACTGATTGGTTTTTTATTGTAGTTCAGATATTTAAAGTGATAAAATTATTTTTGAGGCGGGTCTAGGGTTTCCCCGTAAGGTAACTTTGACAGCCTTCAGGTAATTTTGATTGCCCTCGAGGTAATTTTGATGGTCCTCGAGGTAATTTTGATGGTCCTCAAGGCAATTTTAATTGTTCTCAGGTCGTTTTGATTGCCCTCCAAGTAATTTTGATTGTCTTCTAGGTAATTTTGATTGCCCTCAAGTAGTGTTCGGAATGAAGACCTAACCTTTCGAGCGAGTTTAGGTCGTGTGCCAGCTGAAGCTCATTTGAAAGCTTTTTTTCTAAAGATTGTATGTTGAATCACACATAGAGACTATCCATGTAATAAACTCAATTTCTCGACGTTACTGATTAATGATCCAAAAGTTCCAAGATTTTTTAATTAAATCATAAAAGGGCTGGCATTCTTTGTACATTTTTTTTTCGTATAAAGGCCTTCTTTGTACAAATCTCTCTCTCTGTAGAAATCTACAAGCTGATGACGCACCCTTAAATTTCAGCTGGTGTCAGTAACACTCTGCTTTCATACCATCATGTCTTGCAATGCTAAATGACGCCTTTCTAATTTGCTTGTGTGACTTTCTTTTTTTTTCTATTTTTCTCGCATGGTTCATCCCACCAAACAAAATCTTTTTTTTTTTCTTACCCTTTTTACTTTTTTTTCCAAATGACTACACCAAGTGCTCGATTCGGCGAATTACCCAGTCTGGAATTACCAGCCTGCCTCGACTTTCTCAAGCTCAAGTCTTTCCCTCTTAAAGTATTCCCTGCCGTCAACGAACCAGAAAGACCCGTCGACGACACCTTGTTTATTTATGGCCCTGGTTACCGAAACAGCGAAGCCAGTTTTGACGTCGACTGTCTGATTATTCAGGTAAAAAGAAAAACAAATAGAGACGCAATGATCTAAAAAAAACTAAATGGGCTTTTTGAAAAGATGTATCTCGCCTTTTGTGGTATCGAACATAAAGTTTACAACATCAATGCACCAGAGGCTTCACCTTCTGGTAAATAGACCATAAAATCATCTTAACTTGTATATTCATGTTTTGCATAAAATCCATAGGCCAGCTTCCATTTTTGGCAACCGTATCAGGGGCCATTTACGATAGTCCTCAAACCATCAATTGGGTGAAAGAAACAAGAGTAAAAACCAAAGTAAAATCGATACACTGGTAAAAATACTGAATTTTATACTTTATAGAAATTGGAAAAAGAATCTGACAACGAACAAGCAAAGGCATTCATTGCGCTCGTACAAAACAAATTGAAATCTGCATTGGTAAAACCCCACACACCAAAAAAAAAAAAATTCATGCAAAAAAAAAAATTAATTTATCCATCCCCCGCAGTTATTCTCCATGTGGATGGAGCCTTTGAATGCAACAGAAATTACACACAAGGCTTACTTTGGACACGTGGCATCACCGGTGAATAAAGTGTTGGCTTTCCAAAAGCAAAACCAGGTGGTGCAGTCCTTATTGACCGATAGAGACATTCTTGTCCGCGAAGAAGTAAGTTCCCCTTACTTATTTACTTTATTTGCTAAACATACACTCCCCTAGATCTATCAAGATGCTGCTCAAACCTTGGAAGCGCTCTCTGTCAAACTGGGCGACCAGCCCTACTTTTTTAATGCCAGGTACCATATTGTACATCTTATACGTACCACATAGACTCACATATTTTTTATCATCAGCGAACCTACTTTTGTAGATGCCGTCATCTTTTCTCATCTTCACTGTATCTTGAGCATGCCCAAGATCGTGGATGGTCAATTCACAGAGGAAGAAAAGCGTCAAGCATCCACATTGAGCAAATTAGTGCGCAAGCATGACAACTTGGTCAGATACGCAAAGACTATTTTTGATGGATATATTCGACAAACCAAATAAAACCTTTTATTTTTTTTCTTTTTTCGCTTTCTTGTTGGCTCCCCCTTGCTGTTTGGAGTCGCCTGTGTCTTTACGCTTCAGTTGAATGACGTCCTCTGTGATGCCAATCACGGCATTATAAGTTCTTTTTCTAGTCTCGGCCTTCTTTAAAAGTCGAGGATAGTTGACAGAAACCGATTGTTCGATCTGATCATGTGTCATGCCAAACATGGTTCCTCTACACAAAGTATTAATCTTTCCACTCTATTCCCTTTTTGTTGCATTTTCTTACAGTATTCTGATATCCGCAGGTCGTCGAATGTCTAATGCTCGAATCGCTTCACTGGAGAAAACCAAGTTGTGACCTCGTGTCACCTCCACAAGTCTTTTTACCGCATTAAAAAAAGCGAATTTCCTTGCTGGATCTACACTCTTTTTTTTAAAAAAACATGTCGCAAAAAAAGATTTCTTTTTTTTTTTACCTCTGAAAGATTGACTGTAACAAATCTCAAAAAAGATGCCACGACTGACAGCCACTTGAGCCGCCACAAACCCAGGGGAAACTTTGGACGTTGCCAAATCCAGCGAAATCATGTCCACTTCTAACGTTTGACAGGCATGTTTGCAAACATCAATGGTCGTGGGACGCACCGCTAAAATATCGATATTTGGATACGCTGAACTGACCGCCTTTCAACATGTAGTTTTAGTCCCTGTTGTATGCTCGTCTTATTTCACTTACGAGCTGGTAGTTCTTTTTGGGATCCTCAATAATAATCGTAGCTCTTGTTAATTGCTGCATGTTTTTATACTTTTTACCCGCAACAGGTGCAATCGTCTACATTTCTCTTTTTTAAATATACAACGTTCCATTAACCGCCCTTTTTTTATTTTTTACCTTGACATCGGCTAACTTCTCTCGAACGGTCTTGTTCAATGCAACAATACTATGACTATCAACTTTGTCGCGACATTAATACACTGTCAAACACTCTATTCTTTATTTATTTATTTTTACATGAATCGATTCTACCCAAGATCTTTTCTATACGTTGAAGATCCGCTGCATCGTTGGCATTGGGGTATGGAATATTGAAATCGTAAATCATTTTTTTCTTTGAAAAACAAAAGCGGAAGCTTTTCATTTTTTTTTTTTTTTTTTTATGGATGTGTGTGACTGAGCACCAAGGAATTTTAACAGTCTTCCAAAAATATCTTAAAGACGCTTCTGTTATACCCTATGGATCATCGTCATCCCTAGACTTTTTAAAAGGCTATACGGGATGATTATTGTCTCGGCTGCCTCAGTTGTTCGATATCAACCTAAATCATGTGTAGATCACAATTTCATGAGAGTAAATCTCAAGTTCAGGGCATATTCACAATGTTAGTGATTTAAGCAAACGGAAAATGATTTTTATGGATTAGATGATTACAAAACTGTCCTGGGAGAGTCCTGTCTTAATTTAAAAAAGACGTATGCTTGAGTATTTCAAACATTCTGGTTGGGTTTGCTGGAGTTTTCTACGTCACCAATGGAGAGTCATTTGCGTTTAAATCGAAAAATAAAACCGGCGCGAGAAGGGAGTAAAAAATAAGACATACCTCAGATAAAAGTTCTGAAATACAAAACATCTATGATGGTATCTGATAATAAAAAACATGCAGAAATCCCGTTTTAATATGTTCAATATATAAAAACGGTGTTAAGGGATTGCAAAAAGGTTGACTAGTGATTAGTTTTCATCTATTTATCAAGAAGAAAGTAGAATGGTTCATTTAAGCGTCAAAGCAAACTCTCGCGAGAAGACACTTTTATCAAAACATCTAATAATGAAAAGAGTTCCGAATATATGGATCTATGCTTTTATGTCATCAAAAATGGTCAATACTTTAAGCAAACATTGCATTTGGCCACAATATCTTTTATTTTTACAGCTAAACACCGAATTACTGATAACAACGTTCCTCCAAGGTAAAATCTTCAGATTCGAGACTTTGACTATGCTATATTATAATAAAAAAGATGCGCCCAATATGGTTTCTTGTTCCTGTTTTAAAATTCTCAGCAGATGCTATACTCAGTATTGACCTTCTACTCTGTTTTGCTCCTTTTCATCGCTTAACACGCTGTTTTGAATTGAATTTTTCATATAGTAAATCGTCGTCCCCGTACGTCCTTTCAAGCCAAAAAGTTGCTCAGAATTATCTAAAATATCATGTTGGATCATTAGTTTTTGATTTCAAATTTTTTTTCAAAAGACCTGAAATTGGCCAAAACACAAAGAGTATACCTCGAGGAAAATCCCAAAATTTACAAATACACCTTTTAAATACCCTTCCTGTAAAATTTATGGAAAGTGTTATTAGACAACTATAGCCCAAATTTAATGCTTTTTACACTGGTGCTGTTTTTAGAGCAGTTTTATTATTAAAAAAACTATACTCAGGGCATAATTAAAAAAACTGTTTTTGTTAGACAAAGTATTTTTTCTACATAGTGAATTATTTTGAAAAGTATACCAAAAGATTCTCCTAAATTTTCTGTACATTTCCTGTATACAATTACCTTAATAAAAGTTTGATATCCAGCGTCTTTACTTTGACACGAAGATTTTAAAATCTCATTTTTGATCAAATCGTTTCTGGAAAAGCAATTTGATTTTAGGCGTCACAGACGTCGGAGAACAAAAATAATTAAAAGGTCTTGGAGCTAGTGTTTGCGCGCGTAAAACATGTTTTTCCTTTCAACAACACAGTGGATCGTCAAAACAGCCTCAAGCTTACGACGGAGCTTGTATAATATATGCTGTGTCCTCAGCTCAATGCACTAGGAGACTATCAATCAGTAAAAAGTGTGACGCAAACTTTTTTTTTCCCCTTTGAAACTTTTTTTTCATTCACAATACATAAGGATGCGTCTTTTCCAACCAGACTCAATCCTTTAACCCGACAGATGTCGATCAAGTAAAACTGCCTCAATTTAATGTACGCCCACTTCATTCCGCTAAAAAGTTAATGAAACTACATCTTAAACAGAATGGAAGCGACCAATGAGAACAACTGTTTATTTATAACGAGATAACAATCTGTCTATGTGAATATTGGCGTTAGTGCCGAAAGGTGGAGCTGCTTAGGCTCTTGGTGACACCAGACATGATGTTGTGGTAGGAGAATTCAATTATATTGATTTCTCTGACGTTCCTCCAACTGATAAATTGCTTTGCTCAGTAAGTTCCAATCCTTATTTTAAGTGCTGGTCAGCACTCCTGGAAAAAAAAAATATCAATGAACTGATGCTCGCGGATGATGTAGCTGATGGCAGCAGTACCATCAGTGTGACGAAATCACGGCGAGCAAGCTTGCGCCGAACCCCCCAACCCAGTGGTTAGTAGGCTGTACAGGATAAATACATTTTTATGCATCTTCAAACTCGTATCAAAGTTTGTCAAGCTACTGGCTTGAAGAATGATGTTTTTTTCAAGTTGAGAAAGTCGACTGGACGCAATTGATTTAAACTAGGCTGACCAGTGACTCTTAAACTTTGTGAATAGCTCCTTAAAACGAGCAGAAAAGACAGTGATTATCGGCAGCTAATCGTTCTTTGTGCGCACACCATATTTAGCTGAACCCGCACTACAATTAACCGATCATGTTGAACACCTAGTCCAACATGGAACTTTGGTGTCCGTAGAAGCTAATACCAGCAAGTTCTTGTGCCAATGATAAGCTTTTGTTTTTCTACTCCACCATCCGATCTGTTGCATATAACACAGCTGATCATTTCATCGCTAGGAAGAGATGATTATGTTGGCTCCCCATGAGAGTCAATATTTGAACTCCAGGAATAAACTTCGGACCAGTGAATAAATGATGCATCAAAAGTTAATTTGACGCGTCTTCTTAAAACTCTAAAAAAAAGTGGTAAGAATGGAAGCGTGTTTTTAATAATTGTATGTGTACCTACCATAAACCCCAAGTCTAAAGCTAGGAGTGACGCTTGAGACCCGCCTTGCCCCTTAACCGCCCTCCACGGTATATAGGGGCAATATGTCCCCGCGAAAATTAGAACGCGACCTTTCTTGTATAAAAGTATGATAGACATGCTATGTTTAGGTTAGCTTTGTATGTGCCTGTCGTATATTAGCAATTGCTCAAGAGAAAAAAAAGTGTGATTGACTCACCTTTGATATTTCTATCAGAAGTACTGCTTAAATAAAAAGAAAAGAAACATGAAAAAAAAAAAGATGTTGGGCGTTTTTTGATCAGGAGAGAATGATTGATAAACAAGGACTGTTTTATCACATCAGAAATTATTATAAAAGGAATAGTTGAAGTTTTAAAAGTTACAAATAGCATTGCCTCTCTTGAAAGAGATTACCAGCGGGTTATTTAAAAAAAACCTTCCAGAACTATCATATAAGCTTCAAGCCTTTAAACTTTTATAGGATCGTCATTCCTCTTCATTACCCTTAAATAACCAAACACAAGATAGGTAGAAACTCCACCAAAGGGTTTGAAAGAAATTAACCCGTTCAAACGAGTGTTTTTCATGTACCAACAAGTGGTCGGTTGGGATCCGGCTGATCCGGGTAACTGAATTTTCTCCAAGTGACTGTCCCCCCGGACATTTTCTCTTTGCGCCCAAATTTTTCTATGCCCTTGCAAAAACGCATAATTTTTTGGCTTTCTTTTTCTTCAATGAGTCAATTATTCTTACTGAAGCATGGTTTACAACGCATGCGTTTCCATACCAGCCCCATGCTGAGAGAAGTCGCCGCCGGAGGAGGAGGAGGAGGTGCATTGGGAAAGCCCATGGGTGCCAAAAAGGGCAAAGGTCTTGCCAAAACCAACTGGGACCGAGCCAGTGCTCCCACAACCGCCAAAAGAGCAGTAGCACCCAAACGAGACTGGAAGAAACCCGTCGATCAACATGCCGAAAAGCATGCAGGCGAATCTTACAAAACTCACGAACGTCACGTCAACAAATTCGCCCCTCCCCCCACCAAAAAGACAGAGACCATTGCACAAAAGAGAGAACGTAAAAAGAAGGAAGAGGAACTTCACCTGCTGGCAAAGGAAGAGGAAAAAGAACGTCACTTGATGGCCGTCCGAAAAGCAAAGTTAAAGGCCAAAGACCTCGCCGAGAGCAATCATATGAAGGATGTTTTTATTCCCGAGATCATCAACGTCGCCAATCTTTCCCGTGTCTTGGGTGTTCGCATCGGTAATTCATCCCTCTATTCGTATATGCTTTAAATCCTAATATCTTTACACCCCGTATTAGAGCAAGTCATTCGAACCATGGACGAATTGGATATGGGAAACACCAAGCATGATCGCAGTATGTAAAAGCTCTTATTTCGCAAATTTTATTCTTTTATCAGCATCCAATTTAAACTTTTTTTTTCCCGTTAGTGTTGAATGCGGATGAATCAAGTCTTATCGCTATGCAATTGGATATGAACCCCATTGTGGATTCAAGACAATCGCTTGACCTGTTTCCTAGGTAAGCCTTTACCCATAAAAATCCTGCGCTTCCCCTTGATACCAACACAATCCATTAGATCTCCTTGCCAAGATCCCAGTCAATTACACGATAGACCTCCCATTGTCACCATCATGGGCCATGTCGATCATGGAAAAACCACCTTATTGGATACACTTCGTAAAACCTCCGTAGCTGCAGGAGAAGCCGGTGGTATTACTCAGCACATTGGTGCCTTCTCAGGTACACTTCTCAAAAAAAAAATTACTTTAACCACCTTAAAAAATTAATCCTCCCTCCTCCCAAATAGTAAAACTTCCATCCAACAAGATGATCACTTTTTTGGATACACCAGGCCATGCTGCCTTTTCTTCAATGAGACAGAGAGGCGCACAAGTCACCGACATCGTTGTTCTCGTCGTAGCAGCCGACGACGGAGTCATGCCCCAAACACAGGAAGCCATTAAACACGCGCACGCAGCCAACGTCCCTATCGTCGTCGCTATCAACAAGTGCGATAAACCCGGAGTAGACGCATCGCGTGTGAAACAAGAATTAGCACGCTACAATGTGCACCTGGAAGAAATCGGTGGCGATGTGCCCTGTGTGGAAGTATCCGGATTGACAGGTAAAAACCTGGACCAGTTGGAAGAAACCATCGTCACCTTGTCCGAGATCTTGGAATTGAAAGCCGAAAGGGGGAATCATGCAGAGGGTGTGGTGATTGAATCTCAGATTGAAAAGGGAAGAGGTAACGTCGCCACCATCTTGGTGCAAAGAGGTACCCTCAAGGCCGGATCCGTCGTTGTCGCAGGTCAGACGTGGTGTAAGGTCAGATCCATGACCGATTATCAAGGTAAACCCGTCAAGGAAGCTCCACCAGGTACACCTGTCAAGGTCATCGGTTGGAAAGATGTCCCTAGTGCTGGTGATGAAATGTTGACAGCTACAGATGAGGTAAACCACAAAAAGAAAAGGTGATAAAAGTAAGTATATTAAGCTGCTAATTTTTTTTTATCGTTCCCAGAACCTTGCCAAAACAGTCGTGGATAATCGTGTTGCACGTCACCAACGAGAGCAACAACTCCGTGATTTAGAAGTGATCAACGATAAACGCCGTCATCAGCGAGAGCAACTGGAACAGGAGCGTATGGCTGAAAAGGCCTACAAAAAGGAAATGTACATGTATCAAAAGGGTTTGTCAGAGGTCTTACCGGACTCTTTGGGTAAACGTCTCAGTGCTATCCAGACCAACCTGAAACAGGAAACAGGCGAAGACGATAAACAAGAGATGTTGGAACTGCGCGCTGTCGTCAAGGGCGATGTGAGCGGCACCGTGGAGGCCGTCGTCGACTGTCTGGCTGGACTTCAAAACAAGCAAATCCGGGTCAAGGTAGTGCATAGCAGTGTGGGTAACATCTCTGAAGGTGACGTCCAGTTAGCCTCCGCATGCGAGGGTCAAGTCATTGGCTTCAATGTCAAGGCAGACAAACGTATCATGGCCGAGGCATCGAAAATTGGCGTCCAGGTCAAATCCTATTCGATCATTTATAAATTATTAGAGGAAGTCAAGGATACATTAAGTGACATGCTGCCACCGATCGTGACAACACAGGTGGTGGGTGAAGCTGCATTATTACAAGTCTTCGACATCAATACAAAGGGTAGAGAAACTCGCCCTGTCGCAGGTTGTCGTGTCACCAATGGCTCCATCAGTAAAAACGGTCGCGTCCGAATCGTGCGCAACAAGGAAACCGTATGGGAAGGTGAAATTAGTGATCTTCGTCAAGTGAAAAAGGAAATCACGGAAGCTAAAAAGGGGTTGGAATGTGGTATGTCCTTTGAAGGCTTTACCGATTTCAAAGCAGGCGATATTATCCAAAGTGTACAAACAATTGAAACCAAGCAAAAATTATAGACTATAAACATAAAAATAAAATAAAAAAACAAAATACACATGCAAATATCATATCCATCAACTAAAAAAAAAAAAAAAGATCATATCCAGCTTTTCTTTCTTACATCCGTCTATAGTTTATCTAAGGGCTCCCTCGGCAGACATTATTAGTCATAGGCATGTCAGGACTACATGTCACCCGGAGCAAGAGGGAAGTTTTCTTTATGAGAAGCCTCAGACTTTATTTATTGACCTCGTTAACATCTACGAGGATACTGTGCTCTTGATAGGATGATTTTGTCTAATCATGCTAAAACTCCAATATACAATGCACATGATTAATCCATGTAAAGAAACATTAAAATTCAGATTTTCACACGCGAGACTTTTCAAATTAATAGATTAAGATGGTTTATCGCTAATTAACCTCTGCCTTTCGGCTGACCCAACTTAAAAGTATGATTTATTAATTCAACTGTCATCATCCGACCATACTTTGCATGGAAAGCTTGGAGTTTGTAGGGTGAAGGAAAACCCGTAATCGCAAGTATTCACTTGCTTGACCAATTTTTTCGAATGGAAGGCAACCCATTAAACTTGTTTGACGTTTAACCGAGGGAGTAGCACTTTATTAGAACATCCGAGTGATCATTAAAACAGTATCAGTGGCCATTTAACATATATTACAGTTCTTGCCATTTCGGATAATGCAAAGCTCGAAAAACAAAATTTGGTCAAGATGCCATTTTGATATTAGGAGATTGGTCTACCCCAAATGTCAAGTCTCAAGAGTCTATCCAAAACAAAAACCTGATAAGAATGCTCAAGAGATATAATTTTGTGGTATATTTGATAAATGAGTTTAGAACGTCCTCTCATTACCCAACCTGCAAAGGAATAAGTTGGGAACTTTCAAATACTCGCTTGTTGAGGTAGGCCAAAAAAATAAATTATTGATGACTACTAATAAGGAATTCTAGGTGGAAGAACATCTCGTGTATTCAGCCAGTTGAGGGTCACAGAGAAAAAAAGAAGGCCGTGGAATCATGTACCTTGCAGCCGTATTAAACTTCTTAAAAGAATCTTGAGCAGTTTAAGAAACTTTGGCAAACGCCCCGATACTTTCACTGAAACATCCAATAAGTTATCGCTTTGGCCTATTAAAATGGTAAGTAAGGGTACTGATCACATTGTTTAATCTAAGGGGGTGGTCATTACAGAATATCTAGTCAGCGCAAATAACAGTAACACAAACTGAGCCGATATTTGTAAGCGTGAGCAGTGCGCAGAAAATATGAACAGGTCAAGTTGCACATACACATTCTCTTTTAAACTTGAACCTTTAACAATACGAAATGTAACAAACACTTTTAACCGAAAATACTTTTTCATTTGCGAATACACCAGTACGTCAGGACAAAAAACTCGCCTTTCATTTGAGATTGAGCTTTATTTATGCTTATGATATAGATCCGTAATTACCTTCCACATGTGTACCTGTAATTGATGTAACATTTTTTTTTTCTGGCTGGTACCAAAAAAAAATATCTTTCTCCCAGGTTTGTCACACAATCCCAAGTAAGGAGTGAGGATTTTGACGTGCTGCCATGTATGCCGAAACTCGTATCTCTTAAAAGTCTCTATAAACACATACAAAAAAAGTGTCTGTATGTGACTCCACACTTGGTTTTTAGATGCCTGAATGCTATAATAAATGCAAGCCCCCTTTTTTGTTTATTTGATGAGTTTCAAACCTTTAGTCATGATTAATCAATTTTTTAATATTGGCCCATCCAGGCACATTTCTTTCAGTGTAAACATGTTTTCCCATGGTAAATGCGATTATACAATAAGGTTTTATTTTTATGTTTGTATTCTCGGAATTTTTTTGCAGGGGTACAAAAAAAAAAAAAAAATGACAGCCCGAGATATTAGAAAACGTCAACCCCAAAAAAAAACCCCCATTGCCATGACAAATAAAAGTTGGACCAGTTGCGCTCCGATCAAAATAAAAATTTCTCTTTCTTTATTTAATTTTTGATTTCCCCTATAAAAATAAAAAAAGAAAAAAATATCATGAACGTTGTAGGTGCAAGCGTATCTGAGGCATTTTATGCTGCTCATGAAACTCGAGATATTGTCTTGCCTAATCAAACTGAACACGTCTCACAAATTGCTGTGGATGTAAGTCAAACATTTTTTGTATATCTATCACAATAATTAACAATGAATTCAATTTATTTTAGATTGGAGGGTCTTTAGCAAAAGTCATCTATTTCACCTTATCCGCTGACAGAAAAGGAGGCCGTCTTCACTTTAAAATTTTTGAAACAGAACAAGTCGATGACTGTATTGACTTTATTGTGGAATTACTAAAAGATGCTCAACACTACGGTACACAACAGGTCTTAAAAGCAACAGGTGGTGGTGCTCATTTATATCACGACAAGTTAACTTCAAAATTACCCGGCGTAATCGTTCAGAAAGAAGATGAAATGGAATGTTTAATAACAGGTACATGCTACCATAAAAAAAAAAAAAGAGGCTCATCATCATCTAACTCATTATTTTCCCAGGCCTGAGCTTTTTTATTACAGAGATACCCTATGAAGTGTTTACTTATAATGAACTTGATGCTGACCCCATTCGTTTCGAAGAAAAGTCAAAAGACGTATACCCATATATGGTATGATTTTCATTTCTAAAAATGACCCAAAAAAAAACTGACATGTTTTTGGCTCGTAGCTTGTAAATATTGGCTCAGGCGTGAGTATTCTGAAAGTAGATGGTCCGGGCCCAAAAGATTTCACCCGTATTAGTGGTACCTCGGTAAGATCTTTTTTATTTTATTTTTAAATTGTGATGTCTAAACGCAGTAATTATTAGCTGGGCGGTGGTACTCTTTGGGGTTTGTTATCATTATTAACCGATGCACCGTCATTTGATGGTAAGTGAGATATGTCAACAACGGGAAAGAAGAAGAGTGACTCATCATATAATCTAGATATGCTGGCCATTTCCAAGACTGGTGATAATAAAAATGTGGATTTATTAGTGGGAGATATTTATGGCTCAGATTACAGTAAACTCGGACTGAAGTCATCGCGGATAGCATCGAGTTTTGGTAAAGTTTTCAAGAAAAACACACGTCAAAATAAGGATAATTTTGCCTCAGGGGATATTGCAAAGAGTCTATTGTTCATGGTCAGTAATAACATTGGTCAAATTGCTTACTTGAATGCACAACAGCATGGCATTAAGCGAATTTACTTTGGTGGTTGCTTCATTCGTGGTCATCCCATTACTATGAACTCACTATCCTATGCAATCAAGTTCTGGTCAAATGGCGATATGAAGGCCTTATTTCTTCGTCATGAAGGTCATTTGGGCGCCACTGGAGCTGTAAGTTCATCTTTTTTTCTTGTATTGTTACACTATCTAATTAGATATTCTCTTGTAGTTTTTAAAACATAAACCTGTCCGTAAAGCAAGACTTTCATTTTCCTGCTCTGAAAATTATAAACCTGACATTAGTAATAATACCGTGTTTGAAGTACTAGATAATTCGGATAATCTTGAACTGAGAACAGCCACCCAACACTTGTAACATAATATATATATATAAATAAAATTTTATTTTTTAAACATCCTCTACGTTTTCCTCTTCTTCTTCAAAGAACCAATCTACTTGTTGAATAATGGCTTCAATGATTTTACTCTGAAGGTCTGACTGCATGATACTGCTCAGATCTTCTAGTGGGGACCTTAATAATCCAACCGAGAATATTAATGCTAAATTGGATGACTCCATTTTGTTGATCTCTGAATAAGATGCCACTAAATTTAAATGTCGCATAAGATATTCTAATACCGTATAATTCGGCTTGGGTAAACTGTGGATGATGGATTTAATCTGATACATTCTCTCCTCGTAATCGTTCATTCCTAGTAACAATCAATAAATATCATCTAATTTCTTTTTAAAGGGCATTCAATACTTTACTGGCGGCTTCCATAAACCAGTCGTAATATTCATGTGTCATCAAAGGATTACGAAGTTCTCGGAAATAGAGTTTTAGTAAACCAGTCACAGTATTAATATCCTGTTCGTCCTTAAATGACACTGCTTCCTCTTTTTTTTTTTTTAATAAAAAAATAACTTGACTTAGTACATTTGATCAAACTAGATATTAACAACAACTTACTATTATTAAACGCAGCTCTGTATTTTTGTATGGTAGAAGCTGGGCCAGACAATCGATATATGCCCACCGACTTTAACCCTCTTGCTTCCACTTCCTTAATACAGAGGGTGACAATATGGGGTATGTCTCCATTTTCTTCCATTCTCAAAAGTCCGCCAAACACATCATTTTCACCAGAAGGTTGTGTTTGGCCATATACATACCGAGGTTCAATTTTTCGAATGTCACCATTTTTACCTGGTTTGGAAGAAAACCAATGTCCCTTACTCTTTTTATCATCTGTGCTCGTCATTTTTCGGTTGACTTTCATTTGGCTTTCGTCAAATGTAAGTGATTTTAAAAGTCTCAAAATTTCTTGCATAACATATGAGTGGGAGTGAAAAAGGTATCTGGTTTAAGTTTTATATAAAAAATACCTGTGTCCTCGTTTTGACCTTCCTTACGCTTCACCAGTTCTCTCATAATAGCGTCCAGCCAAGCAGAAAATTCCTTGTCGCTTGTTGTTTGTATATAAAGTTTTACTTTTTTGGGTGTCGAGATAATGAATACGTGTTTGCGTTTTGTATCTTGCTTCCCTGCTGGATCAATCTTGCAAGATTCCAGATCAAAACTACCTACCGGAACATGAGTATGTGATGGTTTCTACTAGAGTGTAAGTCTTGTAATTCGGGAGAAGGATTATATATTTATGGCTACGTACCTTGCTTTTAGCGTGGGCTTCCTTGTACAACAACAAAAAGCCATTGGATAAAACTGCATAATAGACTTTCCAGGAACTAAGTTTGCCTCCATCCTCCTTTTCCGAGATCATCTTCATCTGGACGTACCCCTTGTGTCGAATCCAATCTGGTTTCAATTGATGAAATTCCTACATATGACTTCAGTTCCCATGTGCTTGTACACTATATGTTGTGTGTCGTTTACCAGTTTCTTTAATTCGTCAGGTTGTAGACTTTGTGCATAACTTTCGAGACTTTCGTCCCGTTTAATTTCACCACGCCGCTCCTCTTCCTCCTCCTCGTCCTCTTCTCCTTCTTCTTCTTTTTCCTCCTCCAGTTCATCTGCTGGTCGTTCCCATCGAGATTCACCTGTAAACTCATTAAAATAATATATGGTGCCTTCCTCATCTAAAATACAACTTGGTCAACGACTCGGTAAACACATACTTTTGGACTTACCATAGGCATGTTCCCAGCCTTGTGGTAATGGCGAATCGTAAATGACTTTAGGAGGGGATGGAATGGGTGTTTCGACGGCCTGTGGTTGCATAGGTTGATGAGAAGTAGGCATTGTCGGTGGTTCTTCAGTCGTTAAAGGTTCCTGCACATGGGACAATAATTAATTCTTGCTTCTATTATTATTCTTATTACGATTTCAGTCGGACTCTTACACTTTGAGGACCTATGCATTGGTGACAATTAGTTGGCATGTGAGGTTGTATTGTTCAAAAAATAAAAAAACTCACCTTGCGACGTTTCTAACCGGATTCTATTTGCAGGAAAGAAACCAATTTCTTCATTTAATTCACCTGATTTAGACACTGAATGAGTAAAAAAAAAAATATTTTTTATGCAAGCTTGCTTCTTTTTATTTGGTTACCTTCCCACCTAAAAAGATAATACAAAAGGTGAATAAAAAAAATGTCATTCCCATATAAACAAAGTGGTGTCCTTTTACCAGTCGTCGTTATGTTTTTCCAGCAGTTTAATTCTATCGCCTTGTTTAAAAGAAAGCTCGAACTCTCCTTCGGCAGTATAATCCCATACAGCTACAAGGTATTGTGTCATTTATGTGGAATATATTTTAAAAAAAGAAGAAAGAGAAACAAGAATTGCGTTTAAATTTAAAATTCAAGGTGTGTGTATGAAAAAAAAAAAGCCTAAAAACCCCGCTTTCAGGACATAAAGTTTTGTTTATATTTCTCGAAATAAATAAATAAATAATTCGTATACGCATTCTCTGTTCGTATCATGTGAAATTAATATGTGAATTTGTAGGTTTTCTTAAACTTTGTGGTATGATAAACTTGTCTAGAGGGAAAGAAAATAAAACAATTAGCCGACACCTTTTTACTGCAACTTTTTTCAAGGGTACATGAAACTGGAAATTGAGACAATGCTAGATTTAATGAAGCTTAAACCTGATGATGAGCAGTGTTATTTTTTTTTTTCTTGAAAAAAAATAAAAAAAACTGGTATAACAAACCCTTTTATATAAGCGTGTGCACGATGTATGTACATATGTAAACGCAGCACTGATAACTCAAGCTGAGCTTAGTTGTGTACATTATTTGTCGTTGTGAGGTTGTCAAAAAGAAACATGACTTGGATACATGCTGGTTACACGAAACGACTGCATAGATACTATTTTATAGAGCCGCGAAAAAAAAACGTCCCTCCATTCTTCGTGTTTGCAAATAAGGTAGTGGGATCGAATGGAGCAGTTGAACTTACTGCTTTATTTACGTTGGGAATCTACCCTAGTCTGCATTGAGAATAGTGCAAGATCAAGGAAAGGCTGGTTCCGAAATAAGGGGAACACCCGTCATTACGTTTTACTTGAATGTGTATAAAACGAGCATATTTTATCTCAGCATATGTTTACACATGTAGTCATACGCCATGTTTCTATCAAATATACTTCAAACAAGTCAATGTTTATTATGTACAGGCCGACTAAAAAGGTGTCAAAAGACTAGGTTGCACCAAAAAAATGATGACATGTGTTGCACACCGAAATAACCAAGTGATACGAGGCTTTTTTTCTCTCTCTTTATTTTGACTTGCAGAGTGCCTCATCTCCATATTTAGCAACGGCAACCCATCAAATTATTGGACACGTTCTACTCTCATAAGAGACATGATTCTTTGATTTATAAAAAGCAGTAATTGTTGTCAATTTTTCTGTGTAAATTAGTTTTTTTTTTTTTTTTTTTTTTTTTTTGTTTATTATCAGGTTCTCCTTTTTATTCACACATCAACACATTACACTCTTTTTAACAGAAAAAAAAAAAGTCGAACAGCTTTTATTTTTTTTTTTTTTTTTTTACATATTTTTAATTTTTGAAAATAATTCGATTTTTGAATAATAATAAAAAAGGTCATGGTTACAACACTATGGTTCCTTCTTTTGATTTTCGTTCATTGCAATGATGGACTTGATGTACCAACCATCAAGCTTGATTCTCTTGGTGGCCAATTAGGGTTTATTGGAGACTATGTTGGAATCTCGCCATTTAAACATTGGACTCAATTCGAACAATCAAGTAATCTTAATGGCTTGGTCATTTCACAGTTAGATGACGATATTTTATTTTTTAACCGATTCGCCACACTGAACGGAACTATCTCGACCTCTTGTAAACTATCGGATACCAAATATATCCTGGCAGGTGATTTCACTACGATCAATTCAACAAATTACAACCATATTGTCGAATTTGATACGCAGGCACGTCAGTTATCGCCTTTACAACAAGGTTTAGATGGTGAAGTGAGATCACTTTACTGTGATACAAATCAAGTTTATGTCGGTGGTGATTTCATAGCTCCCATCGGTGCTAATAAAACAGACTATGCTGGTCATGTTGCCTTATGGAAGGACAACCAATGGAGTCCTTTACCTTGGAAGGGCTTCAACGGCCCTGTTTACTCAATTATCCGTCACGATCAACAGCAATCTATCGTATTTGGTGGTAATTTTGATTCAACGGGTGATGGTCAATTTTTTAACCAGAACACAAGTCAAACAGTCAACTTGATTTCGTCTGCTACTATCTCTGCTGGTAACTCAGCCATGTTTGGTAACAACACAGATCCCATGGGCGTTATATGTTCTCAGTCTCCATGGTTATTACAAGACGGTATGCCTGGTTATTGGGAAGCCCTGTTTAATTCTCCTGCAAAGCCATCTGTTTTTAGATTATCAAATGTACATATCGATGGAAAGAATACAAATGAATTCAAGTATGAAAAGAATTTTTTTTTTCTTCTTTCTTTCCCCTTATTTTTACATGACTAAATATTTATTTATAGCATTATCTCACTTGGATCAAATCAATATTTCCAATTATCATACAAAGATCCTGTTACAAACCTGCCCATCACTTGCTCGGAAAAATGTATTTTATCAAACGATTCAGCCATACCTTATCAGGATTTTACTGTAGTTCAAGAAGTAGCCACAAGTGGCATCAGAATCAACATTGACTCTTGGTACGGATCCGGTGGTGGACTCGGAAGTGTTGATATATTTAGATCAGATGTATCTTTACAGCCAGAAATCAGTAATAGCCAGTCTCCTGCTGGTGTCTCTGATTCTTGTTCCACCGCTCCTTCATCCACAGCCACAACCACAGGAAATTGGACCGAAGTCTACTCCTATCAAACCTATCAAAACTTTTTAATCGCTAGTTTTCCTGCATCTGAGTTACATTCCAGTGATGTTTCCGTGACTTATCAACCGTAAGTCTCTCTTTCCCACCCCCCTCTACCTCACAAGACGTATTTTTAAAACAGATAAATTTAGCTCATACTCTTTATATGTAGATACATCTCAGGCCAAGGTATTTACGATGTATATATTACCACACCAGGATGTGTCGGTACTAGCACTTGTGATCAACGTACACAAATTGTATTGGACATCACCTTAAATCCGGGCAATACAACAACCTATGCATTGGATCAACAAAATGCTGCCGATCAGCGTACCTTGATTTTCACTGGATCCATCTCCGCATCTTCAGGGTCATTCCAACCTTCCATTGTGATGCATGTTTCACCCACTGCTACTACACCTTCCTCAAACACCATATCTGTAGTAGCGGATTCCATTGAATTCATTCGAAATTCCACAGGTCTATTACTTTCTAGCGTTTTAAATTATTATCCTTCCAACAACACTTGGTTACCTCTTACTCAGCAATTGCCAGCAGCTTCCACTGTCACTACATTGCAATCGGTGGGGAATCAACTGTACATTGGTGGTAGTTTCCGAGCCAATGATTCCTACACAAATATTGTAGCTTATGACTTTGAAATGGGTTATTTACCCTTCAATAACATTGGCTTAAATGGCATGGTGTCCACTTCTTTGCTTATAGGCTCTCAACTTGTTTTGGGTGGCCTCTTTAACAATACTGAAGTTCCTCAACAAACGCTTAAAAACGTGGCAATCTACGATACTCAAACCAACACTTGGTCTGGTATGAATGAAGGTGTTGACGCCAGAGTAGAAAACCTGTATACGACAGATAATACCAATGTGCATTTATCCGGTCCTTTCACCACAGCAGATGGTTTACCGACTTTCAATAACGCCCAATGGAGCTTAAAGAATCGTCAATGGGTCCCTTCCTCTTCATTAATTGTAGGCCCTGTGGCAAACCAGCTTCAAGTTGGTTCGGACAGTATTTTATACTTGGGAGGCATCAAAAGCGCACAGACATACCGTGCTAACGATATCGCCTCGCTTGAGACACAACAATGGAAAGTGACCGATGTCGATCCCAACGCTACTGTGACAGCGGGTGTCTTTTGGAAAAACGGCAAAACTGATACGACTATCTTGAGTGGTCTATTCAATTTCAATAACACGCAATATCATCTCGCCATGTACGATGGTGCATGGTCTGGTTTATTGCAAAATGTTCAAGGTGAGGTAAGCACACTCTACGTGGTTCAAAATCAACTCTTGGTGGGTGGTCAGTTCAAAGGGACTTTGGACGGCTCTAACTCGCCCGTCACAAGTTTTGCTGTCTATGATCTTCAGAAACAGGCTTTTCAAGATGTTCAAGGTGTTACAAGTAAGTAGATGTTCCAGCAACAATAGTAAAAATAGAAAAAAAAAGTTTTTTATGGTCCCCTAATCACTTTTGAAACGTAGATTCGGATGGAAGTCCAGGACAAGTCAATGTCATCCGACCTCAGTCCGATGGAAAATCAATCTTTGTGGCTGGAAACTTTTCATTTGCTGGACTATTGAATTGTGACGCCATTTGTTCTTTAGCTTCTGATTCCCGTCAGTGGAGTCAAGTGAGCCAAGGGATAGAAGGAAATGTGATGGATATGTCAATCTATAAGGATTCTATTACGGTGGTTGGTGACTTGAAGGTTGGTTCCACCATGACTGGTCTGGCCGTATTGGATAATGTCAACGCCGCCTCTTGGAGAACTGCTGCCAATGACTTTACGTCTACTTCTTCTTTAGTCAATGACGGTACAGGCAATTTCATTATCTCTGGAAGAGATAATAATCAATTCTATCTTGGAACCTGGAACGGCAATGATTTGAAACCCATTGATACGAAACTTGGCTCCGGTACGAACATTCAGCAGCTGTTATACATGCCGGTTTCATCTTCTCCATCAGAGGACAGATTCCCTGCAGATTCAGATACATTATTAATGGCGGTTGGTCATTTGGAGATACCTGGCTTTGGAAGTAGTAGTGCTGCTTTGTATGATGGTTCTACTTGGTATCCTTATGCACTAACATCTTCAGCGAACGGATCTAGTGGTATCATCCATAGTACATTTACAATCACAGAATGTTGTACACCAAAATCTGTCCGTCAATACCTCTCTATTCCTGCTGTTATTTTGATTTCGATTGCAATTTCATTAGCCATCCTCTTTGTGCTGATTGCATGTGTCTTCCTCTTCTTATTCTTGAAACGTCGTAACAGTGTCAAGTCTCAGACAGAACCTATGCCGGAATGGAGACCCAAGCACCGACCTACCAGTTTGTTAGCCATGTTGGATGCAGCCAACTTGCACGATTCTGCTATTCTTGCCGCCGGACCTTCATCGAAGCGAGAGGAGACTGCTGTCGGATACACTACAGCGTTGGACGGAAGAGGACAAAGCATGGATATCTCGGATAACTCACGACTTCGAAGCTCAAGTGGATTTTCTGGTGGAATAGGCGGTATTTCATTTGGCGCACTGTTGGCCAACGCGTTAAAGACCAATGGAAGTTCCGCTGTAGCGAGTGACGAATCACCCAAGGTTTATTACGCCAAATACCCATTTGAGGCGAAAGAGTTTGGCGAGCTTGCATTTGATGCAAAAGTCCCCATCGTGGTGACAGATACCAGCGATAATGTCTGGTGGATGGGATATAAAGATGATGGTTCTGGTAACCCTGTTTCAGGTTTATTCCCCAGCAATTATGTATCAAGCACAAAACCCTTTTAATCACTTCATTAAGCAGCATATCCCCCTAAACACACACTACACACACACACACACACACACACACACACACACACACCCTTATTTTGTTTTACCCACACACACCCCTCGCATAGAACTTTTCTTCATTTTTTATAACAATCCCCCTCCCCCCCCCCTCTTTTTAGTTTCTTAGTATTAAAATTATGTAGCTTAGAATACCATATATTTCAATAGTATCTGTAAAGGAGTTGTGTGAACAGACACCCCTATTTCTTTACGTAATACATTTTTTTTCGAGAATTTCAACCATTGATTCTTTTAAAAAGCTGACTGCAGAAAGATTGCGCCATCGGACGACACCTTTCTTCGCTATTTATTCTTATTTGTTCCGGATGTATAACTAACACATGTATCAAAAGAGGTTCATTAGATAACACTTTTTTAAAATTTAAAATCACTAATAAAGAAGAAACAAGCAAATATATATAAAGAATTGATTGACTTGATACCCATCCTGGTTTATTTTAATTATTCCGTCTTAATTTCTTTCAAAGCCGATCTCTGGGTCATCAACAACCACATTCCAGTCAAGATATGAAACGCCTCAAGAGCTATCACCAGGTTTGGCAGATATTCCGTTTGTCTTGCTACTTCAAGAGCACCACACACAAACACGGATCTCAAGAACTCATATTCAATAGCCCATTGCTTACGATCAAATATATACCCAAATGTAGTCAATGTTGAAAAAATATAAGTCGATGTCGTCACAACCACAGCAAAATCAAGCTCGCCCGGCTTATGATCCAATAAAATACCATTGACTGCCACCAGAACAGCAAAATGAGCCACCACATAAACGTTAATCCCAAGGGATAGTGTAGGGTCGTATTTCTGAGGTGGTATATCCTTTGCGATAACTGGGATCTCTTCCAGTAATCCTGTGCGTGGTGTATCATCGTGCCAACCAGGTCCGTAAAACAACACCTTTAACTTGTTTAAGCTACCGGGTGTTGACCAGCATGTACGAAGCACATGCTTGAGATGATGAAACTGGATCGTAAACGGGTCAAAGGTATTGATAGGATGAGTCAAACCAAACGCGACAGGCTCGCTGTTTTCTGCCTTGACATTAGGAGCTGTCCTTTCTAACTCGAACGTTCCAAACATGATATCCCAAATAATGAGGGTGCCAGCGTAATTCTTGTCAATGCAGTAAGGATTACGGCCGTGATGAAGACGATGTGCTGATGGCGTATTGATAATGTATTCTAATGGTCCAAGGTTTCCAATCACTTCTGTATGAATCCAGTATTGAAATAATGTGTTGAACTGCTTGTGCATGACGTATAATGAGGGTGGTAGAAATAACGCAGCTGGCAAATCAAAGACCCAAGAGGCATATACCTGAAATACGCTTTGACGTAAAGCAGTAGTCTGGTTATAGTATTCGGATGAATGATGAACCTAAAATAGAAACATCTAAGTCAAAAGTACCCGTATAATTTTCCAACGAGCCCGTCGTTTTACTTACAACATGAGTCGCCCAAAACAAGTTCACTTCATGTGCAGCACGATGAAAGAGATAGTATCCTAAATCGATAATGAAAAATCCTGCTATCCAAACCCAAATGTTGTGTGGATCCAAAGTAACAAATCGAAAGTTTTCGTACACATATAAATACGAGTTGAGCGTAATGTTGTATATAAAGAATTTCGATATTTGTTGCAGCATGCCCGCCTAGACAAAAAAAAAAATTATGTTTAATTTTTGCCTATTTAAACCCCTTCTTTCTACTTACACCTATACTTCCAACCATGTCATTCACTGAATAACGACTCGCATCCCACAAACGTTCTTTTCGAAGTCCTTTTCCACCATGTCGAAACACCAGGGACAGAAATTCAAGTGTAATGGTTAATACAAAGAAAGGAATGGACTCTGCAATGTAGTCAGGGACCTCCTGGTAATGACCAAAGGTGGTTGCTTTTGGAGAGACGATATAAAAAAGTCTACCAGCTCCTCTCAGCACATAGGTTATTACGTCAGCTATAGCAACCATACGCACAGATCTTTTTTTACTGTTATTCTTTAAGGCAAATATAAAAATACCATGAATGGGTCTTTTTATACCAAAAAAAAAAAAAAGTGTGAGAATTTCAGGACACACTCGACATTTTTGGGTTGAATTAAGCGGAGATATCTTAATGTGTGCGCTTCATGGACAACACGTCCCCTGTAGGCTCATTACACACGATGGTTATTTTATCCATTCACAAAATGAGGATTCATCTTATTTATGGCTTACCTTTAACAGCTTTGTAAATTGACTCGAGCAATAGCAAAAAGAATGGTTGCCAAATTAAGATAAAATAGTTTTAGTCATGTATCACCCGTAACAGCTGTCATGCAATTTTTCTTTTTTCTTTTTGAGCACAAATACCAAATTCGGATCGAACTATGTAATGGTAGTGAGCTTTTATTGTTTGAATTAGGAATTAAAATCTCGACTTTAGTTTAAACGTAACCTCTAACGATGCATTAAATTTTAATTTTGCACAACATGAACATAAATACATTACGGTTATTGTTAAATCAGAGTTATAGATCGTTTTCATTCACTTGAAAAAGATTTTTTTATCAATCGACATTACTTCATATCTTCTCACATTCAAATTTTTTTTTTTCTTAATACATGCCTTTTAGGCTTACTTTTTTTTATTTTATAGATTTAAAAGATTGGCTGATACCTCTTTGAAATACTCAATTTGACAAACATGGATAGGAATATGTAGTGCAACATTGAATCGATACCCGGATAAGTATCTTCAAATCCCAAATGCGAATCTTTCGATCCTTCAGAATCCCCAAGATTTGAGTCCAGAGATGCCAAAAAGGCATTTTTTTTTTTTTTTTTTTTTTTTTTTTTAATTACATCAAGTGAAAAGAGAACCTATGACCGAAACTTATTAATATGGTATATCATAGATAGTGATCACATCAATGATGAACAATAATAGACTTATTCAGAAACCATGCATTAGTCTCATACGGCTTCTGCCATCTTATCTCTTATTAGGTTCTACCTGCTTGACTTCAAAACGTATGATTGGAATTGTAAATTATGCTGAATTTTAATTACGAAGCGAGAAAGTTAGATACAGTGTATATAAAAAGGATTTCTATTTGACAAGCCAACAAAATCTATCACACACAGAAATGGGCCACCTGCATTCCCTTGCCTCATGGGTTTGGAGAACTACTTATCGCTGTAGTATTCAACTTGGAACTCACATATTTTATTTACTAGAAACACACAAAATTTGTTTAAAAAAATAAATAATCACTTTCAGGTGAGCTTTTGAAATGCTCATTTGCAAAGTGTTGCCCATGAGTATTATAACTCAATTTGAAAATTCTTGGGCATATTATGTCTGATAGAAGAACCTCTTGGCTATTATTTTCGCTGTCATAGCACCTCAGCTTTTCCTCATGCTGGCTTTTCAAAACAGCAATAGTCTTCATTGTTTATTCGAGACAGCTCACTAAATAATTAAATTAGACTTGCTATTATTTTTCATCTCAATCGTTTAGAATCAGGAATATACCTTCAAGGTCAAGAAAAAAGTGAACAATGAAGTGATGTGCTCTTTTTTTTTTTCTTCTTTAAAATCTTCTTCCACCAAGATTTTCTTCTCCCCAACAAAGTTATATATCCCATACTTTGTGTATTGCATGGGCCACAGTCGGATATGTTTGCCTAGTTGTGACAAATTAATATGATTAGCACAAATAAATAAAAAGCTGTCTATAGTATTGTCTACCGCTTGACTGCACGAAATAGAGTTTGAGTTTTCTAAACTCTTCAACAAACGCTTATTTGTAGTGGTCAGCCACAAATCTCGATAAGACATTCTATATTTGGAATCGTATTTTATCCATTACAAAGATAATGATGCGAGAATCGGGGAAAGGTGTTTTGCGTAAAAGATGTAGAAAGTAAAAATAAACGCTCAAGATCCTCTGGTTAAGATTATGAAATGTTTATACAAGCAGGAAAAGAATCAGCAATTGCCAGTTTAAAGAATGATGTAGAAGGGTTTGTGGATGCTTGCGTTGATGGTACCAGCTCCAATGTCACTTGTAGTACTCATGCCAATGCTGACAATATGGTTGCAAAGGTATAAAATATTTGAGGTTTAATCTTACAACTGCGCAGGGGATCAGGGGAAAATCATTATAGTACTGATAAGTACTGGGTCAAGCACACCGACTGTTACTTTATAAGACTGTTTGAAACAGGATATCTGCAAAGACTGTGCATAGGAGAAACATGGTACAATACGCATGTTGTAGTTATTGATTGATACGATATTCGATGGTGATTATTAGTCTACAGGTGATGCGATAAGTCTACAATAAATAAAAAAAAGATTATGTACATCTTTTTATTTCCGGTTTATATGAAGTCGTTGTCCCAAAAAAACATCATCATCCTGTATTCTTCTAGCAAAACGTAACTCTTGTGGCATTGATCATTTAAACAAATCATGACAATCTGGATTTAATATTTAAATACACACACGTTTCCTCTTATCGCAAAAGAAGAAAAAAAAACTAGTGTCATTGTACTCTCTCAAGCAATAAAAAGAAGGAATATCGTAGCTGCTGGTCTAATGGGGGGGGGGGCATCTATCAATGTGGGAACCCCTTCTTTTATTTTTATATCTTTTTTTTCTACAATCGGGTAACAAAGTCTTATTCAGTCTTTTTGGGAAGTTGAATCTTGGGAATTCTCTATAGACATTGAAAACGAATGAGTCACATTGACAGAAAAACAAGCTGCTTTATTAGTTACCATATCAGGCTTCATGATCTTTTATATACCAATGGAGTAAAGAATTTAGTTGACGGTACGGAAAAAAAAAGTGTAAGGCATGCATAAAAAATAAAAATAAAAACTTACTCGGTTAACAACAGTACTGCCAGCAGCCATGCCTGTGCACATTAAGACAAAGGTATAGAATTTATTTGGTTGTGCCATTATTAAAAAAAAAATTATTTTGAAGTAAGGGAGGGGGGGTTCAAAGCGAAAAAAAAAAAGTATGAGTTAACACCCGCCCAGTCAGCCAGCTAGGCAGCCAAATAAAAAAGGATGCGGTGCCCAAATCTCAATTTGACAGTTTTCAATGCAAAAGGACATGCGTGATACCTTTCAACTAAAGATAATCACAAGAATAAGACTATACTATTTTCTTGTTCATAACGCATGAACCAATTTTCTTTGGTTGGGATGGGAGCAAAGATGATTAATATACCCCCCCTCGCTAGCAAATCTTAATTTGGTAACCTAGTTACATGTAAGCTTTGCTTCCCCCCAAGCAAGAAAATTGCAACTTGAGAAACGTGTAGTAGGATGTGGATTTACCCGGGGAGCGCCTTTTCTAATGTTCAAACTGTGAGAAAATTCTTTAGAATCAAGCTAAAATAAACGCACTATGTCTTTATAAATCAATCTGTTATACCTCTCGGGTAGATCGAGAAATCCATACTGAGTGTACCTTTTTTTTTTATTTATTAAATGAAGGGAATAATTTTTTTTTTTTTTTAGAAAAAGCATGAAGCGATCTGATGACGTACAGACAAAAATATTTTGCAGCTCAGGTAGTATGTGAAAAAAAAAATGTTTGGCTCCGGCTTCTTCTTTTTTTTTCTTCTTCTTCTTCTTCTGTATAACCTTGATAGTTGTTAAACCAGGTTTGTTCATTAGATAAATTAGTCGACTATAGGGCATTTCTAACCACGCGCGTTTTTTTTTGTTTTTTGTTATCTTTGTAGCCTTTTTATCATATCAATGGGAAAGACAACCACACCAGAGTTAAAAAAGTAAATTATACTTGTTCATCGATCTTTTTTTTTCTGTTTATTCACCATCCTTCAATAGATACATGGACAAGCGTCTTTCGCTTCAATTAAACGGAAACCGTAAGGTGACTGGTGTCCTTCGTGGTTTCGATCCCTTCATGAACATTGTCTTGGATGAAACTATTGAAGAAATTAGTGCGACTGAAAAGAACAACATTGGCATGGTGGTAAAGTATTTTTTTTTTATTAATTTGAATTAGTGGAGGGGGTTTATAAAGAGATGTTTAACACATGGTTTAATGTTAGGTCATTCGTGGTAACAGTATTTCTATCATGGAAGCTCTTGAGCGTATCTAGATTTGTACAAAGAAAAAAAAACTTCAAAAAAAAAAAATATCAGCAATATAAAGTTTCTTACCCCCCACACCCCCACAAAAAAAAAATATATACATCAAATAAAATTTATTTGTGAACACAAAAAAATATGTATTCTATTTATCCTTCTTGGATTCTTCCAAAGCCTTCTTCTCATCCTTGACATCTCCTTCACCCACTTGTCCATATTCATTAGCACGAGTAGGATCTACCTTGTAAGCATGACGTTGATAAATATACACGAAAAAGACAAAATCATCACGAAGACAAGCCAATCGATGCAAAGTAGGCATCTTGATCACAAACGCAAACAAATCATCAATAAACGTATTCAACGACTTGTACATCAATGTCTTCCAAGGCATATGAGCAACCTATTTAAAAAAAAAAAAAGAGAAGGGAATTAATGCAAAAAATTCCAAAATAGAAAATATATCGTCCACTTACACTCTTGAGACGGTAATTGATATACAATTGAGGTAACATAGTAATAAATCCAAACATGTACACGAATTGGACCAAGGTATGAATCACATATGAGTACCAACTCTTGTGCTCATCATAATACAAGGAATAAATGGCATAACCAGCCAATAAGGGGTATGAAAGCCATTTCAAGTACTTGAAAGCAATGGCATCATATTTAGCTGTCTCATCTTCTTCTTCCGACTGCTTCGACTCTTGTTGTCCCAAGGAAGGAATCCAAGACCCGGGAGTCCAGATCAATTCATACTTGAGCGCCTTAAACACCTTCCATAACTCAATGACCAAACCAAAGCCTTGGCTGATCAAGACCATCCACGATGTCTCCTGGTTATTATCAAACAGGTACAAGAAAATCACAATCTGGAAAAAGATATTGACAATCAAGGTACGCACAGAGATACCTGCACTGTTAGATTTTTGCTTCCAAAAGGCGATATCATTCTTGAAGGCAAGCATCTCAAACAACGAATGAAGACAACTGACGGCAATGGTGGTACCCAAAAGAATGGGATTGGTCTCGATAAACATACGCTTGATCTCATCCATATCTCCACTTGACATTCCTCCTAATGGATTCTGGCTCTGTTGCTTCATGGAATCATCCAAGGTGGCAAAAATATTAAACTTCCACATTGAAATAGACTCCACACGAATATTCAAGGGTAACATCTCCACGGTTTCATTCACTGCATACGCGTTTGATTGAAGCACCCAGAAATCATTGGGAAACAAAATAGGTCGGTAATAGCCAAACTTACCAGAAGGATCACGCGACATGGCTTGATCAAACTGAACAAATTTAATCACGGGTGGTTGCAAACTATTCTTGGGGAGAGGTGCACGATGACTGTTCACCAAACTAAGTGTCACATTTGGGTGCCAGTAAGCAACCTTGGGAGCTCGACGCGTTAAATCTCCAATCAAGTTGGCTCCAAGTCCCACAATACCACCAGGTCCTCCTTCTGTTTTCTCCTCCTACAAACCATCCACCAATCTGTTAAATGTTGCGTTCTTTTTTTTTTCAAATAATCGGTCTCTTACCACTTTTTCAACAATTACTTCTTCCTCTTCCACCTCTTCTTCATCCTCATGCTTGCCTAATAATTTCTTTTGCTTCACAAGAGATTTTTGAGGCAAGAACTTGGTCAACACATGTCGAACATAGACGGCAGCATCAGGATTATAACCCTGACTACGAGGATCAATGGAAATACCATGTTGAGTAAGAAAGACGTGAGCATAAACCGTACCATTATGTTGAATTGTCTATCATTTACAATTCTATAAGCATATATATACACACACACACACACACTATTTGAAAAATCTATATTGTACCTTGGTAGCGGGAATCTCAATCTTGTGTTCTCTGGCTTCAAAATCTTCACTGTAATACAATTCAGTGGTTTTCCAATCAGGTTGTGCTTCATAATTCGTGAAATATTCTTCTTCGCTCACATACACGGACAAGTCCATGGGTGTACGAGGTTGCCAGAGAGGAATAAAGCTCTCAGGAAGCACAGAAAGTGGGACGGAGGGATTAGGGAAATAGTAGACATTTGAAGGTACAGAGGCATAATCACGCAACGTGGTAGCTCCAGGAACAAACGTAGGTTGAGATACCACTTGTTGGCCATCGCTTGTTGTCGTCACAGGGGCATGGGGAACAGCGACTTCGGGTGACTTCATACCTGTTACATTAGTGTCAATAAAACAATTCTCTCTCTCTTTTTTTTTTTTTTTGTTCATTAGGAAAGAACTTTTACCGTTGGAAATAGCTCTCATTGCTATCCAAAAGATGATCATCTGAATAACCGATCCAGCATACTTTTGAATAAAACTCTTTTGTTGAGGTGGTGGTGCCCCAGTGGCTGCAGAACCTTCGCCTGCAACAACAGGTTGTGGGTTCGCCACTTTATTATCTCCAGGCATTATATTAAAGATAAATAAGAAGAAGAAAAAAAGAGAGAAGGCGTTCTTTTTTATAATTTATCTGTGTTTGCGAGAGGGGTTGAAGCTCCGTGCAATGTGTTACGAAAAAAGAAGGTTTTGCGTTTCCCTTTCGATAGGGATCTTTTTTCTTTATACTGTATTACATAATACAATCTCTTATCGCAGACAACACCAGTGTCTCCCAATGTCTTTATTCTCTATGCAATTAAGCATGAGTATCTCTTACGTGATCGTCCCCGAAGGAATCAACTCTGATCCCTCTCACACACACATACGCAAAGTGGACCCTCCGTTGCTGACTAAGAATCAATGCGAACATACGCTTTGACTAGCATCAAGTCAACCATTGTAAAGCGAACATACACAAGTCTTTGTCAGGCAATTACCTCACTGCGGTGAAGGGGGGTGGGGGAGGCGGCTCTTATAAAATTGGACAACAACGGAGTCGTCATTGTTTCCCTATTTGGACAAAGTCAGTTTCTTTTTTTTTTAAAAGAGAAACTCGCAGCAACACATTTTTTTTTTTTTTTTTACCTTTCTTTTACAGCATATTATAGAAATGTCGCGACATAGAGCAGTAAGAAATTTAGACATTGACGGTAAATTATGAAAAAAAACAAGCCCATGTCACAAAGAAACAACTAAAAAAAAAAAAAAAAACTGTAGATATTCTCGATGAAGAAGAATACGAGAGTGAATACGATGAAAACACAAGTGAGATATATATTCTATAAAAACACCCGGGGAGGAAAAAAAGAAAAACTCACCAAACAAAAAAAACTCTTTCTAGTTGACGAGACAGAAATGAGTAATGAAGATTTAGATAAATTAGACGACGGATTAGCCTACATTCACAGCATCATTGGAGAGGACAGCTTCTTGACAGCCAAAGAGATCAAGGAAGCCCTTTGGTATTACTTTTTCGATAAAGAAGAAACCTTGGAATGGGCACTCGGTAAACCTCTCTTTCTCTCTTCATTCACAATCAACCCTTTTCACTAAAACCCTTCACAGATAAAATCGAGAAACAAAAGGCCATTGAAGACAAGAAAAAGGCCAAAGAACAAGCCAAAAAAGGTAAGTTTCATTTTTTTTCTTTTTTTTTTTTATATGAGAGTCCCCCACACACACACAATACCCCGACTTTTTTCCTTTTCTTTCCCTTTCACATTTTTTTTTTAAAAGGTAAAAAAAACACACACACACACACATACTTACACAGGCATGCAGTTAACACCCAACTAACACCCCCTCTCTTTTTATCAAAACATTAGCATGAGCGACAAACCTTCACTTGCCAGTTTATCCAACACACGTCAAACAAACAGTTTATCGCTTCTAAAGCAAAAGATGCAAAAGCCTTCTTCATTAGCATCATTAGCATCAAACGCCAAACCCGTTTCCTCTTCTTTACAGAGTTTAGCTACGCGATCTGCTACCAAACCTGCTTCCTCCAGTCTCTCTCGTCTAGCCAATACCTCACCCTCTACCACCACCACCAAACTCGGTTCTTTATCCAGTCTCGCTTCACGACCTAGTAAACCTACCACGAGTCTTCCTAACCCTATCACCACCATCACTTCCAAACCCAAGCCATCTGTCAAACACGCGCCTATCCAACACAAGGCACCTGCAGTAGTAACCGAAGCAGAGGAGAAGGAGGAGGAGGAGGAATCGAATCCACTTGTAGCTAAACCTTCTTTAGCTGCTCAATTCTTGTTTCAACCTCAACCTTCGCCTCCTTTCCTTCCTCCTCCTCAAAAATCACATTCTGTTTCCGTTCATGTCTTTCAGTTTGATCGACCTAGTCCTGATGATATTGTATTTGCTGCTCAAAGTCAACGACCCAACACCAACAAAAACTAATAACCTCTCCCTCTTTCTCTTTCTCTCTCTCTTTTTCTCCTTCCTCCTCTCTTTCTCTCTCTCTCTCTCATATAAACCAACACCACTCACACACACACACACACACCTTTTAACATTTTCTCTCTTTTTATCTAGCTGCCGCCGATAAAAAATCCGCTGCTGCCGCCGCCGCCGCTGCTGCTGCTGCTGCTGCTGCATCGAAAGCCAAGAACAATAAGGAAGACACGATTGAATACTTATCAGATGAAGAAGAGATTTCACAAGAGATGAGCGCCATGGGATTCCAACCTGTGACAAAATCCGAACCCTTGGCCAAGATCCCATCTTCCAAACGAGTGAATATCTCTGAAGAATATCAGAAACGATCGAGTGCCAAACCCAAGTTAAACCTGGTCGTGATTGGTCATGTGGATGCGGGTAAATCCACGCTGATGGGACATTTCCTCTATGACCTGGGACAAGTAAATGAACGTACAATGCGTAAATTTGAACGTGACTCTCAAAAGATAGGTAAAGGTTCGTTTGCCTATGCCTGGGTATTGGATGAGACAGGTGAGGAACGGGATCGTGGTATTACCATGGATATTGCCACCAACCATTTCGAGACCGAACATAAATCCTTTACGTTACTGGATGCACCGGGTCATCGCGATTTTATTCCCAACATGATTTCAGGTACAGCACAAGCCGACGCTGCTATCCTTGTGGTAGATGCTTCTACCAACGCCTTTGAAGCAGGGTTTGATGCGGGTGGACAGACCAAGGAACATGCGGTCCTTGCCAGAAGTCTTGGTGTACAACAACTCATCATCGCCATCAATAAATTAGACATGGCTCTCTGGAATCAATCACGTTTCGATGAAATTCAAACCAAATTAAAGTCCTATCTTGTGCATGTAGGTTTCAAGAAATCCAACTTGGTCTTTGTACCCGTCTCTGGTTTAACTGGTGAAAACCTCATTAAAAGAAGCACACTTCCCGAATTACAATGGTATAAGGGTGGATCGTTAATGCAACATATTGATGGGTTTGCTCCTCCTGTGCGATTGCTTGATAAACCTTTGCGTATGCGCGTGACGGATTTCTTCAAGGGAGGTATTGGTAGTAGTGGTGGTGTCTCGGTGGCAGGTAACATTGAGTCTGGAAGTATGCAAGTGGGTGAGCAAGTGATGATCGTTCCCGGTAATGAATTAGGGTATGTGAAAACCATGCAAGTGAACGAAGAACCCGCTAATTGGGCTGCAGCTGGTGATTCCGTCTTGATGACGCTTGTGAATCTGGACATTATGAATCTGAGGTAAAAATTAGAAAGAAGGGAAAAGGGAAAGTGGGATAAATGATGGGAAGGATGAAACTAAAATGTGTGTTGCACACAAAAAAAATAATAATAGTAACGGATGTCTGGTGTGTACAGCATCGAAGCCAGTTCCGGTGACAAGTACGTTTGAAGCACAAATTGTGGTGTTTGACATTCGTATCCCCATCACGCCAGGATATCCTGTCGTACTGCATCACGGCAGTTTAGATGAACCTGCATTTATTGCTAAACTGATTGAGGTCCTGGATAAATCCACAGGAGAAGTCATCAAGAAGAACCCACGTTGTCTGTCCAAAGGCATGACGGCTAAAGTTCAAATCAAACTCTCTCAACGTCCTATCCCCTTGGAAACCTTCAAGGACAATAAACAATTAGGTCGCGTCATGTTACGTAAAGATGGAGAGACGGTAGCGGCTGGCGTCGTAAACGAAATATTGACCTATGGCTCATAGAAAAAAAAACAATAAACTTTAATTTTTGAAACTATTTTGTGGAAACTTGGTGTGTGCGTTTAGATGGTTGCCCTGAAACCTTTTGTGTAACAGCCCTTTTTTTTTTTTTGACATATAAAAAAAGGGCTGGGCGTAAACGCGTGTGATGTGTTGATTCCATCATGTGGTGGAACCAGGCGTTTTTTTTTTTTTTTTTTCAGCTTTTTTTTTCTATTTTCTTTTTTTCTCTCTTTCTTGAATTGTAAAAATAGAACAAGAGTTTCATAACATGGGGAATGTCGATAGTATACCACAAAGTGAAGGCCAATGTAAAAAAGTGAACAACCCTCCCCCCAAAAAAAACAGAAAATAAAAATTAACCCTCCTCTTTAAAAAAAAAGCTGTAAACTTGTCACAATTTCAAATTCTAAAGCCACTGGGACAAGGCGCGTTTAGCAAAGTAATAAAAAACGCATAATAAAAAAAAAAAATTATAAGGTTTAACGATTAAAATAACAGGTATACAAGGTCCAACGAAAACAAAAGCTTTACGCGCTTAAAGTGATGCGAAAAAATCAATGTATTCATACCGTAGCCAATATTATTCGAGAACGAAACATTCTAGAATGCTTAGATCATCCACTTGTTTGTAATATGCGTTTTGCATTTCAAAACACGCATTGCTTATTTATGGCCATGGATCTCATGTAAATATATCTATCCCACTCTTCACACATGATTGTTATTTACCCCCTCCCCTCTGTAGGTCAGCTGGCGATTTACGATTCCATCTATCAACAAAACAGCATGATGAAAACACAATCAAGTTTTGGATCGCAGAACTTATTTGTGCTGTCAAATATCTACACTCACAATCCATCGTTCACAGGTAATTCTCTCTTTCTCTCTCTCTCTCTATAGATACTACATGCTTATATACAGTCGACTTATAACCAATGATTAGAGATATCAAGCCAGAGAATATATTACTGGACGCAGAAGGTCATGTTCATCTAGCAGATTTTAATATCGCTTGTCGTCTTCCCAAACGCAGCAGGAAACTCACCTCCATGGCAGGCACTGCCGTCTACTTTGGTAACGCATAGACGCTATTTCCCATCTTTTATTCGTTAGTTGGAACTAAACATATTTGTATATTATTAGCACCGGAAATGTTTAGAGGAGAAGGATATGACGAAGACGTGGATTGGTGGAGTCTAGGCATTACGTTTTATGAATGCTTGTACGGCAAAGTAAATTTTTGATACGCATCACCATGATGAAATGTTCTTTTTTTTTGTGTGTGTGTGTGTGTGTGTGTGTAACTCACCCTGCTTTTGAATTATTTTTTATTAGCGCCCTTGGACTCATTGCACAGACATAACTCAGTTAGGTCGACATGTCCTAACCGAGGACATTACGTATCCCCGTCAAGCCTCACTTCACTGTCGATCGGCCCTCCGCAGCGTAAGTTTAAATCTAACAGAAAAAAAAATGAGACTAACATGATGTCATATATATCAGCTACTGGAAAAAGACCCTAAAAAACGATTGGGTCATGGCGTTGTGTCTGGTTGGCATGGTATCGCGCGACACCCTTTTTTCCAGCATATTCAGTGGTCTCGTATCGACAGTAAAGGGTATCAACCTGTGTACACCCCCATCATTGGACAAGAGGAAATGTGTGTGACAGACAAAGAAGAAGGAGACTGCGCACCCAAAAGTATCGAAAGCCATGTGTCACAACAAAAAACTCGAGATTTTAATATCCAGAACTATGCGTCGTTTGATTACACGATATTTGATCAATACCAAGGTTTTATTGACGAACAATGCATGACAGTGGGTCCACCACCTTATTGGGTTAAACCCGCTTTTCCTGGGGCTGATCATAACCTTTTACCTATACCCAAAGTTTACCTTGAGACCACACCTACCATTACCATTTAATTATTTTTTTTTTTTTTGGTGGTGTGTAGAGTGTGACTTTGTTTAAGCAATTCCACCACGTTCTTGTTTTCCTTTATTTTTTTCATCACCGTCCCCCTCCCCCTCCCCTCGTCTGCTTCTCTCTCCCCCCCTTTTCTATCTTGGTTGATAAATAAACAGTTTTTTTTAAAGGTAAAATTAGGGAGAAAGAGAGGGTTCTTTTTTTGTTTCTCACTGTTATTAATCTACTTTTTAAAAAAGATGTCTGATGCAAAAGCCGTAATCAAGAGTGTTGACATGAGTGAGGAGATGCAACAAGAAGCCATCGAGTGCTCCACACAAGCTTTGGAAAAGTATAATATCGAAAAGGACATTGCTGCACACATCAAGCGTGAATTTGACCGTAAATATGGTAAGTTATTTTAGATGAGCAGTAAAGAGAGAAAGAAAGAGAGCAGAAATTAACATCTACGTAAAAAAAAAGGTCCCACTTGGCATTGTGTTGTTGGACGTAACTTTGGTAGTTTTGTTACTCACGGTAAAAATATATATATATTCTCTTTTTGTTTTTTTTGTATTTTTTACTAATATTTAATACATGTAGAGTCCAAGCATTTCATTTACTTTTACCATGGTCAAATTGCCATTCTTTTATTCAAGTCTGCTTAGATTATTTTTTTTTTTTGTTTTTGCTGAAAATAAACATTTTACCCTTATTGTTTGTATAGACAATTATAAAGTTTAGCAGTAGGTTATGTAAGCTTTAAGCGGTTTTGGGAATGTTTCCTAAGTAATAGGCTCAAACCTTTTGGTGAATTCAATCTTGGCATAATCACCTTGGGCTTCTTATCAGTTTTTATGAAATAAAGACTTCTCGAAAGAACTAGTCTTTGCGATATGGTATTGGCACATCAATAATTATAAACAAACCCGAGATGGAAGAACAATGCATGAAAGATGACTGTCTCAAATTAATAAAGGTTTCGACAGCATCTTTAAGCTCAGAAACTCCTCCTTTTACAGAAAATACACGTACAATGAATAGAAGGATGTCTTCTTAATCGAGTTTCCCTAACAGCGTAATTGGACCTGATAAAAAAAAAACTGGGAACTGATCCTATCACAAAACATAAAGTCGTGACCTTTTGTCCATTTATATTAAGACACTATCTTGGCATATGAGCATAGTTATTTACTCTTTTCGATCATAAGTCTTTGTAAATCATAACAAATACCAGCCTCAATGTTTAAACTGGTGGAAAAAAAAAACCCCCCATTAGGGGATTGGGTTTAGAAAAAAAAAAGTGCGGTTATTGAAATCTCTCACCCTTCCTCCCCCCCCCCCCAATAGGAAGGGTTTTGATTCATCCAAACGCGGATTTTTTTTTTTTTTGTGTGTGTTTTTGTAAATAGATTTGCAGTTTCACAAAAAGTAATAATAATGATGAAACAAACCAAATCAGAAGCGAAATTAGAATTGCAGGATTTTTCCTTTGGGCTGTCTAAAAAAAAAAAAAAAAAAAAAAAATATGAGCTGTAGGACTATAAAAATAACATATTTTTCGTATCTTTTCCTTCTCTTTTCTTTCACTTTTCTCCATACATTTTTTTATTTTTATTTCTTGATAATGTTGAACTTAATAATTGCTGCTGTCCAGGTATATTAGACATAAAGACACGCACAAGTAGATGAATTGAACGCTAACCCAATTCACCATTAGGCTATCTTACAGGTCATGGTTGTAGTGTTTCTTGGCAGTGTGTTGGCAAAACATGGATACTTCAATATGGATAAACAAAGGGTAATAATAATGAAAAGGGGTTTACATAAGAGAAAGAGGAAAAAAATAAGGCTAAAAGTTTTTATTATAATTTTTTCAATCGCAGTGGTTATCTAAACTTAATCTCGTATTCTTCACACCTTGCCTTTTATTCTCCAATATCGCATCCGTCATTTCACTAGAGAAACTCTTGGCCTTTTGGCCTATCCCCATGTTCTATTTGACTTTTGCCATTTTAAACTATTCGTGCAGTCAACTCATCACTCGATTGGCTGGTTTAAGCCCAGCTTATCGTCGTTTCGTATTGGCCTGTGTCATGTTCTCCAATTCCAATTCTCTGCCGATCGCCATCATTTCCAGTTTAGCGGTTTCTGAAGCCGCTCATATCTTGTTCTGGGGATCAGATGACACGTCAGAAGCAGTAGCAGCAAGGTACATATTTAAAAATGTACATTAGAAAAAAAAAAAAAATGACGCTAACCTTTTTTTATCCATTTTAGAGGAATATCGTATACCCTGTTCTTTGCCATCTTTGGTAATTTGATTCGTTGGTCATATGGTTACCAATTATTACAAAAGAGGGATGATGATGATACTTCTACCATTGCCGATGAAGAAGTAGTTGTGCCTGTTATTTCATCTACCTATCACTCATTCAGTAATAATGCATCCACCTCTGCTTCTATTAGTTCAGGCTCAGATGACACCGAACAAGAGGATGAAGAATACCTCTCTTCATCTAAAGCCGCCGCAGCCGGAAAACGTGATACTATGCCATCCAGACAACTCAGTTCTGTTACTATCTCGGTAGATGAGTCTAGTTCATTATTACCTCAAACAAACAAAAACAAAAACAAACAAATACCTGCCAATGATAATATCTTCCAGATCATCCTCAAAAAGATCACAGGTTTCATGTCACCTCCATTGTATGCTGCCTTTCTAGCTTTGTTTGTTGGCTTAACTCCTCTCAAGGGTATCTTTTTCGATAAACAATCTTTTCTCTATCCTTCCTTCACAAAAGCCATTGAAGGTTGTGGTAAAGCTGCTGTTCCTTTAATCCTCACCTGTCTAGGCGCTCAACTTGTCTCCATTTCCGAGTCACAACATCCTGCCGCACCAGAAATGAAAAAACCAGTAGCTCTCGCTATTGCTATTCGTATGTGTTTGATGCCTTTCCTCGTTGTTCCTCTTGTCGTCCTCTTTGTTCTTTATGGCGCTCAATTCTCTCTCTTGGCTGGTGATCCTGTCTTTATCACCATGATGATCGTTCTTGGTTGTACACCTACTGCCATTAACCTCGTCCAAATTACCCAAGTCAATAATATCTTTGAAGAGGAAATGTTACGTATGCTTTTCTGGAGTTATGGTGTTGTCTGTGTTCCTGTATGTACCTTTGTTGTCTTTTTAGCCCTTAATGTTGTAGACCGTATGCTTTAAAATCTTAATACATAAATAAAAGAATACCCATTTTTTTTTTTTTTATCATCATCATCAACATAATAAAACCCGACATTCCATAAATCGTGATTCAAATGCTGATTTTTTTTTTTATCCCGTATATATTATTCTTCCCACACAGTGTTTTTAATAGAACCTTCTTACAAGTAAAACTTTTGCCGCCTACCCCCTTTATTGTCACGATTTCCAAAGAGGTCTGGACAAGAAAACTTCTTTTTGCTATTTTAAGAACTCAAACCCTCGATCACTTTTTTTTTTTTTGTGTACAAAGCATGACCCACACCCTTTTTTTTTTGTTTTTTTACCGTATTTAGGTTGATGCAACAAATTAAAGTTTATTATTATGTCTGTTTCGTTCTGACATTTTTATTATCAAGACTTTGATGCAGGATATGCCTTACCCCTCAAAAAAAAAAAAAAAAAGGTGTGATTTATCATCGAGTGATTTATCATCAGGCTTCGTCCCCCCCCCCCCTGTCCCAGTTTGATGTAAAATCTACATCAAGGTTTTTTTTTTCATGGGGAAACAACCCCCCTTTTAGAGTTTACATCAACCCGATAAAGTTATCATGTTGTACACATATTTAGCATTTTGACATAAAGTTCTTGGTGAAACAACGCTCACACTCTTATTAAACTTTTTTTTTTTTTCATTAATGCATACCCTATAATAACAGGTTTTTCCTCTTCTGTATTAATTGAAAAAGAGGTTTTTTTTTTCTTTACACTGGTATCATACCTTCAAGTTCAAGTATCTTCTTCTTCTTAAATAAAAGAAGTAATTTATCCTCTGTTTATTTAAGGTCACTTTTAAGCCTTTTAACTCAATATCTGTTACCCTTTTTTTATATATATAACAATGAGGGCATGGCTCCATTAACGTCTGTACAAGTTTTTTTATTTAAAAGATAATTTAAAAAAAGTGTCTTCCCGCCAGAGTTTCGATGGATAGTAGGAAACAGGTAAACTGCCGAGTTCCTTGACTTTGAATGCTTTGACTTTAGCCAGCTCTTCTTCCGTAAAGTAGTTAGTCCATGCTTTCTCGTTTGTATCTAAAACCAAAGAGTGTACGGGACTAATGCAATAAGTTAATATCGCCTGATTGACTTCACAGTGAGACTTTAAGGATCCTTACTGTTCGTAGTTGCATTCAACTGCAAACTCCTTCATCCTCTCTTCTACAGTGGTTCCTGTTGACAAACTTCCAGCATTTGTCTGGCTCCAAGTCCTCAAACATTGGAGCAATTTTAACCTACTTTTTTTTCGGACTTTGAAGCAATCTTTTTTTTTCTCTTAATGAGCTTAATTTTTTTCGAAAAGTGCGCCGAAAAAGTGTATTTAATAAATACACAAACGGGGACTTTGCTCCATCGTAATCTTGTACAATGCAATCTGTTAACTGATTACTTATGGCGTTGACAGTAATCGTCAGTCCAGCCGCTTCCAAAAAAAAAACGAATGGCATTTTTGATTTCTATTTTATGAAATTAGAATTTGCGACTATAAATTGATACGGGAGTAAATATATACCTTCAGTGTTCCTTAAAGAAATCAGAACTGGTGTTGCTGGAAGATTCAGACATTATGGAAAAAGCAAAGGAGAATGCCGCCTTTTTTTTTTTGTAAGTACTTTTTTTTTTTAAAGGTATTGTCTAGACCTCCGTATTATTTTATGCCACTTACAGGATTTATGGCCAAGCCCAGCAGGCCAATATGATCCCAACCATTTACAGTGCAATCCCTGTTATTCACAGGCTGTGAGTTCCAAAACTCAAGAACCCTGCTTGGGAGGTCGCCCCTCCTATGGCAAAGACTATCTGTAGCTGCCATATATCTTTTTTTTTTTCAATTGTTAGCGTCTTTTTCAAAGAAACAAGAGTCAATTACTAACTAACCTTTTTATGTTATACGTTACTTTCATTTACGATAAAAAAAAAATTATGTTAAGGGAAAAGAAAAAGGTGAATAATAAAGCGTGTGAACCAGCTTTATTTGTAGGCTGATAAACAAGAGCTTATGTCAGAATGATTTAATTTGTTCGTTTCATCAACCATTTAATATTTAAATAATCTGATACATTTGGGCCTGCTGCATTTTATTTTTTTATTTTTATCTATAATACTATAATATGTCTAAAGTTTTCGGAACAGAAGCATTTACCAAAGGTACTTTCAAATCAAACATATAGTTGCAGATTCTCATTTGTTATAAAATAGAGATTCCCAAGGCTATTGATTGTCTAACTGCGGCTGGAGAAACTATCAGCCTTGATAACATCACTGAACAATTGACGGATTACATTGTAGATAATCATAATGGAAAGACATCATTGTACGTATACAAGGACCTTTGGAATACCCACGTTGAAATTTTTTGAGATTCATTTAAAATCGCCTATGTATGATTAGTATTTACAATATTTATGCATACACTTTTGCCAAGAGGCCCCACAGATTGGGAAAACATTGCGTTTTTATTAGTTGATAAACATGTTAGAAACACTACCTCCCTTCCCACAAACTAATATTAAATACTGCTTTTATATACCAGGACTAATTAATTTACATTGGACAGAAAAAAAAAAAACTTGATTAATCTGAGGATAATAAGGTTGAGTAATTGATAATAAATGGACAATGTAAAGGATTTTGACTGCAGTTACAAGCAGTTAGAGTATAATTGTGGCAAAGAAGTTTCAAGCATCGAATGCATGATTTATTTAGCGTCTGTAATGTATGCAGATCTAATGATTGGATGACAAGTAGAATAGGATGTATAGATTGGAAAACGAGAGATGGAGTAGGGATATGTGTGGTTATGGTTATTCTTGGAGCTATTTTCTCTCCTCCTCTATGTATTTATAAATATTAAAAGATTGGTTTATCTCAAGATACTGAACTAAAGGTCGATTTAATGGTGCATCACAGAACAATTTTTTTTAAACTCGTTCGATAAACTTCTTACGCTGTAGCAACGTCCTGAATTTGTGGCTGTTAAATAACGCTTCATCCCGCAAGAGAGTTCGCCCGTCATCAGGTTTCAATCTTAGATTTTGGGCAAGTCATGTCTCCCATTTGTGACTTTTTCCACCACCAGGAATAACCCCCCCCCCTCTCACTCAAGCACACATGACAAGGAGAACTATCCTCTCCTTGATAAATGCAATTATCCTCTGTCAATTTGAGTAGCTTTGAGATAAACGGGATTATTGGACATTACATCCACGTAACTATCCTGATCCATATTCCCATCAACAAACACTAAAAAGACCATGCCATCACACTACTACCAGTTTAAAACCACTCTTTCTATTTTGGTTTGAAAGTTAGGACGCTTCACACCAATTATGGCACCGATTTAGCTGTTTGACTGAATCCAAGTATTACTGTAAAGTAGTATATGACTCTTAAGCTACTAAATTGCTGAAACGCTGATAAACAATGATTATATTCAGAATGGCTTGTAAGTCTCTGGGGGGTTTATCATGCTTCCTTTATAAGTAAAGGCTGAAACATTATGACTGATTAAATAAGCAATTAAATCATCCTGACATAAGCCAGCTACACTTGTTTATCAGTCTAAAAATAAACACTTTTTTTTTTTGATAAAATAAACAAAGACTTCGTTCACACGCTTTTTTCTTTCTCCCTTTTTCTTCTTCCCTTAACATACTCATATTTCTTTTGTATGAAAGTAATCAATATTGTAAAAAGGTTAGTTAACAATGACAACTTTCTTTTCAAGGATCGCTTAAATTATTAGCTGTCGTTTTACTCTAAAAAAAAAGGAATAAAAAAGATACATTAAGCAATTTTTATGCTATCACGACTACGCCTACAGCTCTTTGCTATATGATGGCGTTCTCCCAGGTTTAGTTTCTTGGGGTTTTAGACACCCAGTTGATGGGAAGACTGTAAATAGGCGTGATCGTAATGGTTGGCAGGTTTTGGCCAGGATGGCTCTGTAAGTCCAATGATTTCAATGAGAAAAAGTCGTGGGTGTTGTAGACGTTTTTTTTTTTTTTTTTTCCAAAACATTGTAAGGGGGTGAGTATATCAGGTGCCAAATTAGTTATATTTATGATATTATTTACTCTCTTAGAAAAATTGATAATCCTTATTTAATAATATAGAAACATGTTTTGGAAGTAATGATTATCGATCACGTATGATTATTACTTCCGTTATTTTTGAAAAAAAAATGGAAGTACTTTTCAAAGCAGGAGATTGTTGGAATTATTAGCTTCACAACGATCTACCTGCTTCTTTGAAAGAAGACGTTGATCTGCTTAAAGATATTGATAATGCGGAAACCTTAAAAAAGAAATTAGACAAGGAAGAGGCATGCCCTGCCCGTGAGTGGGTAAGAAATACCCTTCTGGGATATTTTACACTTTTTTGGGTTTATTTACCCCTTACCAATCAACTACAGAAGGGGACATGATGAGACAGGTAGGGCGATTCATAGATACGGCTTTTGATGACCCCAAGATTATCTGTCGGGGGTAAGTATATTAAAGTGTGATTTATAATAATATACTCATTTTTTTTTCTTCTTCTCATAATTAAGTTCGGAAAAGGCTAGCAAATCTCTGTCAGCTAGTCTTAAACACGGACAGAACTGTCTGGCTGAGGTTGAAAAGATGGAGAACGTAAGGCTATGGGCAGGATCTAATCTGCCCATCTTTAATTCTCCGGAAATAGCTGCCGTGAATGGTGTCGATCTTAGGATCAGACAAAAGAACTTTGGTATGGCTCTAAATCAGCAAAAGTTTGTAAAAGACATGATGTCCTTGCTTTATAATAAGCCCCCCCCCCGATTCGTTGCGTGGTTTGGCTCATTCGGGGGACTTTGACTGTCTGGTAAGTAAAATCATAAACATACCTTACGTTTTTTTTTGTTACTTATTATATTTTTTTTATCTTGTACTTGTAGATACGAACTTTTGTGACTCCTCTGCTGGATATATTTGTCGTATTCATCATAACCAGAAAGACAACTGTGATCAACAAGTGAAGCAGACGACAGTCAATCAGGACATGAATGGTGTTTAGTGAACATCGTTCTCTTTGTCTTTTCTTTGTGTGGTTTCGAATAACCCATTACGACTTTTAATTTTTGCGAAAGTTATTCATAAGGCCAACAAGTAAGTGTAATTCTTAAAAAGAAATAAAGATCTTTATTAATATTGACACTTCTCGTAATAGGCTCTATTACCAATAGAGTATTTGATCACAACTATTTACAGCCCAATCCCAGCTATTCACAGCCTGCGAGTTCCAAAAAAAAAAAACTCAAGATCCCTGCCTAGGAAGTCGCCCTCCTATAGCAAAGATTAGCCGCAGCTGCAATATACCGCAATAATAACTTTTTTCGATTTAGTGTCTTTTCAAAGAAACAAGAGTCATTACTAACTAACCTTTTTACTTTATCAGTTACTTTCAGTCGATAGAAGTATGTTAAAGGAAAAGAAAGGAAGAATAAAGTGTGTGAACCAGCTTTATTTATAAATAAACAGAAGCTAATGTCAGAATGATTTAATTACTTGTTTCATCTTTCATAATGTTTGGGCCTTTACTTAAAATAGAAACATACGCAAAAAAAACCTCCCAAGCAAATCAAAACTTGGTATATCTGCGTTCCAGTAGTAGATTGTAATGACAGTGAAGCAGATTTTATGGAAAACAGAAATCAATCATCCTATGAAAGTTTAGACGATATGGGCACGTCAATTGACGTGTAGACTTTCACGTGATTCAAAAATGAAAAGGATATTATATAATTATAAATGAATGCACCTATCCATACTTATCAAACGAGATCGGATGCTATGGTGACAGTAGTGAGAGACAGGATAGTAAGCAATTTTATATCTTATTCCTTGCTCGTCTGAAGTTAAAAAAAAAAAAAGGTCAAATATTTAGTCGATTTTAAACTAAAGAGGATTTACCAGCAAGAATAACTGGGGCTTGCTACAATGTTCCTCCTAAAAGATTGATTGGAAAGGCAAAAATGCTATCTTATCACAGACAACTGTAAAAAAAAAAAATCTACTGAAAATCAAAAGAGATTCGCCCTTTGAGTTACCTGATCTACTCAGTCATCTCCCCCTCAAGCAGTAGAGACCTTATAAAAAAAAAAAAAAAAAAAAGGTGACTCTGTTTGTGACTGTCTGCTTTCAAACTAGCCATTTCGCCGCTGACCCTAGGTCCTACCATTTTATTTTTTTTTTTATTTTTTTTTGAATATATTCATTAGAACATAACAAAAAATGTCAACCTATCGTGTGTTTTCTCCTAAATTCTTGAGCAAGCTCAACACCACCAAACTTGTGGAAGGCGATATTAAGGCTCAATTGGTTCACAATGCAGAGAAAGGCAAATCATTTTGGAGACCAGCTCAAGTGTCTAAGCGTGTACAAAACGATTTGAGAAAGGCCTGTCTTCAACAAGGTGTGGAACCTACATCGATTGGATTAGCTGCACCTACTCCCGCCAAACCATTACGTTATAAGCCCAACAAGTTGGAGAAACACGAACGTATGCGTGCTGAAAGACAAGCCAACATTAAACGTAATTTGGAAAAGATGCCTCAAACTATTCAAGCATGGAAGGAGGTAAAAAGCACTTTTTTTTTAAAAAAAAAAAAACGCAATGTGTGTGTATGCAGGAATATTAAACTCTCTGTTTTTTTTTTTTAATAGGACAAGTTGAAGGAATTAGCAAAGCAAAAGAGTTCCATGCCCTTTTAAATCTTTTTTTTTTCCCAGTCAGTAGAATTATATACACACCCTCTTATTTTGTTACATGCGCACAACAAAAAAAAAAAAATTGTAAAATAAAAATCTTAAAAACAAGAAATTTAGATGTAAAAAAAAAAAGAGAGAGAGAGAGACAGATATAGCAATAAGTAAATATACCCCACCCCGTCTTTCCATCTTATCTATCGACGACTCATCCTAAAAAAAAAAAAAATAACATGTATACATTATAGATGTGACGTTTAAATCTCCGCGCATGATACTTTGTATAAATAAACCATCTTCTTTTTTTTCAGGAACGACCCCCCCTCCTTTTTTTTTTCTCTCTCTCTTAATACTCGTTCTGTATCCATTAATAAAAATATGACTGTAGAAACTATCCCTATTGTAGACTTTGCTGATTACAAGACAAACCCAAACAAGGTTGCTCAAGATGTCCTTCAAGCCTGTAAATCCATTGGTTTCTTTTACATGATCAATCATGATTTGCCTCAGCAGGATATCGATCGAGCCTTTGAACTGGTAAAAAAAAAAAAAGAAAGGGTGGGCCCACTTAGATCACACGAAAAAAAAAACTTATTGTATATATATATATCTATATAGAGCAAGGAATACTTTGATTTACCTACTCAAGAAAAGCGTCAACACTTGATTGACGATACAAACCATGGTTACTCTCAAATATACAGCGAAACGTAAAGTAGTTTTCATCCTCCCCCTCAAAAAAAAAAGGTTATCATTAACTTCTAAATCTCACTCTGTAAAGATTGGATCCTGAGAACCAGAGACAAGGCGACCATAAAGAGTAAGTCACACAAATGCAAAAGAGAGAAAATAAAGTGACACCTTTTGTGTTTTTTTTCTAGGGGGTTTAACTTTAGAAACTTTAAAGATGGTAAACCCTTTGCTCCACTTCCAACCTTGTTTGAAAAAAATGTGGCCTTCTTGGACAAGTTCTCCAACGTAAGTCTAATTCCATGAAGAGAGTGAGAGAATTATATCATGCTTATAATAATAAAAAAAATAGGATTGTCATGCTACAGCACTTCAAGTATTGGAGGCTTTTGCGATTGCATTAGAGGTAAACAATCAACAATCAGAGGTCTATTTTAAAATTACTCACACACACACACATGATAAAGATTCCAAAAGAGAAAGGAGGTAAAGAATTCTTCAAGGAAAGACATCAACAGGAAGGTTCCGCTGAAATTCTTCGTTTTTTGAAATATCCACGTGGGGGTGAAGCGGAATACAAGGAAATTGTACGTGCTGGTGCTCATTCAGATTATGGATCTATTACGTTGCTCTTTCAAAAGGATGTACCAGGCTTAGAGGTACAAGCAAGTCGTACATCATGGATCTCCGCGCCTTTAATCCCAGGTGCTATCACAGTCAACGTGGGCGATCAAATGGAAATATGGACAGGTGGATTATTAAAATCCACTAAGCATCGTGTTACCTTCTTACCAGAACACAATCATCTGGATCGTTACTCGATTCCTTTTTTCGCTCATCCCAATGACAGTGTACCTTTACTACCTGTTCCTTCCGCTCTTGTAGATCAAACAATCACAGCTGTCGGTAGTGATGGTCATGTCTTGACTGCTCATGAACATTTACGTAGTCGTTTAGATGCCACCTATAAATAATTTTTTTTAAGGGGTAGCTTACCCTTCCAATAACAATAAAAATGCCGAGATTTATATGTACAATGAGGGCGAATATACAAATACACTATTTTTATTCTTTTTTGGATGGGGTTATTCTAGTCATAAATGGATAAAGTAGGCGCTGGTAGTGTCTTTAAGGTCAATTGTAAATGATAAAGATCAGATTCCCAACGAAATCGAAATTTGACAGCATTGGCGGTATCACCAAATAATTGCATGGCATCATCGTATTTCGCTTTACAGTTTTCAAATGCTAATTGTGCAGCCAATTGATCTCCCTCATAATAGATGGAATCCTGTGACTCTATTGCATCTGCAATCTAAAATTTATATAGTGTTAATAAAAAATGCCAGTGATTTACATCAAGCAAACTCACCTCTTCCTTGGCTGTACGATAGAGATCTTCCAATTCGGAAGAGACGACGTCGAGTGAGACACTGGGGTCAAAATGGGATCCATGGTGATGGTTGGGTTCGATATATGAAGCATGCGGTGATGATGAAAAGACGACAGAGAATGTAGATGACGCAGAGGAGGCAGACCGTGATCGGATACGTGGTAACCATTTCATTGTCGTTGTGGGTTGTATGTGACATGTAGACCGTTTTGGGTTAAAGCTGTCGCTATTTAACGAAAAGATACGAGCAGATGCTGAACGTATTCTTTTAGGAAGGCTTTCGTGAGAATGTAAAGTAGTGATTTCTGTCATTTGTTTTATTGTTTATTTTTTTTATATAAGAAGAAGAAAAAAGAAGATAAGCATAAAAGCTTCCTATTTATACATGATAAAAAAAAAAAAAAAACTAGGTGGGTAACCAATCATTTTTAGCTCTAACGCCACAAAACGAATAGTTTTACCCGAGGTAAAGCACAAAAAGGCTTATTGTCCACTTTTTTAATCATTTCTCCCTAAGGCAAAAGGAAATTAGTTTACGCAATATATATTAAAAATTACAGTCGTAATCATGATTCATGTACATAAACAGTTATATTGTAATAAACAACTTTTTATATAGCTGATATCTCTATTTCCCCTTTTTTTTTTAAACAAAGAGAGAAAAAGGCCTTTACAATGTGTATATAAATAAATATAGCACACAACAGCATTCCTCTGTCTAAATGTCTGTCTACTGTGGCTCCTTTTATTATATTTATATTTTTTTTTTCGGGCTCCGGTCATCCCGTCCGGGCCAGCCGAAAAAAAAAAAAAAAAAAAAAAATCCCAAAAAAAAGTTGCGGTGTGTCAGTTTGGGGGGGGGGTGTGTGTGTGTGTGTGTGGTGTGTGCGCATTGTGTGTGTGGGGGAGCCGCGAGCGCACATGGTAAAGCCATATCGCAGATGGATTTTTTTTAATACTCTCTCTTTGCATCCATCCATTCGTCCCGAGAGTAAGTTTTTACATCTAACGAGAATCAAGGGCAAGCCAAACAAAAAAAAAACATGTGTTCCTCTTTTAATCCATCGCATCGCACTCTATCAACCATCACCTCATACGTTCGATTTAATTCTATGAAAAGAGAGAGAGATAGAAACAACCCGACATCATTGATAAAAAAATAAAAAAAAATAATGCAGCACAACATTTCTCAATTCAGCCCATTGGAAAAATATGCGACACATGTTTTATATATATATACAAAAAGGGCTACCCTTGATTCTTTCCATTGTACATGAATTCAATTATTTTTTTTTAACACGTTATAAAAAAAAACTTGTAGTAAACAATGGTCACTCCTGCTGTCAAGCATAACATTATCAAGAAGCGTACTGCTACCTTCAAGCGTCATCAATCTAACCGCTTCATGCGTGTTGGTGTAAGTAATAGATAGGATATAAACGGAACGGAAGAGACAATACTAACATTTACACACAATGACAGGAATCTTGGAGAAAGCCCAAGGGTATTGATTGTAACATGCGTAGACGTTTCAAGGGTCAAGCCCCCATGCCCAAGATCGGTTATGGTTCCGCCAAGAAGACTCGTAACATCTTGCCCAACGGTTTCCGCAAGTTCGTTGTCTCTAACGTCCGTGAACTCAACCTCTTGTTGATGCACAACCGTTCTTATGCTGCTGAAATCGCTCACAACGTCTCTTCCAAGAAGCGTGTCTCCATCCTTGAACGTGCTGCTCAACTTAACGTCAAGGTCACCAACGCTGGTGCTCGTCTCAGATCTCAAGAGTAAATATTTTTTTTTTTTTTTTTTTTTGTGCATAATATATTTGAACTCTTGCTTTAAAAAAAAAAAAACGTGTGTGTATGCGTGTCTTTTTATTATTGATACAATGAGAAGAAAAAAAAAATGAGGGGGGGGGGGGGGTTTATGTTACAGATTACAAGTCGTCAGAGAGTATGAGATCATCCACTATATTTATAGGGAGGTAGGGAAGGAGTGGGTAGCTTAGCGTGGTGTTTATATTAAGGAGAAAATATTGTCTTTTGACTACTTACGTTGCACGTGTAGGTTATCAACTTTAATTAAAGTTGTCGTAGGAAAGTCTTTATATATAACAAACATAAAAAAAAAAAAATAGTCAGGGTGAGATTCTTTTTAAGATTATATGCTTATTACCTCGCGTGGTGGGTGGAGAAGAGGAGGAAGAGGGTTGTGAACGTAACATTTGAATGACATCCTCTGTATCAATAGCCACATTCGCATTTAAGTCCGCATACGATCGACATAACGGACAAGTAAATCCAGGATAATTGTTCAAGAGTGGATAGGAACACTTGAAATGAAAAGTGTGTGAACAGGGCGCTACAAACAATGCTTGGAAAGGTGCAATTGCATATAAACAAATACAACATTCATCCACTTCGTCTGCCACAGCAGCTAAATTACGCAACGTCTTGAACGAATTCAGACTTTTTTGTGTGTTCATATAATGAATATATTTTTCAGCATTGTTATAAAAATAGATTTTTGTTGGTGCTTACCAGTACGATGAGCCTGTTTGGCTGGTGGGTGTCTGATTTATCTCGATTCGCATCTTCACACAACGATAAATTTCTATTGTTTCAAGTTTTTTTTTTCTTTAGTGTCCCTCCCTTTTATCCCCTCACTTGTTTTTTTTTTTTTACCTTCGATACCTCCTTGGTAATCCACACCCAACTGAATCACATCACCATGGTGAAGTAAATGTGGTTTAGACTCTTGATTAGGTGGGCTCAGTCTTGCCCTGTTGACAAATGTGCCTGACG